CTTCCCAATTAATTCTTCACAAACGACATGACACACAAACTGAGGATAATGTCCCACAGGTTGAAATAATTATATATAGAGTTAGTTGAATATTAGTAGATATACGCCCCATATATGATCTTTTCGAAGAAAGCTGTTGAGAATATTTAAGCTATAAACAAACTGTTGAGTAACCTTAAATGTAGTGCCATAAACTTGCGGTGCCATAAACTTGCGGTGCCATAAACTTGTGGTGCCATAAACTTGTGGTGCCATAAACTTCCCCGATAATCAGGCCACTTTTTACAGAAAATCAGGCCATTTTCACGAAGCTTATTTCACCGGGCATAAAACAACACCAGAGATATATTTCCTGTGTTAGCGTTGATAATGCAGGGACTAATGAGATGAAAACTCTAGTATGCACTACTTCGAACCCAAAAATTGAACATCGTCAAAATTGGAGTTGAATGGAGTCGAATTCGCGGTTTTATATAATCCTTCTTGATACGAACCCCGCACGTAAAAATCAGGCCATAATTTAAGGTCACATATTGGTTATAGCTTAATTGTCTGTTTGTGTAATATAAATATACCCCCAGTTTCTAGATTCTCCAGAATCCTCTATTCATGTTAACCATCATCGCCAAGAATCCGCCAAGTACGTGTTTCGTCTCGAACACTGAAAAAGACGTCTTCTTTTTGTCGCCGGCTAAGAAAGAGGCGGCTAGAGTGAGTATTTATGCTTTCTTCTGTTCGACTGGCACCACTGGGGACTTTTTCGCGTCGTTGTGAAACAAATCGTGTGTTTGTGACACAAACAGCTCGACTCTCAACACCACACAACATCACACAACATCACACAACACTATGGAAGATCTCGGTATCGTTACAACAACCGATGATGCTTCAACTACAGTGATCATCTCCATCACCGCCAATTTTTTTCGACCATTACACCACAGATACCCACAACCAAGCCTTGTTACACAAACACGACACCGAGTGACACAAACACAATACCGAGTGACACAAACTCAACACCAAGGAACGAACAAACGACAGAGACATACAACATACCCAGTTGTCTTATGTTTCCAACACCTTGTTCATCGTTCAACCAAGTGTCTCAGCTTCAAGAGGAGTCCCCACAGTTGCCATGTCTTCTCACCACATTTTTCAACTTACTAACATAGATGGGCGTCCTACGATCTAGTTACTACCATAGGTAGCGCTAGTCAAAGACGGGTGCTTCCCGAAGAGCTATGAGCCAAACGATTGCGTCTTCCGAGGGTGTCGGATAGGCACAGTCAGGCCAGAGTCTCCAGGGGGGCATCTCAATCCCAGGGAGGAATTTATTTTGTTTACAGGGGGGTGTGCGTTAACCATGCCCAGGTTCCAAGCATGCTATGAACTCAGGGACAGAGTCTCATAGGGAGTGCCCCGGACAACCCGTGTCTACTGGCGACTTTCGCCTTTAGACACGACGCTACAACCCAGTCAGTTTCAAACCAACTTGCAATCACCCTTCGCGTCCCAAGAGGGGATTCTGATTGCACAGAGACGAAACCAGACTAGCGTCACTCACGTTCTCGGCGGAACCGGTTCGTGAGACTTACTTTTTTACTTGCTGTCGATGATAATTTTGGCATTGGTGTTGTTGGAGCATAGGAGATGATGCTCTTGGTGGTGGAAGGGTGGAGTGGATTCGCGGGGAGGGCTTGTTTGCAAGCCAGGAGGCGTGGGGGTAGTGAGGGGTGGTGGGTGGTGGATGGTAGATGAGGGGCGGTGGAAGGGGACGAGCGGTGGTAGATGAGGGGCGGTGGAAGGGGACGAGCGGTGGTAGATGAGGGGAGTTGGAAGGTGGTGTGCGGTGGCAGATGAGGGGTGGTGGGAGGCCGTAGGCTGTGGATTGTGGATGGTTGGAGTGTGTGAGGGAGAAAGCACTTGAACCCTCTGGTTGTTTGGCCTTCTCAATCACACCCGTGTGTGAGGGGAAAAGCGCTGGAACCCTCGTTCTCGATCACCTCCGTGTGCGAGGGAGAAAGTGCTCGAACCTTGGGTTACGGGGTTTTCTCAATCACATCCTCCAAGGGTGGTGGAGAGAATGCCGGGAGAGGGATAGGGCATTCTATGGGGATGTTGGGATAGTGTGGGTGGGATATATAATTAATGTATTGATTGTCTTGAAGCACCGTATCTTGTTTTTCAAGTATCAGATGTTGTAATGATCACAATGAGCGGATCAGCTGTCTTTTCGACATAGTGCAAATCACCTACGATCCATTCTTACGGTCATCTACGATCCACGTCCACGTCTAAGACGTATTGAACTCCTTGAAAAACTTATTGACCTGAGTTATACGTGCGGGATAAATTAGGTAGGGTTCGTTTATGGAACAACGGCCATGAGAGCTGGCAGTGGCATCAGATAAAGTGTACCCTTAGATCCCAGCGCCAACCGACATCTTTTTCTCCTGTCCGATACTTTGAAACAAGATACAGCAGTATTCACTCCGAGACCCCAAAACCAGCCTGGATAGTTCCTCCCAGACCTCCAAGCACCGACGGTCATAACACGACAATTCGTACATCTGGAGTTGGTGCCAATTCACACATCGATCAGTTGCGAGAAAGAAAGCTCTTTGTTAGGAAACAATCTTCTTTTGGTATTTCTTGTGTCTGTGGCACACGGACCGTCAATTATCATTGATGCTCAATTGCTGTCTCTCGCGTCAACTGTCAGTCGTGCACCCTTCGGTCGCTTCCTATCGGTAGATGTTCGGAAGCCGCAATAATCGTCATTGCGGACGTCCGGAAAAGGTGATGTTTATCTGTCGACTCTCGATAGAGGATCCTGATAGTTACCCTTGCAGTCAAGGACCCACTATCTTAGGGTTCTGTCAGGACTCGACCACCGAGTTATAGATCCGTCGGTTAGTACGGAGCCATTTTTATATATAGCTCTCATTTCCCATGTATTGCAGATATCGATTGACCCTTTCAACACGAGTATTTGTTCAACGACTTGCCATAGGCAAGCCGCAGATATTAACAGTCAAACTAACCGAAGTCGGGGCTTGTGTTCTAACAGCTCTGATATGGTCAATATCTTGGAGCTCCTGCAGATCAGGTCGTGTATTTAAAGAGAACAGTTTCCTCTCCCTTCAGGCCTTCAAAAAATGCTGCAATTGGATAATTTATTTCACGAAGCTCTCAATAATACCATTATAGATATAGCAAATATTATTTTCCAATCATGAGGAATCCAATTCAATCACCAACAGCTGATCGCCCAATTCACAAATTTTCGATTATATGCACTCCATTGCATTATCTCAACCTTAATATATAGTGGTGACATCTATTCAATACAATTAAAAATACATGCGATAAGGGATTATATCGAATATGCATCGTATATATTTTATATACTTTCTTCCTTTTACGGTAAAACGACTAACAAAACATATAAATTAAGATGAAGAGTCACAACATCAAACCACAATAATTTCTGTATACATCTCCACCTTAGCGTATTCAGAAGATATTTATTGCCCTATATTCTTCTTCCCCATCTCTTCTCATTTCACGAAATTATCTACTTCATCATTCACAACACTTCTACGACTATATTACGACTCATCTTCTACGACTAGATGAACGGGTATCGACTCAGTCCTCTCCATTTATTTCGGACGATAGCCTTGGTTCCCCACTATTTGGCACATAGTGCCGGTGGACCCACTCTGTAAGGTGATTACAAAGCCAGGGCCAACCAAGAGGTGATACAGCGTTGGGGTGGTGGAAAGTTGCTCCCAAGGCCCTATAGAACAGCCTCGTTTTCCGTTTCTTGGAGTCTACCCGGATCAGGGTCATCTCAGCTTCTGGCAGTTTTGAATAGGAAGAAACGTCGGGAGACTCGATTGGGAAGGGGTGTCCCCATCCCTCTAGTGTCTCAATTTCCTTTACACAAGATTGCTCGAGGCGATGGATTCTGCCGGACCTCCGGAAACCGGAATCTGGCGGAGATGCCACTTTTCTTACCCTTCAACCACGCCCCCCAGCCTCACGTGGTCAAGGTCTGACGCTTCTTTCCAGTGATGCAAGTAAGTCTCGGGTGCCCCCCCAGTGCTCTTGTTTTTCTTTCGGGTGTTGGCTCGTTTTGCGGTGTTGGCTCTTTTCGGCATGTTGGCTCTTTTGCGGTGACGGCTCTTTTTCAGTGTACAAAACACAGTGTCTGTTGTGTGTGTGGGGTGTCAGATTATTGCGGTGTGGGCTCAGTGGATTTTCCACTACTTTTTTATTTGCGCGTCAAGCACAACGGGGGACTGGCTGCCCTGATGAGACCAAACCCATGACTAGCGTCGAAACATCAACAGTGGGGGCTGTTGGTGTCGGCAGCTACTAGTCATAAACTTCGACCAGCAGTGGGGGCTGTTTGGTACCTTGAAAATAGTCGTACAGTATATATATTATTGAATTATATAGCAATATACGGATTTATGGAGTAAAAAGTAGACTTTTCCAAGTTTTTTTCCCTTTTAGATGAGTAATATATTACCGAATCAGGAAATTTTCGTTGTTGATATTGAAAAGTTTATATACTTCGTATATTTGATGCTGATTTTTCTAATATTTCTTATTCAATCGTTTACTATACCTGTACCTTTAAAAAAAATTAAAAAAAAATACAACAGGATGTTGACTTGAGTAGAGTATAGAAACTACAAGTAAAACACTGTGACAACTGTACCTGCACTTCATACCTTGACTTCATCTACAATTCAACAGAACTACTCATGCAACTGCAAACAGAACTACTCGTGCAGATAACTACTGGTGATGATTTGGGTGGGACTCTATGGTCCATAATGTATTATCCCCAGAGGTTCAGCTCAGTGCTTACATCCTCTTGTTCTATAATCTAAAGGTTCGGCTGGTGTACATCCTCATAGCGAGGTTCCACGCCTACATCCTTTCTGAATGCGAATCTGATCGTTGGATCTCCGACTGCTCGAATGGCTCTTACTGGCTTTGCAGCACTTACTGGCTCTTGGATGATCATCTGGCGCAGTGGCTCTAATCACATCTTCTTGTTGCTCTTATTGGCTCTGGCTCGATGGCTCTGGCTCTCATTCGCAAGAAACACTTAGCTCTTATTGGCTCATTGGCACTCACTGGCTTATCGTCATGGCTCTGGCTCTTACTGATTGGCTCTGGCCCATGCTATCAAGGTGCTGGCATTCTGCTCTCACAGTTCACAGTTCCACCTTCGCGCTGTCGTCATCGTTTCACAGTGTCACTCTTGTGCTGGCATAACTTAACGTGTCTCAGTCGCTACAACGTCTCCTGCTCTGGGGGCTGGTGGAATTTCACCATCGTGCAGCTCCAGGCGGCTTTTCAGCGTTGTCTTAGTGTTCTGTTGTCGGCATTTGTCGGTCGGCGGCTCTAGTTCTGGCTCGTTGCGGCCCGGACTGGCTCTTTGCTCTGGCGGCCTGGCAGGTTGGGCACAAACACTTTGCTCGGTGGCGGTCTTTGCAGACGCTTATGCTCAGGCGGAACAAGCTGGATCAGGTTCGGATCGTGGGTCAGCTGTTCTCTTAACCGTGATTCCTGGTGTGCTGATACCAAGTCAGCAGCAGATGGAGAAGACATATGACTGTTAAAACGACAGTCCATCCCTCCAAAGCATTCAGGAATTGTTATCCATGCAGGGAATTGCACCCTAGGGGGCTACCCATACCTTCGGAGAGCTCATGGACAATGTTTCGTGTCCGTCACAGCTTCATATCCACGGAGACAGGATTCATGAGCGGCTTGCTAAGCCTCCAACTCGTCATCACCCTGCGTCCTCTTAGTGCATGTACCGAGGGGTTTCCTTTCACTCTGCAGCTTCGTAGCTTACGCTCAGCTTCACGTCTTAGTTACTAGCTCATGCGTTCTTCACACACGGTTTTAATCAGTCTCAACAGTTGCGTCGTAGCAGAGACTTTGCAGCTTCTGCTCAGCAACTTCTGGAATACTGCCTTGCGACAGGACCAGTAGAGCAGACCCCAAAGTGTTGCTCATGCTGGGAATTTCACCCGTGGTTGCGAACCATCTGAGAGACGGAGCTCCTGAGTAGATTGCGAATCTTTGCTCGTCATAGCTCCATCCCGTAGATGCATAAAAGAGGTGTGCTGACCCTCCAGCTCGGCAACATAAGAGAACTCAAGTTGCGTCATGGTAGGAGTGAAGTGAATGTCTGCTCGCGCAAGACAAGTACTGCTTCCTTGCTTTCGCTCAGCAGTATCAGCATCTCTCGAAGTGACCGAATCCTCCGCAAAAGCTGAGAGACTGATCGACTTCTGATTATGGAAAAACAGGGCTATGGCGGGGGTTTAAATACTGCTGGAGGAGCGTGATTGAGTTTCGAAAGTCTCGTTAGAGTTGCTTGGTGGCAAATATTAGTGTCGATCTATGCATATGGGAAATCGAGCGAACATTGTCGAACAAGAGAGAACACTGGGGAATTCACACGAAATGTCTTTTTCGAAAAACAGGACTGTAGTACGTCAATGGAGAATATCCAAACTCATGTCATTATTGCTATATTCACAATATACAAAACGCATGCTCGTGCTCAAGTGGACTTGGTCGTATTAAGCGACATAAGAAACCTTAATTGTAACCGAAAAATAATTGGAGGTTTCGAGAACAAAGATAGCCATAGAAGGTGGCAAACACCACTTCCACGGAGTAAAAAAGACAGAGAGAGAACTGGATGGAACTTTGAAGAAAGATGAAGTTACTTGAAAGGAAGTCTAGTTGTTTTTTTTCTCGGAGTTTTGCCTTGACTCCTTGTTTCTGGTGGGCGGACTCGAAACTTAATTTTATATTAATGAAAAATGTGAGAAATGACGAAAAATCGAATAAAATAAAATAAAATACAGCCAAAGAGCTCTTGTAAGGCAAATGAGTCCAAAAAAGATGTCTAAAAGTCTTAATTTTCTTATCTACAAAACTTGGAAACAACGGTCTTACATGGACTCATATCTATGGGTGCTGGAAAACTCAGCAGGTTGTACCAAGAACTCGAGCACAACACACGATCTTACATGGATTAAGGTATTTATCCGATTTTGGAAGATGTGAGTGTGGAACTGACCTTGAACAGATTTGTTCTCCACGAAACCAAACTGAATTCACACTCTGGGCGACATAAATTGTCATACAAACAACTTTGTCAGCTCCCTTCGTGTTATTTTCATCGTGTCGAGTTGAGTAGACTTTTCTGAGGTATCTGGGACCCACGCCTAGCAGTCCTCATATATGTCAGTCGAAACATATTGGACAACCGTAACAAAGATATCGTAAGATATCCCAGAGCATTGGATCAATCCTTCTTTGGTTGGACCCCTGTTTGTCAACTTGGTCTAGCTACAACATGCGCGTGTTTCCACCACCACCACTGGCCCTGTGTCAAGTTTGACTCTCGACTCCACTACACGTCGTCAGACATAACAATGCGGATGGCTGGTTGAGCTCCTGAGAGCTTGGATGAATAACACCGTGGACCTTGTTTATATGATTGTAGCGTAGGAGTGGGCACTGTACGAACCCCAGTTTGTCTGTGGGCCAACCAGACCTACAGCACTACCATGTGTGCAAGAGATAACCGATAAAAAAATTAAGGAAATTCTGAAGCAGTGTGAGCAGTGTGAAGCTACCGCAGTCTGGTTGAGTTACCAGGATCGTCGAGTGTTTCAGTACTGTTTGTACTTCGGGAAAGTCTGTGGATCTCTTGGAGCCAAGCTAGGCCCTCATACGACTGGCTCTAGGAGGAACACTACTAATTTAGATTAGTAAGCATCCGTGATATGGTAGGCGCTGTTGCAAAAGATACAGAAGAGAGCAAAAAGAAGCCCGACGTGGGGCTTGAACCCACAGCCTTGAGATTGCTTTGAATAAGAGTCTCACGCTCTACCGATTGAGCTAGCCAGGCAGTGGTTGAAACCGGCGGCGATTGGCCTAGAATAATAATAAAAAAGCCTAAAAAAATTCCTAGAATAAAAAAAAAAAAAAAAAAAAAAAGAGCTCTGCTTGTTGGTATATTTATCAGGTCAAGTGATGGAACAAGAAGAATACGTGAACAAGTGAACGCGAATGTCATGCGCTCTTCTGAACAATCGAATCCGAATCCGATTTGCGGGTACAACATTGTTATAGGCCCTAAGTAACTGAAATGTATTTGTTTAAAAATTAAAATATGGAGATAAATCCGGTTGTTTTTTCTACAATGAACTCCAGTCTCAATGCCAGGGTGTTCTGGGACTTCTATACTTGTACAAAATGAGATGTTACTATAAAAATGTTTACTTAAGCTGGTGCTCCTTGTGCTCCTTGTCGTCACCGTAAGCCTTGGTACCGTAGTGACCGTTGATGCAGATAATGTCCTGGGGTCGGTAATCCTGCTTGCCAGAGAAGAAGACCTCGAGGATCTTCTTTGTTCCCTCGGCGTATCGGCCCTGGGCATCGATGGAAGTGCCAGAGATATGAGGAGTCATGGCGTTTCCACCACCGTACTTGTTTCGCATGGTTCTCCAGGGATGGTCCTTGGGGGCAGGCTGGGGGAACCAGACATCACCACCGTATCCTCGCATCTTGCCGGACTCGAGTGCCTCGACAATGTCCTCGGTAACGCAGATGGCTCCTCGAGCAGTGTTGACGAGCCAAGCACCATTCTTCATGTGCGAGATGAGCTCCTTGTTGAAGAGGCCCTTGGTGGAGGCGTGCAGAGGGCAATTGATGGTCACGACATCACACAGAGAGAGCATCTCCTCCAGAGACTCAACTCGTCGGCAACCAATCTCCTTTTCGACGTCGGCAGGCATGGGCTGGTAGTCGTAGTAGAGCATTTCCATGGGGTCGAAGGGCTTGCATCGCTTGAGGACACGCTGGCCGATTCGGCCGCCACCAACGGTACCGATGACCTTACCCTCGAGATCGTAGGAGTCCTTGGCGACAGCAGCAACATCCCAGCCGCCAGAGATGATTTGCTCGTGGGCGGGGACAAAGTTTCGGACCAGAACGAGCATAGTCATGACAACATGCTCAGCGACGGACTGGACATTAGAACCAGTGACTTCCAGAACAGCGATATCTCGAGCGTTGGCAGCATCGAGATCAACGTGGTCCGAGCCCACACCGGCAGTGATGCAGATCTTGAGCTTCTTGGCCTTGTCGATTCGCTCCTTGTTGATGTAGCCAGGGTGGAAGGGGGTAGTGATGACTACATCGGCGTCAACAATCTCCTTGTCAAGCACAGAGTCGGCGCCATCCTTGGAAGAGGTGGTAACGAGAGTATGGCCCTGAGACTCGAGCCAGTCTCGGATACCGAGCTCGTTCTCGGTGCATCCAAGGAGCTTGGGCTCATCCTTAGCGTGAGAGCCGGCATCATAGAGAATAAGAAGGACCTTCATATCTGTAGTAGTTGTTGTGGGGGATTGTGTGGGTGTTGATGATGAAGTGACTGGAGTTTTGAGCCCTTTTATATTCCAAATACCGCCATCTTGCCCCCGCCTTGATCTGACCAACTTGCATGTATCATGTCGAGACGCGGTGTTTCAACGGGTAAGCGTGCGGCTCATTAATTCCTTGTCGCCGCTTGAAGCAATTTTGTATTTAACTAAACACGTCTGAAAAATTGCCATTTTTGCTGAAAAAATATGACTTCAAACAGGTGATTCCGATAGATTGCAACAATTACAATCTAATGTAACATTAATCACACATTTTAATTTGGTAACGGATCCCGCCATTATTCCAAGCATCCCGTCTGACAATTTCTGAGCCGCACAGACGGACCGCCTGAATTTTCGAGCCGCACCGACTGAATTTTCGAGCCGCACATGATTCATCCGCCACAGTACCGTCTCTGTTAATGATGTACATAGACACGAAACCTCCAGAAAATGGCCGCAAAAGTAAATGGTTAGTATTTGTGCAATTACAATTATATTGCGGAATCGGTATGATGGAAACATAAAACAATGAATCAGAAAACCATTGCTTTTCTCGATAATCATAGTACATCGTATACAATCCTTCCTCAGCCAAGCTGAAGTCACCACAAAACTCCTCTAAAGTACAATTTATTCATATCCTGTCTCTCAAAAATAGATTAAGATTTACGCTCTCTGTATCTTCCTGTACTTGCACTTTTCTCTCCCGTATTACCACCATACACGGGGAGGGGTAGCGCACCTCTCAGCCCAGATATACCAATAGCACGGAACTGGCTCTAATTGGTGAGTTCGGAGAGATTTCGCGGAGTCGGTTATCTAACTCATGGTTCCCTGTTTCCATATCAACAGAAAACACCCTAGACTTATCTTACTGCACCTGACCTATTACGCGGGATACACAGTCGTTATTTCTCCAAACAGGTGCAGTGGTATTTAGGTCCTTTATTTTTGAAATTCAATGTTTCTCATTTGCCTGGGGCCGACAAGGTCGATAGTATGGAGACGTCAGTAGTCCAGGTAAAGACAGTTCGGGCTAACAAGACAAGCAGCCTGGGCGAGTCCCTGGCTCATACTTGTGTGGTAAGCTTTGTAAAGCTCGTTGTTTAAAAAGCTACTAATTATATATCCAAAATTACAGGGCTGGCACTTTCGCTTATCTCTAGAAATCAGGGCTTTAGGTAAAATAAACGGAGATATCAATGAATATCCACGCGGAAAATGTATTTGGATTGATATCGTTACCTCATTCTGTCAAAATAACTGCGGAGAAATGTGTTCCGCCTGAACCGTGGCGTAGTTGACCCCCACGACCTCCCGCAATCGTAGAAAACGCGACTCGACATTGGAATAATACGAGCGCTTCAAAGATTACAATGAAGCTACCTTGCACTGGAACAGCGATAAGGGATAGACCCCACTGTATAACTGTATACCACAGATAAATATGGGTTGTATTTTGGGGGAGGAGCCTCGTGGGTTAAACTTTTGACGGTCACAGCGACAGCGTACGGCACCCCGTCCTTTACGGAACTGCATAATCTGTTTTGTCCAAGTATTGCATCCACAGATAACTGCACAGAAACAACAGCATTCTATCGAGTCTGGAACACCATATTATCCCATCTTCTCAAGAGTGGATCTTCTTCATTCACAACACCCCGCGTTCCCAATAGATAGTAACATAGAATCGTAACTTTTGGCTGATCATCACGCAGCGGCTGCATGAGTATATTCCTGTATGCACCTACCACACGGCGTTCATTACGTGCTACCAACACATGATTTACGGACCTTGTCACCAGTAGCTCAGGCATCGAACCTTACCCCCATATCCATCGTGTTAAAGAGCAGAAGTACGAGACTCTGAACCCGGTCACTGTCTTTCTTCGCGCCTTCAGCATCTGGGACGCCTCTACTTGTGTTGTAGGGCCAATGCACTGAGGACAGCCTCTGTCGATACCTCTGCCGATCCACGTGTTTGTTATATGTACTTGTAACACACTCCATCCGTCGTTAATCTCAATTTATTACCTATTCCCCTACCCTTCTATCAGTCTAGACACCCTGCTATCTACACACTATGGGAGCCTAACCTTCTCAAATCGTTTAGGTTGTTTCCAAGATAAGCCACACCTTACCGTCACATCTGGGCCGAGAAATCCCTTGTGGAATAGCTTATTCGCCGTGCTAAATCGCCACCAAACATGCGTAAGTTTTTGAGCCAACACCTTTCGCAGCTCTTGCGTATCTTGGCAGGCACCTCATCGCCGAGATTTCTTGGCGTGCATTTTGGTGTCTTGGCATTTTGAGATAAGTGCGAAGACGTGTCTCACTCTTGTAACAATGATTTTGCAACTCTATCCACATTTGTGCTTGTGTCACGATTACCTCTTGGTAAATCCGGGTGAATATCGTCGGAGCCGTGCGTGGTGCCGTTCGACAGAGGTAGACCGTATATATAAAAATGTTGATTCTACAGTTAAAGGGCACCATCAAACATCACTATGGACTCTCCCACCGAGGAAAAGTTCAACGACAAAAAGTCCCCCTTTGAGAAGGACGCCATCGAGGTGGACTTCGAGGCTGCTGAGGTCACCGATATCTCTTTCGTTGATTACGTCGGCGAAAAGCTCAATTTTGTCCCTGACGAAAATGGCGAACACACCAAGAATGTTCGTCTCATGGCCAGTTTTGTCGCTGAGATGACCGAGGAAGAAGCTGAGGAAATTCTTCTCAAGTTCATCCCCCTCCACGAAGATGATTACAATCTGCGGTTGGAGCAAAAGGAATATCTGAAGTCGCTTGTGAAAGGCGAGAAAGAAGCACCTGACCCCACAACCTACTCTATGGATCTCCGAATCGAAGCTGCTGCCATCAAGCATTGGTCGCCTTACGTCGAAGTTCGAGCCGTTACCGATTGTTGGGATGATATGGACGAACCTTGCGAGACAATCAGATCTTATGCCATCGGCTTGGTCTGGCTTCTTGTCGGATGCTTCGTGAACCAGTTCTTCATCTTCCGCTTCCCTTCCATCTCCATTAGCTCCGACGTCCTGCAGCTGCTCACCTATCCATGTGGAGAGTTCCTGGCTCGAGTTTTGCCCGACTGGGGGTTTACTTTCCGAGGAACCCGAATCACTCTCAACCCTGGTCCTTGGACAAGAAAGGAGCAGATGTTTGCGACCTTCTTCCTCAGCGGTGGTGATGGTTCCACTTATGTGTCGGCCTACAACCTCCCCACCCAGCTCCTGCCCATGTACTACGATCAGAAATGGGCCACCTTTGGTTACCAGATTATGTTGACCCTTTCTTCTCAGTACATTGGTTTTGGATTCGCTGGTATCCTGCGACGATTTGCCATCTACCCTACCAAGGCAATGTGGCCTATGCAAATGCCCACTCTGGCGCTCAACCGAGCCCTACTGGATCCCGAGAGGAAGCAGAGCATCAACGGATGGACCATTAGCAAGTATTGGTTCTTCCTGGTGGTGTTTGCAGGCTCATTCGTCTACTATTGGATTCCCGACTACCTGTTTGCAGCTCTCAGTAACTTCAACTGGATGACATGGATAGCTCCCAACAATGTAAACCTGGCTCTTCTCACTGGGCAGTCTGGAATGGGTATAAACCCCATCCCCACCTTTGATCTTAACGTCATTGGCGTGGGTAACGTCGTCACTCCGTGGTGGTCAGTTGTTAACATTCTTGTGGGAGCTATTCTAGGAACCTTTACAATCATTGGTGTATACTGGTCCAACATCAGATGGACCGCCTATCTGCCTATGAACACTCCTGGAATCTTCAACAACAAAGGAGGTAGCTACAAGGTGACCAAGATCCTGACTAATGGTGTTTTTGACGAGGAGAAGTACCAGAAGTATGGTCCTCCACTGTGGGGAGCTGCTAACCTGGTACTCTACGGTTCTTTCTTTTCTCTCTACACCCTTGGCTTTGTTTACACCATGCTGGCTTACTGGAGAGATATGTGCACAGCTGCCGTGGACTTTTACAACGGTATTGCCTTCTGGAACGGACGAAAGCGAACCGAGGTTGACTCTCCTTTTGCCCGACAGCTCAAAAAGTACCCCGATGTCCCTGATTGGTGGTTCTTTCTTATTCTTCTCATCTCCATTGGCTTCTGCATTGGCACTGTCAAGGGCTGGCCCACTTCCACTCCTGTCTGGGGTATCTTCTTTGTTCTCGGCATCAACGTGGTCTTCCTAGTCCCTATCTGTCTCCTTCAAGCTTACACTGGTAACGGATTTGCCCTCAACGTGCTTGTGGAGATTATTTGTGGCTATGCTCTCAACGGACGACCTACTGCACTCAACATTTTAAAGGCATACGGAGTCAACGTAGACTCCACCTCTCAGGGCTTTGTGTCTGTGTGGAAGACTGGAATGTACGCCTACGTGCCTTCTCGGGCCATTTTCCGAACCCAGATCCTCTCCACCCTCATCAATGCGTTTGTCACCGTCGGAATTCTCCAGTACCAGCTCACCTTGACAGATATTTGCACCCCGGCCCAGCGAGCTACTACCAAGTTTACTTGCCCCAACCAGAACGTCTTCTACTCTGCATCGGTTCTATTTGGAGCTATCGGATCCAAGCGAGTTTTTGGAACCGGGGGAGGGGATGGCCTTTACCCCTTCCTTAAGTGGTGTTTCCTCATTGGAGCAGTTGTTGCTCTCATTTTCTTCGCCATTCAGTACACCATTCCGGCCTACATTGGCAAGCGGTACCCCGAGAGAAAGGAGGCCATGGTTCGACTCTCGGAGCGACTTGGAAAGATTAACCCCGTTGTTATCAACATGGGCTTCCTTCAGTTCGCTCCTGGCAACCTATCATACATTACTGGAGGTGTTTATCTGGCAGCATTTTGGACTCTGTACTTGAAGAAGAGATACACTGAGTGGTGGGCCAAGTACACCTATGTGATGGTTGCAGGTGTCAATGTCGGTATCGCCCTGGCAGCAATCATTGTGTTCTTTGCCCTCCAATACAGCGACATTGAGCTCAGTTGGTGGGGAAACAATGTGCCTTACGCTGGTGCCGATGGTAATGAAACTCCCTTATTGACATTGGCTCCAGGCCAACTTATTGGTCCTCAGCCCGGTCACTTCCCTTAGGGAGGTTTTTCAGATTCATATTTATCTAATGAAGTGCTTAATGAATAGTAACGTAACTAGACGTCCTAATACAGTATCTTAATACAGCAATTACTGTATCGATGGATGCAGTCTGCTAAGAAGAAGTTTTACAAGTTCATATTGTAGCCTGTAGGTACTTGTTGTTCTCATATACAATTGTCCTTCATGTGATTATTGAAAAAATCAGCACTTCGCTTAATTTAAGGTTCATGCAATACAAAAGCACGACTCCTAAAATATCTTCGAGAGGCATTCGTGAGCATTCTATAAAAGAACGTCGAAGTTGTGTAAGAGGCTGAGGATATATAACACACTATGAGAAAAAGTAAAACTTAATGTATAGCAGCAATTGCTTGCTTTTGCCGACAATACACAGTTTTTGTTCATCAATGGAGGTGTTGGGGAGTATGGTTTCGAGAACATGGTTGACAACAGAGCATACTGACGGTAATCAGTCTTGACTTGAAAAACGCAACAAAATTGCACGCAAAAATTGCAGCACCCAGGATTCTCGTATGGTCTCCCACTACAATACTAACTGGGCTCTCTGGTGCTTGACTATGGCTGATCGGACGGGAAGCCGTATTTTCACCAGGATATGGCCGCAACTGGCCAAAAAAGCGGTTGGAGGTAGTGATCAAGTCACGTGAGTGGAGTAAAGCCCGCAAAATTCTGTCACACTAATTGTCCCATGACTTTCTCTATATACACGTCACAATGAAGTGACCATCAGAGTAATACAAACAAAAAAGCTGTAGGACAACATAATACAAACAACTGGAATGAACTACTGGAAAATAACGAGGGATTACAGCCAATTTACTTACGCGTGATACTACGATACGGCATGGGGTGCATGCGGTCCTACAATAAACAGTATGACTCGATCCCATCGCACGGCTAACAAGACGACTAGTGATAAATGACTAAAACTTCACGTCGTTTTGGGGAGTTTTCTTGCCGCGGCAATCTCTCCAATCTTGACAGTAGTGTTAAAGCTTTGTTCGCGAATTGGCATAACAAGCTGCTCCTGAGTACAGTACCGTATCTCAACACCGTGCACGATACTCAACAAAACTCATCAGTCTTAGTATATCATACACCGGCTGAAAAACATTGCTTATGTTAACATTATCTGTGCTCTGAAAACCACTGACGTGCTCCCAAGAACATCCAATAACTTACCATGTCCAAAAGGAATAACGGTTTTCAGACCCCCTTCCCTGATCATTGTCATCTTCCTTTCGTTTGTTTTTTTTCCCTCTTCTTGCTCTGAAGTCCATTTGGCGGTCGGTGTTTTGTTAAAGCGGGTTGCTTACCTTGACCAGCTGGTGACCTATACATCAAGCACAGGCAGATAGAAAGAAAAACGCTTCCTCCTCTTATGACTCACCACCTCCATGACACTCCGGAAAAGTTCCACCACATCTCTTTCTGAGAAATGTGTTAAAGACAAGCCAAAAGAAATTGAGGCAACACAGCAGGCCAGTATACCTTCAGTTCTGCTTTTCAGAGAAATCTGCTGGAATTGTCCGACAATCGTGTTTCAAGGGACAGGCTAATGTTTGGAGGAAGCCATGGGATGAGCCGACTTGGGCATCCTCTTGGTGACAGTCTTAACCATCATATTGCATTTCTTCTTGTTCTTCTTCTGGATTTTTGAATCGCATGAAGTGGTAGACGAAATAAACGACTCACGCTGGAATTGTCCTTTGTCTCACTTTTCTAGCATAGCCCTCTCTATACCCGTTGCAGGACCAGAGAAGCCTGTCACTCTTCCATCATCAGAAGAGGGCTGTTGGCTTCAATGTGAAAACAGCCACTTGCTGACAAAACTTGGATGAGACAGCAGACGACTTGCGCTTTGCTGATGCTGCTGATTTCGCCTTGGAAGCTTCCCGAAACTCTTTCCCTGTCTCGGCCCGTAGAGCATCAAACTCCTTCTTTTCTGCAGCAATCTTAGCTTCTTGTTGAGAAACTTTTCTAGCGAAATCTTGAGCGGCCTCGTTGAATTGTTGTTATGCCCTAGCCTAATGAAGTGCCTTGGTGGCTGCACAACGATGACGTCTGTGGCTATCCTTAAGTCCAGTTTCGCATTCTTCAATCATGTCAATTAAAATCGGGACTGGAATCGAATCCATTTCTTTTTTCCACTTCTTCCAGTTGCTTCACCCCTTGCTGATTCGCTCGTGTTAACACCCTCCAACGTGTTTAGCGGAAGTCCTTCAACTTTTGAACTCGCCCAATGGTTGTCCCCATGCTGTCCCTCAGCGCAGGAATATAAGCACCACAAAAGAGGCATTCACAACAAACCAAAAATATGTGTAGTGGGGAGCTGTAGTCCATTAGGTGAGACTGGAATCTCGCTGTCCTCGTTATCTGTTGTGGCCGATAACAATCCTTATCGTTATCTGTGCATAATCATGAGCCTATCGAAGGAATAAGGTTGCATATTTATATTTTGTTACAATCCGACAGGCCATTGCTGTAACCGATATTGATCCAGCCACGGCAGGAAGTGTACGACTCACTCTCCGCCTCTGCTCTGTCGCCCCTGCTCTCCGCCTCTTTGATATGCAGCACCCCCATCTTTGGTCTCAAGTGTTGGCTTCAGATATCGCTTGATCGGCTATCCCCCCCCACCCTTATGTGGAAACTTGATACAATAATGGTCCCCATCTCCACATGTGGGGCTCTCTGTATACCTGGTTTAACCTATTCGCACGTCTTATCAGAGTAGATATCAAATTAGATAACCTGAGCTCGTCTATATCTATCAGAAAACCCGAAAAGGAGGAGACTTGTTATCTTCACTGGATAGATTCATTCTAATAACACAGTTAGCGCTGGTACAATACAATACAGTACATATTGTACTCTCCACAAAGTATTTTGTTACCGCGGCTACTTGTACTTAAGACGCATGTGTCGCGGTACCCTTGTGTCGCGGTACACCTCAGGTGGCATAGATAACGCTTCTCCCGAATCTTGGCAACCGTCTAACATTATACGTAGAAGTGACCAGGGTAGAGATTAGCTGGAGTGCTACGCCTGGTGCACTGCCGAGTTGTGATTAAAATCCCAGTCGATTAGTCAGTATGATACTATGAATGGGTTATTTGCGTTACTCTAGAAGAGCAGGGATACTTGTTTCTCTAGAAGCTTTTCCACAAACCACATGATCGTCGCTGTATATACAGAACAAGGCTTGTCCCAGTCTATAGACCGGCATGCCACTGGCCCCTGTTTCGAAAATATGATTCCTGATATCAGGGAAGCCAAACACAGCTACCGCGTTAATAAGGCGTGAATAATCGTTTGGTCATTATCGAATCATTAGACCCTCGTAGCTGACAAATGTAGCAACTTTTAGTTGGTTTCCATGATAAGAGGTGTCGCACGACCTTGATTATTATGATATCACGATAAGGACGAACAAGTTCCTACAAGTACTTTTCTATGACTATAGAGGGGGCTTATACCTACCCAATAAGTCAGCCGCCTTCCTTGAATTCCTTTATGCCAAAGTATGAGCCTTGATTTCTAGAATGAACATCTATCTGTCTGTCCACAAGTACCCAAACATCCCGTCCATTTGTCATAGTGACTGTAATCTCGAGTGTACAGTATCGAGAGACTTTCGCGTCACTTGATGGCATTACAAATGCCAAATCTTCATATCTCCGAGGGCTTCCAAATTCGCAAAAAGAGCAGGATATTTACCCGGCCTGTCACCTGTCAAAATGGAGACAGTCGCAGCAAGGGGGAGGTCAGGTCCCGGATTATACGATGGAGATCTCATCCATGAAGCGAGGCGTTTTCATCAGAACACAGAGCACTTTTGCGATGACGTTACAAAACCGCAAAGTAGTTATCATAAATAGATCTGGTTATGATGCACTGGTATATCCCTTTTTACGACACGACCTTGGTTCTACGACAATCAGAACTTTATGCGGAAAAAGTTGTGCAGACAAAGAACAGGGTTTGGATATCTGGGAAGCCGCTATTCTATCGACGTTGATACAAACACGGCTACGGCGATGGACACACTAGCTGGAAATGTAATAATCTGACACGTGCAGTTGTCGGCAAGATGTAAAATCGGGCGATACTTGGCAGACGCATGCAAATGCCAAGCTAATATCTATACATTGCCCTAGTTTTTGGACCCTTAGACCCTGTCAAATCTGTCACCATGGCTGTATTTGCCAAGATACACTTCTCTCGATATATCTAGGTGGGGAAAGAACCGACTGGATCCGTTGATTCAGCACTCGCATCAGCATGTCCAACTACGTTCGACCCATACCTGGAACGGCCTTTCTGACTACTCCTTCAGAGGTCATTCCTGTCCCTACACCCTCCACATCTCCAGATGATCCTCTCAACTGGTCCAAACGTCGCAAACTTGTGTCCATGATGTGCATGAGTCTTTTTACCCTGAGCTCGGGAGTTTGCACAGCCTCCATCTACTCCATCCTTGTGCCCATCTCTCTACAAACAAACGTGTCCCTCAGTACTCTCAATCAGGGCACGGGCTACATGTTTCTGTTTTTGGGCCTCGGATGTTTGTTCTGGCAACCCATAGGACAGCAGTACGGTAAGCGTCTGGTATACATTGTATCACTGCTGCTCACTGTGGCCAGCCAAGTCTGGGCTGCCCATGCTCACAATACAAGTGCCCACTGGATTGGCTCGAAGATCTTCCAGGGCTTTGTACAAGCCCCGATTGAGTCACTCTGCGAAGTGACCATCTCTGATGTGTTCTTTGAGCACGAAAGGGGCCGATGGATAGGTCTTTATGCCTTCATGCTCATGTTCAGCAACTACATTGCGCCTGTTATTGCTGGACCCATCGCTGACGGGCAGGGCTGGCAGTGGGTGCTCTACTGGGGCGCTGTGTTTTGTGGAGTGGTCAGCATCATCTTGTTCTTTCTTTGTGAAGAGACCAACTGGACCCGAGGAGCAGACTTCAAGGAAGAGGTGGTCATGACTCCGTTTGGAGGCACGGGCGTAGCTGCTGGGCTGGCGGCTTTGGAGGAAGAAGACAAGAAGTCCTCGGCCGCCTCCAACAACTCCGTGGCAAACGGCTCGGTCATTTCAATCCACCAGAAAACTTACTGGCAAAGGCTGTCTTTGCTGGACAAACCTCGACCCATGATGCTTTGGACTATGTTTGTGCGACCTTTCAAGCTTGTCACGTACCCCGCCATCGTCTACTCAGGTTTTCTCTACGGCACTGGACTCATCTTCTTCAACATTTTGAACGCCACAGCATCTCTCATCTTTTCTGCCGAGCCCTACAACTTCAGCGCGACCAACGTGGGTCTGACTTATCTTAGTCCTGCATTTGTGTCGGGTGTGCTGGGATGGGGAGCAGGACATCTCAGCGATTTCATCAAAGTCTGGTTAGCTAGACGAAATCGAGGAGTTAGCGAAAGCGAGCACCGACTCTGGATATTGTTGGTTTATCTCATTCTGGTTCCTCCGTCACTAATGATCTGGGGTTTTGGCGCATCTCGGGGCTTTAACCCAGGACTACTCATCCTGGCCATGGGACTAATTGGAGGTTCAGGAACAGTGTGTGCAACAGCGTCGGTGACGTACGCCATTGACAGCTACAGAGATATCGCATCGGATAGCATGGTCACCCTTATCATCATTCGGAACTTGGTTGGCTTCTGTGTGAGTTATGGCATCACCGATTGGGTGACAAACGAGGGTCTCGAAAAGTGTTTCGGCGAAGCAACAGGCTTGTGCGTGGCCTGCATCCTGCCCATGTTTGCAGTCATTTGGTTTGGAAAGAAATGGCGTGTCAAAACGAAGGAGCGATATTGGCAAATGGTTGACGAGAGTCGAAGAAGTGGCATGGCCTTCTAGCCTTTAGTATTTATATAATGATCATTGTGTATGTTTAGAGAACATAAAGAGAGCTAGAACAGAATGAAGCAGTCATGTTTGTACTGTGTGTTTAGCAACTGAAGCAAACGTGTCCTCATCCCAGAACCCTTGGATAGTATCTGCTTCATCACTTGGTTGTTCCCCGCTGGTGATTAGAACATAGTATATACTGAACAACTTCCCGTAGCTCTCTAGCATGACCATTTCACTGCTCTCATCATATCGAACAGGCCGATATTCCGATGGTCTTCACAGAGCATCTCAAAGTTCCTCTGTTGTCTTTTCTGCCATTTTTATGCCCTTTACTCCCTGCATCTCCACTACAATCACATCCAGCACACTCTCTGCACCAATCTCCAATATCCTCTACGCCAACCTTTCACGATCCAGACCCTAGCCACCAAACATTCATTGATCGCGTCCACATTAAATCCCACAATCACTTCAACCTCTACACTCTTTCGCTCGCAACAATAGGGCAATGCAATGATTATTTATTCTCGGGAAGAACCGGGAGCCTTGCCGATAGATCCACCCTGGGGAACGGGGTCACTGGGTTAGTATGTGTCAAAAGCCAATCATTTGGCCAATCACCTTCAAGACGATAGTTTCTTCTCAGTCGAAATACTCACCTGAACAGAGGGGAGTAGCTGTGGGCATAGTCCTTCTCCTCACGTTTGAGCTCGTGCATCTTGATGGTCAGCTCTCGCTGGTTGTTGAGAGCCTGCACAATCTTGGCCTCCTCATTGAGAATGTCCTCTCGGCTCTTGGGGTGGAAAAAGGTCTCGACCCAAGTGTGTCCGTTCTTTGCCTCGTACGACGAGTTGAACTGGTAGAAAGCGACCAGACCGAGAGAAACGCCGGCCCACTTGAGAACGTAGGGCTGGAAGAAGGGGACGGCGGGGGTCAGCTCGGGGCCGTGGCCGTGGGAGCCGAATCGAACGTTTCGAGCCTGTCGAAGAGTCTGAGTAGCTCGTACGGTGTGTCTGAGCATTGTTGTTGTGTGTTGTGCTGACTGCTAATGCTGACCGCGATACTGGATTATGCTTACACACTCGGAAAACTGCAGCCAATCATTGGAGAGGTAATATAGAGTTGCAAGCCAGGTAAGTCATGTGACCCCATTTTTGACTGACCTTTAGCGCTCTTACGTGACAATTAAATTTCGGGAGAAGAATAGGGATAAATAATATCGTGTCAGGATATCTACTGCTTGTCTCAGATGACTCACAGCTCAAATCCAAGGAGTACAATCTCTCGGATCGAACTGATCTGTTTTTTTCGTAGTGACAATTTAGTCCAACCTTATTTCCCCTACAACCATCAAAAGACCTAACCCTGTGAATTTCACAACAGTAACACAGAACATACATACAAATGGATCGCGACTTGGTGTAGAATTACAACCTCCTCCGTAACATTAACATGCAATATATACATTATATACTTAATCATTATAATTAGTCGCTGACATCTGAATCGGTACAATCGTCGTAGACAAAGCCCAAAGTAGAAGGACTCAGCGTAGCTGTGACATTGTACGCCATGTAATCCAGAAACTCGGGCTCCTCCGAGACGCTGAAATTTTCGATGTCAAAATCGTGCAATGCGGGAATGGGTTCGTAAATCCTGGCCTTGTCCAAAAGAGCAGCCGCGTCATCAGGAGGGAGCTGTAAGTACTCGTCCAACTCAAAGCCAGTGAGCTTGCGCCAAATGATTCGCAGGTACTTTTTCAGAGAACGAAGACCTCGCAGATAACCCTTATCAGGAGACTCGGGATGATGAGGCGGCACGTTGGTGTTGGGAGGCAGCTTGTCTTCACCTGTAATGCATTGGGCAAAGTCAATGATTCGCAGAGAAATGGTGGTGGGAGGAAGGCCGCCCTTGTTGGTTTCCTTCTTCTTATCACGCTCCTCCTCCTCCTTTTCTTTGCCCTCGTAGATGACCAACAAACTGGACCCGTACAGCCGGTACCCATTGAGACTGGCAATGATCACCTGCAACTCGTTGAGTTGGCGAATCATAGCAGGAACGTGTCTCAACACACTTGCCTTGGTAAGACCATCGTACAGGAACCTTCCAAGACACGCTCGGAACTGAGGTCCAGCTCGAACAGCTCGACCGAAATACTTGTCCTGGTAAATGTACTCCTCAGACGGAATGTCCCAGACTTGCATACCACAGATTCGCACACCCAGGGCTCTGGAAGTGGTGTTGGCGCACTTGGTTCGCTGAGACTTCTGCTTTTTGGGAATTGCATCAACGCCATATTGTCGGGTGCCCATTTTGAGATCAAGCACACAAGGCTTGTTCATGCCATTGGTGAGGTCCTCAAGGAGGATAAACCGCTCGGTACGAGTGTAAATTCGTCCAGGAGAGGCGTGCACAATAACAGGAAGCGCTGAACGAGATACTGGTGCAGGCGAAAGATTAGTGGTGCTGTTAGGTGTGCTGAGTGCTGCCAGGGCAGGGTTGCTGAGTGACAGGGCAATTGTGTTGTTAGTACCATCAACTCCGTCGACGCCATCCATTTCGAACACGTCACCATCACTTCCTCGGTTATTCTCCACCTCCACTTCCTCCTCGATAGAAACGACAGACTCAGCTCGAGAAGCCTTCACTCGAGGAGACGTGTCGAAGAACACCGACTTGGGATGCTGAGGCTTAATTAGGGGAGACCTCAGGCAGGCCGACGTGGACATACTGCTGGGCAGAGACGATGTGTGGCTGTTGTCAGAAGAGTTGTGCAGCTCTGCCAAAGATAGGTCGCTCATGCTATGGTGTGATGAAATGGGATGCTGCAACTTGGGTCGAAGTGTGTTGATGGCTGATGATGTGGAAAACCGATGTGTTCGCTGCGAGGTAGGGATACCCGTGATTCGGCTGGTGGAATGGGTACGGGGAGAATCGCGTCGAGGAGCAAATACCTCAGCGAGGACCAACTCCTGTAGCTTCTGGTTCACAGTTGTAGCTCCCCACGACACTGCCGGAGACTCGGGGGAATGCATGACTCTCATAACAGGTGACTTGTGGAGATTGCCCAGAGAAGATGGAGAGGTGGGGGTATCTAGACTCTTGGGTGAAGCATCCTCCTTGGGGGCGCTGGTCGAGTACTTCTTGAGCAGAGATTCGGGGATGATGTGAATATTGTCGTCCAGCACGACTTCGGGCAAGCATGTCTGCAGCGATTTCAGGGAAGCAGAGCTCGTCTGACGATCCAGCTGAGGAGACTTCATGTTGGGCTGCGAAGTGTACGCTCGCAGCTGAGGAGTCTGGATGGGAGCTGCTGAGGTCAGCAACGGCGCAGCCGACCTTTTGCTTTTGTTCTCGTCGGTTCCCTCGCTATCTTCCAGGCCGCCAAGCATAGGTGACACTGCATTGATGTCATCCTCCACCTGGGCCGTGTGTCGTACGTTGAGCACACCAATGTACTTTGGCATAAATTTGAGCAGCTCAAAGTGGCGCAGCTCAATGGCCTCATACCATATGTTTTCTCGGTTGACTAAAGCCTTACAAACAGCCTGCTTGGAAAATCGGAAGATGGCCGTATGGCCACCCACTTTGTGCTTGAACGGCGTAAGCTCCACTGCCAAGGGGAACTGAGAAGTGTCGGGATCGTTAGCATCGTCGACAGCCTCGTCAACCATGACATCTTCATGCAGGTGCAACTCCACCTGTGGTGCATCGTCCATGTCCAAAGTAAGGTCCAGATCAACCGTCTCCTCCTCCTCCTTGGTCTGGCCATTGTTTGTCGCTTTGGTATCCCTCTCCTCGGGTGTCATGTCTGCTGTACTGGTAGTTTCTGGTGCTGAATCACGGACCTGGCTCTTGTTTCTTGTCTTGCTGACGCCACGGGTACTGCTGCGTGTCACTCCAACGTCCTCGCCAGCCATACCCTTGATTTTGTTGGGGTCCATGGGTTGGCTTTGTTCGTCCTGTGGCGATACCGACTCGCCACGCTCCACCAACGCCGTCAGAGGCACATTCTGGTCCGACCAATGGTACATGCTGGGCTCCACCACGTAGTGTCGAGTACGAGCCTTCGCTGCGGCCTGCTCAGCTGCTAGAGTGTTGAGACGAGCCTGGCCAGGGGTATGTGGGAAGTATGTCGCGCCGGAAATCTCCTCCTCCTTGTCATCAGAGACCACTGACGCACGTCTCGAGCGCACGTCGGCCATGCGTGTTTCCTCGTTTTCGTCGCGAGGTCGGCTTTGTGTTCGCTGTTCGCTCTTCTTGGTCTCGCGTTCTCGAGAATCCTCATGCTTGAACAGACGCAGAGATCGGGACGCCTTTCGCGAGCCGGAAATGTCTGGTGGCGAAGAAGATGCCGAAGACACGCCAGATTCGTCTTCTGTATTGGTGTAGTCGTCCGCGTCGTTGTGTGTCGGAATGGACGTGTTTGTAGTTGATGTTGTTCCCGACGATGTTGTCGCAGCTGATGAGGGGTCTGCGGACGCATTAGTTGTGGAAATGGCCACGGGCCGCAGCTGTGTCGGTACGCTCTGTGTTTCTGTGCCGCCTATCGGGGTGTGGCCCACATCCAGCTCCAGATACGAAGCCGGGCCTGCCGGCAGCTTTTGACTTGGTGGTGGATGACTCATTTCATGTGTGTGGAGATGTGGAAGTAGGCTTTACTTACTAGTATACGTCAAGTTTTGGGTGGTCGGGTCTGCGTTTGTGTCTGTGTTGGGTCACTAGTTTTTTATGCCGTGAATATGTAGTGGTGGATAACACAGGAGAAATATTCTGAGTGATTTGAGTTTGGTGGTGGGCGAAGCTAACGCAGCAAAAAGTCAAAATGCGAACTATGCTTCCTTACCAAGGTGAAGGAACATGTAACAAGGGAGCCAGGGCACCTAAGCGTCATACATGGTCTTTTTTAGAGCACAGATAAGCGTCTGCGATCATGTGTCTTGGTATTGTTTTTTTGTGTGTTTTTTTTGGAGGCTGTACGGCGACGATTTAGTGCAGCTAGCTCTTCAGAAAAACCTGCCATACATTGCCCCTACTCCCTTCCCATACTGTTTGTGCTGGGGGGGGAAGATTATTATTGTCGTGTTTGTCAGTCTTTTTGGTGGGGTGTGGGTAGATAAAGTCTCGCGGCTCCAGACACATCTTTTGCGACTTGTACGTGTCATTATATCCTGTAGCTGGAATGCGATAAGATACGGCACGTATGCAACTACGAGACCCATACTACTTGTACTACAAAGTACTACAATATAGGTAGACTGGGGCGGCGTAATCGCATCAGGGAACTGTTACGCAACGCTCCACCTTGAGCAGTGCTTCACTTTTCTTTTGTTCCCATGTACAGTAATTACTTGTACTTGCACTACTTGTAGAACTTGTACTGGTTGTGTGGGATGGATTTTGTCCCGTGTGCCGGCTACAAGTAGTGGCAGGCAGCAGCATTGATCCGTGTGTCGAAGAATCAGGGGAGTAGCAATAAAAGCAACAAAAAATAAAAACAAAAACAACCACTCACCCACAACAAAAAGTCGTTCGCACGCCGCTCATTCCACACCTCTTCTCACCGAAATCCCATGGCCCAGAGCTGGCTCTTGATTGGGCTCAACGGAACTTTATTTGGAGGATTGAAAACACGGTAAAGGAGCACGTGTATCGTGGAACGGGTGAGCAATGCTCGCCATGTAGCACCCATGCTTCTTTGTTTGTTTTCTTCTTCGGTCCGGGCAGTATCTGATTTCTCAACGGCAAGGCCCCGGGAGGCACCTCCACTTGTAGGTCGTGGGTTGTCTCTTCGGTATGTTGTGCAAGAACAATGACATTCTTTCATCCTGCCATATTTTCTCCCTACAACAAGTAAAAGTACAAGTACATACTACAACGTAGTCCGGCGACGGATTTTGAGACCTGATAATATTCGTCTCACAAGATTTCGTGAGACAGACCGAGCTATATACTGTAACATGGCATTCTCAAGTATTTGCTTAGCCGTTAAGTCCTGTTGATCCCTCATCGCCCCCCAGACGTGTTGTCAAGTCACCGCTGCTGCGTTCACTTTGCACCTGCAGGTGGGTGTCTATCGTCGTTATCTCATGCGTACCTCCTAATCGTAATGCATACACACGGAATAACAACAGGATCCACAAGCGCTACCCTCATGTTGATTTCGTGGTGACCTAGATAAGGAATGAAACAAGATATACACCCACGTTTTATCCGAAGACTCATCTGTGAATTCTGAACTAGGAAAAACGAGGTTGCAAGCGAATCCAGATTCAAGAGCCCATTTATTCGCTGGTCAAAAAAGGGACTTTGAACATTGTCTCTATTGTTACAAGTAGTTGTATCGACTGGAGAGCAGCGTCAGGTCAGTCCTGTGGTTCTGGATACAAGAAGCACCTCCCACAAGCACGAAAATGTCCTCGTGCCCTTCTTTGCCTGTTTTTGCGGTGGCTTACGCCACATGCGTTTGAATTTACGCCACAGCACGTGACACGCTTAAAAGAGGCGGTTTGAGTCCAGAACAGTTGTACGAGAGAGACCACCAGACGAATACGAAAATACTTTCCATAATTATATACAGTACTGTATATGGCAAGCTAATTCTTCCATAATCACACTGAATATATCCCAAGGCTGTGTTTCTTTGACACAATTCTCTTCCAGTAGGAGCTGCACACAAGGGGCGTCCTCTTGACAGCACAACAAGTCTACTAAGATGGGCTTGCAAACATAAAACTTTGGTACTTGAAATCATAAGCTAGCTACTTCTTCTTCTCCTGAGTAGATTTTCTCTCCCTAATACCCATCCCCGCTCTCTTAATGGCCTCGGAACTGCTTGAGATCATAGCGAAGAGTTGTAGCACCCAGAACCTAAATATGTTTTAAGCTCTACATATACATCTACTCTCAGTCACGATCCCATCTTCATCACCAACACACATCATGTCTCGAATTGGATCTGTGACTCGGGTTGCCCGTGCTGCACGGGCTGCCACCACTGGTGTCGCTCGGAACCTCTCTTCGACCTCTTACCAGGCTGGCTTCAAGCCTCTTGTGGCCTCCAACGGCTTCAATGGCGCTATCGGCAACACTCCTCTGATTCGAATCAACCACCTGTCGGACGAGACTGGCTGCGAAGTCTACGGTAAGGCCGAATTCATGAACCCCGGTGGATCCGTCAAGGACCGTGCTGCTCTCTACGTGGTTGAGGATGCCGAGCGAAAGGGCCTGATCAAGCCCGGAGGAACCGTGGTGGAGGGAACCGCAGGAAACACCGGTATTGGTCTTGCCCACGTCTGCCGAGCCAAGGGCTACAAGTGTGTCATCTACATGCCCAACACCCAGTCCCAGGGTAAGATTGACCTCCTCCGACTGCTGGGAGCCGAGGTTTACCCCGTCCCAGCTGTCGCCTTTGACAACCCGCAAAACTACAACCACTTGGCCAAGGCTCACGCTGAGAAGCTTGGAGCTGGAAATGCCGTGTGGACTAACCAGTTCGACAATGTTGCCAACCGACAGGCTCATATTGAGACCACTGGTCCCGAAATCTGGGCCCAGACCGACGGCAAGATCGACGCCTTCACTTGTTCTACCGGAACCGGAGGCTCGTTTGCTGGAACCATGCGATACCTGAAGGACGTTTCCCACGGCCGAGTCCAGTGCATTCTTGCCGATCCCCCTGGATCCGTGCTCCATTCTTACGTCCAATCCGGAGGTAAGCTCACTGAGCGAGCTGGTTCTTCCATCACTGAGGGTATCGGTCAGGGCCGAGTCACTGAGAACTTGGCTCCCGAGATTGCCGAGGTCGATGGCTCTGTTCAAATCCCTGATCAGGCAACCATTGAGATGGTTTACAACCTGCTGGATAAGGAGGGTCTCTACCTTGGTGCCTCTTCTTGTCTGAACGTTGTTGCTGCCTACGAGGTTGCTAAGCAGATTGGCCCAGGCCATGTTGTGGTCACTCTGCTCTGTGATGGTGCTCACCGATACGCCGACCGGCTGTTCAGCAAGAAGTGGCTCGAGTCCAAGGGACTCACCATTCCCGAGAATCTCCAAAAGTACGTTGTTCTGGATTAAAACACAAACAGTATATAGACAAATGTTGATTGGACACTATGAGACATTTATCGGTAGTACTGATGCCCTGGTAGTATCCCTCTACAGTATGAATGTACTCTACGAGTCTACAAGCCTTGGATCTTGGGTTGTGTTGTTTATCATCTGCGTTCAATTTCAATGAATGTATAAATACCCCCCTATTGTGTATACGGAGACCGCATGTAGTTGTCTACAGGAAGTAGTCTGGCGTTCGTCGGCTGATGGTTGGCTCACCCTCCCTTGGGCTGGGGTCAATCTGAATGAACTTTTTGTTGAGCTGCTCATCCAGCTCCATGATGGCTGCTTGGTTGCCACATCTGTAGCAATAGTTTGGTGCTGAGAATATAGTCACCACTTGTTTGTCCTGGCCCCAAGAAAAGCCCTCCATGACCAATTGGTGAGCTCGTGCAATCAATTCGAGACCGTTTGCATGGTTGAAAGCTTCAGAAATGTCATGACCAAATGTGTATCCCGCTCCTCGAGGGGAAATACCCCACCCACATCGCTCGTCGGGATCAGACCAAAGCAAGTCACACATGGGACCCTCATGGGGCACCTCCTGAATACGGTCGAGCGTTCGAATGTTGTCGAGGGTGTCAATTGTAGGCGAGAGTCCTCCGTGCAGACAGAATATTTTGTTTTCTATGAGAGCTGTGAGAGGCAAGTAGTCGAAGAGGTCTGTGAATCGCTTCCAAACGTTGGCATGGCCGTATTTCCGCAGGCACTCGTCGTAGAAGCCATAGACTTGTGTGATTTGTCGAGATTCGTGGTTTCCTCGCAAGATGGTGATTCTGTTGGGATACCGGATCTTCATGGCAACCAGCAAGGAGATAGTCTCGACCGAGTAGTATCCTCGGTCAACATAGTCTCCCATGAACAGGTAATTCGTATCTGGACAGGGTCCTCCAATACAGAATAGCTCCATAAGGTCATGGAACTGCCCGTGTACATCACCGCACACTGTGACAGGGGTGTGCACACCCTGGACGTTAGATTCTTGCTGAAGAATTTCTTGAGCCATGTCACACATGGTGGCAACTTCGGCTTCGGTCAGCGGTTTGCATTCCTTCAGCTGTTCAATCCATTGGTCGAGAGTGCCAGTGTACAAGGTAGACGCAGGCTCCTTGACGTCTGTCATTTCCACGTCCATTGTCGTTGTCGTTGTCGTAATATTTAAATTGTCGATGTAACCCCTTCTTTCGGTGTTGACGTAGCTGGCGTTTTCAATGGCAAGCGAGGTGAAGCAGTGACGAATATGGAACCACCTGTCTGCAGCCTTAAGTTTCTAATGACGATGTTGCTGCACGATACATGGCCATCAACCTTATTTCCAGAAGTGGACAGGTTACGGGGTAGAAATCTAAAGTGACGCACCCTCCTAACGCACACAAACGGATAACACACAAATTAAAGGGTATAAGTTCGCCTTTGCCCGTTGATACCACAAACCTGATACCACAAACCTGATACCCCACGACAATACTGGAAACCACGTGATACTACTGGACTTGTACCACACAGATACACAATGAGGGTTCTTCAAGAACTCCCACAGGAAGTGGAGAACCGCGAAAATTGTGACCCCACGGTCACTACGCCTATGCCACGTATTCTCGCAGGTCTCAAGCGCCTGGTAGGGGCTGAAACTGTTGCCGTTCATGCCGAGGTGCACAAACAACAGTCATCCGCTGACACTGAACCCTCGGCCTATTCGAAGGTGTCCTCCGTCCTCGTCAACCCCGACTCCTCTCCAGGAACATCTGTCCAGTCACGAGACCCTAATGACAAGCTCTTTCGAGACTTTGAACGTCATACCCGAGCTGGGGCTACAGACATAATCAGCATTCCGTCATTCACCCTCGTCACAGCAGTTGACCAGCTGGGTGCCCGCGTACCTACCAAACCAGGACAGGGCGTTACCTATCAGCTGAAATTGTCTACTTGCATTACAGTCCCTGAATTCCCCCGGGTCCAAACCTACATTGCGATTTTCATTGATAACTCAGCTTCCATGTCACCTACAGATTTTTCTCGTGCCATTGAAACAGCCGGCCGCCTTTATGACTCTGCCTCTGCTTTATACCCGCGACTCTACGTGTTCAACGACCACCCCCGTCATGTGCGAATCGAGCACCTTCACGATACCACACAGTCTACGTCGGCTGAACGAGATATCACTGGGGCAGTGAGTGCCATCTTCGGTGATGTTCTGGATGGTTATGACTTTGAGTCTGAAGTGGGATCCACGATGCCTCGCCATGTCATAGTTATCTCTTCAGCATCGTTGTCTATAGATAGCCTGCTCCGCCGAGTTCAACGGCTTCACATACACACCATGTGTGTCACCCCTGGAGGCTTCATTTCCAGAACCCCATTCCTTGACTCGCCTGGGACATGTGGCTGGGTGATGAACACAAGCCCCCAAAGTCTCTCTCTATTCCCCCTTCTCCTGCAGTGCCTTCAAGTGGGACTGGTCATAGAGCCGCTCCGAAACCTCAGGGTCTCCTTTGAAAGCAATGGCTGGGAACCTATAGAGGATGAGCTTATTCCTTGTTTCTACCCTGGCATGTATCTGGAACGTACGGTCCATTACGTGTTGGGTATGCTTCCGGGGGATCATGTCGCGCAGGCACCAGATGGCAACAACTTGGGGGCTGTGGAGAGCCTCGAAGCAGCTTTGGGCATATACCTCATCCAAACTGGACTACTGACTGTCTCGTACGAAATGAGTGGAGTGGAGGGGTTGATACGACGAGAACACCCCTTGTATACCAAGCGGTTTGAGTTCGACGATGAACTCGAGCCCAGGGGAACCCAGCCAAGCGAATGCCACTGATATGGCGTGATTGAAGAGGTGAGCTCGGTGTCGAGGCAATGCTGAATGGCTTGTGAGAAACTAGTGGGAATCATAAAGCCCTCAATACATATCATAAGTATTACATGATTATGTATCAGGAGTACACAGTTATGTGGCTTGGTATTTGCAGAAACGTTTTCTGGAATGTTACTTGTGTTTTTTGTAGAGGTACACGGTTAGGCAATAACAGAGCGTTTATTAACTGAATTTAATCTACTCAGAAGAGTGTGGTTCTTTTTTTTAACCAGAGTACTGATAGCAGTATTCCTTGAGACAAGCCTGGCAGGTTTCAGGGAGTTCCTTACCAGTTCTCTGGAACTCTCGGAGAATACCCGCACAGCCGACACACTGGGCCCACTTCAGGTCACCATTGTTAGAAGCGACTGCAAAACCGTTAGAGATCATACCAGTTTGCTCATCAGAGCTATAGTCCATCTTGTCAGTCTGCTGAAGAGAGTTGTAGTTGATCTGGTGGTTGGCCATTGTGATGACAAGAGGAACGTATCGATCTGTGTTGGGGATTTTTTTGAGCTTGGAAACTTCACATCCGAGCCACACTGGCTTGACAAGGTAGTTGGCAATGTACTCCTCGCTGCTGGGAACCTCGGGGAACACTCCTTCGCCCATCTCGTTTGTGACCTTCTGCTTCACGTTAGCCAGAGTGACTCCACTAGGAGCATTGTTGGGACCTCCTGCGCTGTTATCGAATGAGAATACCAAGTCCACGTTTCGAGATGGCTGCATAAGGGGCCACAGGGGAAGAACCATGCCAGAATAACCTCCGTCTGAAGCATAGAGAGAGTCACCGTTGAAAGGAGCCTGGACCGAGCTGGCATCCTTGAAAGGGTTGGGGTGATAGATGGCACTGGGTGCGATGTTGCCGTTAAGAGCCCCAACAATGTTCAGCATAGTCTTCTGCCATCCACTGACACCCTGGAAAAGACTGGATGTGGTTCCCAGCAGGAACTGGGCATTGTCGAAGCCAGTGACACATCGGGAAGAGGTGGGCTGGCCGTTAGAAACAGAAGTACCAATAGCAGAAGTAGTGAAGAAAGATTTGATGGACTTGTCGAAGGAGCCGAACTCAATGGGGGTCATCTCAATCAAAGGGTTGTCGATAGTAATCTGAGCCTCCTGCTCATCAGCGCTGTTCAGAGTGGTACCGACAATGATAGGGAAGGGAATCTCGTTGGACAGGTAAGATTGGGTGACCTTGATGTCGGACCAGGTAGAGTATGGGCCGTTCTTATCAACAAGATTTCGCCCCACGAGCAGACCCCACTCGTCGGTGAAAGAGATTTTAAATCCGGCCAAACGCTTTCCAAGGGCAGCAGTAACAATGCCAGCATATCTACCAAACGCCAACCAAGAAAGAGGGTTAGTAAGCTCGGGAACATTGTCATTGATCTTCCACAGGTCAGAGTTGGATCGGACCTCAGCGATAGTAGGGAAGTTGTTCATGGCAATAGTGCCGACCAGCCATCCACCTCCAGAGCATCCGACAAGATAGTTGGATGCCTGTAAAAGACCTCCCATAGTGTTGGCGATCTCGTTTCGGCTATCCAGAGCAGAAAATTGGCCAGCACCGGACAACATAGCTCGATATCCTCCTCCAGAGAAGGAAAGGGCAATGTTGGCAGACTGGTTCACATCCAGACCAGGGATGTTGACGTTCTTGAGGTAGCTCTGGAAAGCGGAATCGGAACTGGACTGCTTGGAGGCAACGTAGTTGGCCTCATCAGGAGAGATACTGGAGGCTTCTCGAAGCAGGTTGGTGTCGTATTGGCAGCTTCCCTTGGAGGGAGTGTAGGAGGCTGCAGCGAAGGTGACCAGCACCAGAAGCAGCAGGAAGTTTGCGATCATGGACGAAGTAGCAGTGGCCTGTGGTCTGAAGTGGCATCCCTCTCCGACTATATAAGTTTCGGTTCTGATGAGCCTCCGGCGTAGAAGCAGGGATCTACGCTTCGACACATGCACTCCACGGAATAACCTAGACCCCTAGTTGTCATAAACGGCTCGTCCTGTTTCATGGAAGATCTTAGCCGAGTTTGTGAGACTGCTCATTGGTCTCATTGTCTTGCACGTTTTCAATAAAAAGCATTGGTGAATGCTAACGGTGTCGAAAAGTAACATAGTTTCCACGGAAGCTGTCAAAATCATTAATATATTGGTTTCGGGCAGCGGTACATATCTGTCATCGGAGATCTGGCAGCTGTCCTGTTACCCGCTGAGTCAGTGCCCACATTCTTCGTCGTGTTAGGAATCCCTTCTGAGACAGTATGTAGAGATAACGCAAGGACCAAAGGTAACTGGTAACGGCTCGAACTATGCTTTTTCCAAAGTGAAACAAACCCAGATCTGTTTAGAGCAGCGATAGATGTTTTAGACAAGGCCGTTATGATGACAGGGCCGCCAAATGTAGGACTGTTTAGAAGGTACCTAAGCGTGCATAATGACTCAAAAAACCGGTATACGTTTTGACGGTTCCCGGGCCCTGTATGGGCACGTTGTGCCCACCTGCACGAGAACGCTTTTTTACTCGCAGAAATAATCACCTGCACCAACGGTGCAAATCACCCAACTCTGATTGCACGTGGCGATATGATAAGGCTGCAAGTGAAGGGAAGGGCGTTCGCACAAGTATGTATGTGCTGTACTGTATGTACTGTACATCAATTTTTGGGCCCTGGGTTTAGTTAGTGTGGTGCCGTTTGCTTCGAGGCAATTAAAATGTCAGGGTGCAATACAGAATTGCAATAAGAATATCGTTGCTTTTGGTAAATAATACCAAGCGCCGTAGATCCACTTTTCTGGTGAGTAGTGTGCGACTTGTAATAGGGTGGAGAAGACCTTAAAAGAGACACATGCAGCCGGTACAGTATCCAATTTATCACACTTGTGCGTGCAACTTCTCTCCACCGTGCAGCAAATATGACGCACGCTCCAATATCAATATCGCATGAGTAGAACAAAACACAAGAAATGATGATACTGTAGGCATCCTCAGATACGAAGTTCCATTACAGCTCCGAGTTATCGCTCTGTTAGACAAGTAGCAAGCCAGTCAGTAGAGCTCACAATTGTAGTTACATATGGCGATCTTCTAAGAGAGAGGCAACCTACTGTAAAGTACATACTGTACTTGTACCAGCTTGTGCGGCAGGCTGCGAGTACGTACTGGTATTGGAGCTACAGTATAACACGTAGAAGTATTGTATTCAAACTTACTCTTTCAAGGGCCTCTTAGTCGACCAGCGTATGTGGATGTCCTGAGATGGCATCCACCCCAGACACACGGCTGAATCCTAATCAAAGGGGTGTATAAATCAAAAGGGATTATTGTAGTGGCTTCTGGCTGACTCTTGGGTAGTTAATGGCGCATACAGATCACTCTTCCTAAAAAGAAATACAGAGGCTGCTCCACAACTCAAATCGAGACAGGACTTGTGATGCAACCTCCACCATTCCAGCACTAGGTGTACATTTGCCTGTAGTCATTGGTCATGGGGACATCAGCTTTGCTTCTTATGAACCTCGCTACTAGTCGGGGGCATTTGTGTACGCCTGCAGATGGAGACATGGCAAGCATCGCAAAAGTCCATCATGACAGGGAGGGGTGCTGCACTTCAGTGCAATCACCGTGGCGTATTAGATTGTGGCATCCTTCTCATTTCCTTATACAAGTACAAGTGTGTACATAGTGTACTCAGTTCAAAGTATCAGTATTCCTATTTAGCTTGGTTTACAAACACAAAGTCGTCACCGGCCTTGATATCGTCATCGTCGCCTAAATATCTCAAGGCAAACGTTTCAATCACGTCGTCGTTGATCTCCATGTGCTGTCCATGGACCGTGTGGAACTCAAGATCACCACGCTTTCCAAGCTTCTTAAGTCCAATCCAGTCCTCTTGGTATATCTCTCTGTCTTCAAGGTGGGTGACTTGCCCACTTTCGAGATCCACCTCTTGGAACCATGCACTCTCCATAGGCACTACTGTGGTATCCTCCGAGAACATGACCATGACAAACTTCTCCAAATAAGACAGGTCGTAGGTCTTGTTCTTTTGTTGCCTCTCGTTGTTGATGTCTGCCAGAAATCCAGACTTCTCCAGGTACACGTCCATGTGGTTAGGGTCCCGATAATACTGTGCCACTACCACATTCGTTTGAGAGTTCTTAGTCCACACCTGACTCTTGAACAGCTTGTTACGAGACTTGCAAAGGAAGTCGCTGGGCCCACAGAGCGGCATATCAGCAATTCCGTTATGAGGGGAGCCAAATGTGATGAGCTTTCGGAGAACAGGAGCTGAGGCGTTTGTCAAGGGACACAACTCGGCGTATGAACGAAGAAACAGACCTCCTTGGGAAAATCCGATGGCATTGAACCCGCCCTTCAACTCTGGTATTGCTGCCAGCTGGTCGCAGACACTCTCAACTTGCTCTCTTACGTTGCCTAGAAGACCCATTTGCTGATCTTTTCCGCCGTCTTCAGAGAGTCCGACTGAATGCACGTAAATGTCAGGGTAAATGTCGCGGATTTGGTCCGCCACACCGGTCATTCCTGGAGAGTCATATCTGTCGCCGAGACCATGCCAGAGAACCACTGGGGTAGTGGCTAGCACTGTGGATAGCTGGATTGCCAGAGTAACGAGTTTCATGTTGGGGAATTTGATAAGAATGCACTTCCATGCGCCCCACAAATCTTATATTCTCGGGGCCCTAACTAAAAGGACCTCCACATTCATGAACTTTGGATCCGTGCTACAAAACCTACTACAGTCGCACTCAGAGTCATGGACCCGTTCGTTGAATTATAGCTACTTGTACAAGCTACAATAGTCACTTACAATAATCAATCACAAGAAGAATGCCCCGAGAGCAAGCAAAACCACACCAAATGACTGAGTCGGCGCGTGATTGGAACTGCCTGTCGAGGCAGGAGAAGGGGCAGCTGAGCTTGCCATAGGTTCGAAGTAAGGAGTTGGAGTTGGATCTGACTCCAGTGGATATCTAGCGGTAAATGGCTTGGTTTCGGAGTTCCTTGAGGGCGCGGCGATGTTGTCAAAAGTTGACTCTGGATTCTGCCCCATGGCAGTCTCAATAGAACTATCGGTGATGGAGATTGTCGTAGGAGCAGCAGTTACCGTGCTGTTAATCAATTCAAGACCATTGGGTGTATCGTCAGCTTCTCTCGTTTGTATGACGTCACGGGACCAATTGGTGAAGGTCGAATGATGTCCCTCGGATATCTTTTCCATCACACTGTCGAGACTCATCATCTCGTCTTCGCGTAATGAACTTCGAGTGTAGAAGCCTTGTAGCTCACTCTCTGCACTTTTCCACTTGGACTCGCTTGTCATGTGTCTCATGTTGTCGAATGGTATGTCTCCCCCTCCACCTCCAGAGGGATGAGACAGCGCTAGACTGGTCTTGCAGAGAGTAATGATTGCGAGCAGCCGCATCTTTGATGATATCAATAAATCGGTAGTTTAGGGGTGTTGGGGTGGTATCTATTGTATGGGAGATTGTGTGTCGTAGAGAGGACTTGGTCTTTGAGGTTCTTATTTAATGTGGCTACAATATGTTATCCACACGTTACAGAAAGTATGTAATTTGAACATTTGTAAGTACTATCGTATGTGCCCCGATTATATATAATGAATTGGCCACATATTTCCAATTCATTATATCCCCCTCGCTGTTCGTTATTGTGAGATCACGTGTCTTGTTCTCGGCATTCGCATTGATCTGTTAGGCGAAACAGTACATACTGGTAGGAACTTCATGTGCTGAACAAGCGTTATCAACTACGACTAAACACCCATTCAATCATTATAAATAATATAATACTTTACATCTCGTTGGTGACCTCATGCAACGGGTCTCTGGTGTGACCCTTGAGGTTACCCTTCTCGACGACAGCCCTGAAATCGGTTGCGACATCCACATAGCTTGATCTTGGTGGAGCACTGGGGAATTTTTCGTACAAGTGCTCCTCGATGTGACCTGACACCTGATCGACTTCGCTAGCTAGACGTTTGACACAGTGAGCGACACTTTCAATGCCAGTCTTGAGCTCGCTTTTCACAGCTTCGCTGTCACTTCTTGCTGTATCAGAGTACACGCTGATAGTCTGAGCTGTTGATGACAGTCCCGCCTCGAATGCACTGCTGATCTCGTCCATACGCTTGGCGCGAGCTTCAGAGAGATTTTGGTTCGTTTCCGTGGCCTGCACAACAAACGAGTCCAGAGGAGACATGACGGACGTGACAGAATCAGAATGAGAGTCAACGACTCGGCACAGACTGCTATGGCCAGATTCAACGCGGTCGAAAACGTTACGTGTCGCCTCCTTGAGATTAATGCTCTCTTCAGTTAATTGGTGAGCTGTGCCAGAAACTGCGGAAAAGTCGACCTGGTTTCTAGACTCTCCATAGGCACCCTTGAACGTCTCGATGCTTCCGTTGACAGCAGAGAGCTCTCGGTGCACCTCAGTCTTGAGAGCACCAACGACAGCATCCCACTGGTCATTCTGTTCCTTCAACGCCGATTCAATCATTTGGTTCATCCGTTGTTTGAGCTCAGCCTCTGCAGCGGCCTGAGCCTCCTTCTGACGAGCAACAGTAGCCGACATGGACTCGAATGAAGTGTGGATTGACTTTGTGCTTGTGGAAGTGGTGTTCAAGTGGCTAGTAACGGCCTGATCAATCTGCTGTTGAACCCGCTCGTAAGTCTGTCTCACTGAGGCGACAGACTGAGACAAGTTGGATGACAGCTGGGAAAGTGAGTTGGTGAGCTGTGTCTCGTACGACTCAATGTGCTTTTCAAGATCGCTTGTAACGTCTTGAAGAGAAGTCTGTATGTGAGCCATTGATGCCTGAATATTGGTTTTCATTTCGTGCTTGACAGCCCCCAACTCACTCAGCAATGACGCCATAGAATGTGCATCTTGATTGTTGGAGGATATCAGGTGCACGATTTGAGCTTGTATTGAAGTGATTGAAGAATCAAGACGCTGAGTCAGATCGCCAAAGAACTGGTTATTTCGTTCCTGCAATCCATCGAGCGCTGTCAAACCCCCAGAAGTCTTAGTCACATAATGAGCCACGTCGTTCTTGTGCGTTCCAACACAAAGCTTGAGTCTCTTAGGTGCCGATTGTTGCAAACTTCTCAGGCCAGTTTCGTTCCGAACACCAATCTCTCCCATGAGTCTAGTGTGTTCGTGTAATTTGGTGACCTCCGCCACAGCAGAATCCATGACCTTCAGGAGACTCTTGGCACCTTTGATGACGACGGCCTGCTGTTCCTCCATGTCCTTTATCTTTCCCTCGTAATTTCCTGCACGTTCCTCCAAAACATCCAGACGCATTTTCTGCTCGTTGATGGTCACCTTGTGACTCTCGTTCTCGTCAAGCAGAAGCTGATAGCTCTCCTGTGACAAGAACACACCCTGTCCTTTTCGTGTGCTCTCCAGGTCAGCTCTAAGGCGTGCAATCTCATCCACATAGTCTTTGATAAACACTTGCTTGCTCGTGGTCTCATTCACAACAGGCGAGTTCTTAATGTTCTTTGCTCTGTGCGAGTACTCCAATGTCGAAATCGTCTCATCAATAGACACACGTGCGGGACTGACGGTCGCAATGATGACTGTTTTTGTTCTTCCTCCAAGGCTCTCCTGTAATAGCCGCGTCAACTTGCTCTCTCTGTATGGAATGTGAAGGGTACCATCGACTAGCGAGTTGATAACACGCCCTAAGGTAAGCAGCGATTGATTGATCGATCCTGCTTCTCTTGCTCGCATGTTTTCTGCTCCACTTCGTCCCACATTCTCAGATCCAGCCAAATCCACCAGGTTCAGTTTACCAGTGCGCAGATACTCCTGGCCATCAGCAGTGTATTCCTTGGTCGATAGCGTGATCGTGAGCACTGAATGTGACCGAGAAGACATATCGTTGCACTTAGTAGCAGCAACCTGCCGTCGAGTAAATCCTTCCTGTAACACTTTCATGGCCTCTGTGCATGATCGCACATATGCCTCCTCCAACCCTTGCACAACAGTTCCCTTTTTGCCTGGTTCCTCAAAGATCCGAAGCTTCTTGGTATCTCCCTGGCTACTCAACAGGTCTCTGAGTTCTTCGTTGTAGAGCTCAACATATGACAACTTGACGGAGTTTTCACCTGCAGAGCCGCTAAGTCGTTTGAACAGCTCTACCAGCGCCCGAGGAACAATTCCAGCGTTAGAAACCGCCTCTCCTCTCTCGTCCAGATTGAAATCACCCGTCATTGTATATGTCTTTCCCGTTCCTGTCTGTCCATAAGCAAATATCGTGCAGTTGTATCCTTGTAGCATCTCGTCCAGAGAGCTACTCACGGCCTCAAAAATCATTCCCTGGTCCGATTCAGGTCCAAATACCCGGTCGAATGTGTATGTTTTCCCCGTGTGGGCCACTGGTCCGCCCTCAATCGTTATTTCCCGTCCTTTGTGTCCACTCGTCTTGACCACAACAGACGAGTTTTCTGTCGTCTCACGCTCATTGCGGCCACGGCAACGGACCAAGACTTTCATGCCTGTCGATGGAGCCATACTGGACCGTGTCTTTGGCCTTGTCGAAGACATGGACGGTCTGTAGCTCTTTCTCATGATTGTTGGTTCAATGCTGGAGTTGATAAGAAGAAGTTAGATGTAAATAAAGGTGGTTGCCCAGGTAACGCGACGTAGACGCGAAGCCATAACCATCGGAGAGTGGTGAGACAGTAAATAAGGCACTCTGAATAATTTGGGGCAAATGACACAATGGTAGTTTCTTTATGTCAATAATAATTCTTGTTACGGCGTCAGTAACGGTGTTCTTAGTCATCATGTTCTGACTCGTACGTTCAGTATTGCTGATGAAACCAAAAACAACATTTTCGGTTTCAGATCTTTGTTTACTAAGCAACGGCATATGGGAAATAAGGTTCGTTGGAGAATCTGACAGTGGCATCAGAAATCGACTCCTCCGTTACTTGACAAGACTAAATGACTATGTAAGAAGAATGTAGTATCTACGTAACACACACTGCTACCATACACAGTGACAGTCCCGCATCTACCCGATCCACCGTCATCTATACCCTCTAAAGCGAATAGGGGTATGACTTCGATGGCTTGATCTCCTCCATCACCAGAACCCATCAACCTATGGAGCATAAGGAAGTGAGGCAGAAACAGGAGGGACACGTTCAACAATTATGCCAGAGACTCAGTCAGCTATAACATAGCTATCTGGATTTCAAGCACATTCATCGTGTTGCGTGAAGAAGAATAGGTTGCCAAAGGGAAAGGCTTTTATATTTTTGACTCACATTTACCCGGCCGTAACCCTATTTGGTTTTTTTTGTGGGAGTTGAGTCTCGCAGAGAACATTCTGGTGAGATGAGTAAGATCGCTGTACGGACACATTGTCTCTCACAATTGTAGGACGGAAGGTGGAAAGTACTAGAAGAGAAGAAACACGACTAACGACAATAAAACTTACTGTCCAGTACGCTTGAGATTAGGTGTAAACAACCTCACTAAAGCGTAATTTGCCACATTCCAGGCTCCTAGGTATTTAAATTAATTGTCAAGTAACTATAATTTCATTACTTATATTTTAGTTAAACCCTGGGTACCACGGTTAGGTTCATGCATGTACGATGGCTGAGCTGATTGTAGTAGAGCTGTAGATGTACAGCGGGGGTTTCACCACCTACAAATCACACAGAACGCACACAAGATGGACAGAATCGCCAAAGCACTAGCGAAGGAACGAGTCGTTCTCGCTTCGACTTCGCCTCGTCGTATCGAGCTCCTCCGACAGATTGGGTGCAAAGATGTGGACGTTGTGCCATCTCATTTCAAGGAAGACCTGCCTAAGCACAGCATGTCCCCATTTCAGTACGTTGTGGATACCGCCAAGGGCAAAGCCATGTCTGTTTACGAGGCTACAATGGATGACTTGATCCCCCCCAAGTTGGTCATTGCAGCTGACACTGTGATTCTCCAAGGCTCAGAGATTCTCGAGAAGCCTAAAAACGAGGTGGAGCATTTCATTGGACTTCAGAAGCTCAGAGACCATAAGGGTCCCCATCAGGTTCTTACTGCTGTCGTCTGTGTGGCTCCTCTAGATGAGCCGATCAGCCCGGGCTACTGCGTGAAGACTCATCTAGAGTCAACTGAGGTCTTTTTCGACCCTGAAACCAGTGATGAGTTTCTGAAGAACTACGTCGAGTCGGGCGAAGCCAAGGATGCAGCTGGAGGGTACAAGATCCAAGGTGTTGGAGCTCTGCTTATTTCCAAGATCAACGGAGACTACAACAACGTCATCGGTTTGCCACTCTCGGCCACCTGGAAGCTCATGGGTTCTACTCTGTTTGACCAGGAACTTGACAGCGATGCTGAGGACCGGTTTTAAACGACTTTCTTCTTTCCTTGTCCCATGGTGTCTTCAGCATTCGCTGGAGTGTTTCTGTCAAGATCAGCTCCATAACATTGTATTTATGGAGCTGACCAGCTGAGACCAGCAAACCGAAATCCATTGTGTTGCTCTGCAAAAGTAGTGCCACCAGTCCCAAAGGTATGTATCGTACATACTGTATTGCAGGACTCCCACTATTTGATGATACTGTAGCTGCAGTAATTATCTCGATATTTGTATTTAATTAATGAAGACTAATTTCAATACACAAGAGACTGTCTCCTCCAATAGGGTCCATGAGTAGTTGGTGTATCAGCCCCAATGGTTGCTGAGACCCATGTATGTTTTCTGTAGCTACGAGTTACCAAACGCGTACTACTATACATACCAGGTTCTCGTCGGTTTTTCCACGTGCCAGGTCTGTTTAATGACTTACCTAAATAACCCTAACCTCTTTTTATATACTTCTTCCTAGAACCACAAAGCCTAAATATTATCCATATGAACCTTAAATGCGGTCACGAACAATGTCTACGAGTCAATGCACTCTGTCAACACGCGTACTGGTACGTACATTACTGCACGATATTGTGTACAATACACGTACTGGTACGTAATCGTACAATGCAGTACTTGTACATAATATATAATGAGGTTCGCGTCGCTGTTTATATCAGTCTTATTGCTGTTCAATGGCATCCTGAGATGAGTGTTGTATAAGGACCGGGCACATCTGGTTGTATTTTACGTACAAATGCCCATCATAAAATCCTAATCTCAACTCATCTTGGGCTACGGCTAACGTGATAAGGAGCAATAGCGGCTATAATATCCCCTGGCCTTGTTTGGTTCTGCAATTGGTGGGCACGCACCCTTTCATTTTTGTCCCCACGTTTTTGTGGGACACAGCGAAGATCATGAAGGAATGAGAGAGCGTGGGGGGGCAGCATCAAACGCAAGAGTAAGATGCTCCCGGAAGAATTATGTGCGCTAAACAATTGATTCTCGACTAAATTAGAACTGTTTGATTGGCTGGGAACTCGTTTCCCCTGGATCCTGGAGAAGTCAATGCACAGTTCAAGATAGAGTGTCCGATGCTTCTGGGGCCGAGCCTGCAGCACAAAGCCATGCCAGCGTCTAAGACGCATATTGCTGAAAATCTATTTGGTGTTGACGGACTTCAGATTTGTTTCACGAAGCTCGATAACTCATCCTTAAGCCGCCATATTTTCTGTAGTCTATTATCGCGCCCTTTTTAGTAAAAGGCATTTTCAACTCCCTCCGTTCTCAGCAGGCTAGTATAATTTATATAACTCGGTTCTGCTACGCGTGACGCACTGCAAAATAGAAAGGCCGGAAGTTTCATAAACCCAAAGAGCAGTATGTAGCTGAGCGACCGCGTTCTGACTTTTGGATCATGGCTGGCTCAACGTCCAAGTAAAATACTATCGTACAAGCAGCTAAAATTGTTGAGACGATTTATTACGGTGAGATGGAGCAGTGGCTTATAACTTGGCGGTAATACCGGTACAGTACGAGTACAGTACTACTGTTTTCTATAATCTCGTGCTTGGTGTGCTAGTACGCTGGTAGCAATCGTAGATTGTCAAAGCACTGTGTTGTTTTGCCCAAGACACGTGTTCATACATGCATCGTTAAAGATGCAGGCTCCGCAATCCGTCTCTAATACATACCCAAGAAGGGCTGGAGACGACTTCCGGAGCAACAGGGATTCTGATCTGCCCTTATCATCTCCGAGCCGTTACCGACCACCTGTTCCCAACTCCAGTTTGGTGTCGCGATGACACACGGTGAGAACAACCAAGGTTCACTACAACCTTAATTGATTTAGGCTCATGAAAAACAGCATGTAGGCTTTCTGCTGTTGACTAAGCAGCAGGATGGACCCCATGACGGACCCTTCATGGCGAAATGAGAACTTTCTGCGATCACTCTATGCTTTTTGTCACCATGACTAAGGATTACTAGTCGTTTACTAAGCTTATCCGGTCACCACACCCGTTCAACCTGCCTCAAAAGTATTGGCCACGCTGTCATTTTGAGCTTATTAATTGGTCTACCCTCAGGCCCCGAATTTACCCGACTGCCAGAGTTCGGAGCAAAGCCAAATTGCTTCAGAACCGAGAGCTATGCAGAAAACCACCCAAACTCTGAAAAATGGATACGTCAGCCACCAGGTGCATTAGATCCATAGTACATGCAAAAATGGCTCAATGGGCAATGAAAACGGTGTTCGGAATATCCGGATTGTTCAATTGACCCAACGAGAACCAATTGCCAGTGCTCCAATTTCCAATCGCATCATTATGTGATGTTGAACGGTCCGCGTGGTCTCTTTCCCTGTGTGCAACTACCGATTTGCTGAAAATAAGCTCTGGATTGGACAAGGTAAATTCAACTCGCGTTGTTATTGGGTCAAATTTAGGGTTCCAGCTTTTCCTATTTTCTCGTCATCCCTTCCTCCCGGGTTTTCCTTTTCTCCATCAGTAGTCTGAATCAAATCACCACAATGGCTCTCTTCCCATCTGTTTCCGCCATTCAGGCCTCCTTCGACCCCAACGGCGCCCGTGCTGGTGCTTTCAACGTCCGATCTTCTCTCGACAAGACCGTCGAGAAGGTCGAGAAGAAGGCTGACGCTCTCGTCTCTGATGCTAAGGCCGAGGTCGCTAAGGCCGGCGATGCCATCAAGGCCCAGAAGGCCAAGGGCATCAAGCTCTACTCCCCTGAGTTCTACGCCACCTGTGTTGCCGGTGGTATGCTCGCCTGTGGTGTTACCCACGCTCTCGTCACCCCTCTTGATCTCGTCAAGTGCCGACGACAGGTGAACCCCGCTCTCTACTCCTCCAACATGCAGGCCTGGAGATCCATCATTGCCTCTGAGGGTATGGGTGGTATCTGGACCGGTGTCGGTGCCACTCTTATCGGTTACTCTCTCCAGGGTGCTGGTAAGTACGGTTTCTACGAGCTGTTCAAGAAGAAGTACGGTGACTTCGTTGGCGCCGAGAACGCCGAGAAGTACAAGACCTTTGTCTACCTCGCTGCCTCCGCCTCCGCTGAGGTTCTCGCTGATATTCTGCTCTGTCCCTGGGAGGCCGTCAAGGTCAAGACCCAGACCACCATCCCCCCCTTCGCTACCGGTGCTTTCGATGGTATGAAGAAGATGGTCGCCGCTGAGGGTGTTGCCGGCCTCTACAAGGGTCTTACCCCCCTCTGGGCCCGACAGGTTCCCTACACCATGGTTAAGTTCGCTACTTTCGAGCGAACCGTTGAGCTCATCTACTCTTACCTGCCCTACCCCAAGAAGGACTACTCCTTCCTTGCCCAGACTGGTGTCTCCTTCCTCGGTGGTTACATTGCTGGTGTCTTCTGTGCTATTGTCTCCCACCCCGCTGATGTTATGGTCTCCAAGATTAACTCCGAGAAGCAGCCCGGTGAGTCCACCGGCCAGGCCGTCTCCCGAATCTACAAGAAGATTGGCTTCGGTGGTCTCTGGAACGGTCTCGGTGTCCGAATCGTCATGGTCGGTACCCTCACTGGTCTCCAGTGGCTCATCTACGACTCTTTCAAGGGTATTGTTGGTCTCCCCACCGCTGGTGGCGCCCCCCCTGCCCAGAAGTAAGAGTCTCGACGAGTACTTCTATAAAGTAATTTATCCACCATCCGTGGTAGTAATAGACCAAAATTATGTTGCCATCGTAGCTTTGATTTCATAGTTTTTCGTGTACGTGGTAGCGTATATATATTTTTAGTTTCCCTGTAGTGTTACTTCTGCTATTGATAAGTCATATCATCCGGGAGCATCCCTGAGGCATATCGTTGATGTCGTGAATACACGAGTAACAGTGTACGAGTATCTTTGTCATCATTATTGTTTTCCTCTCTATAATGACCCTTATTGCTTAGTCAGCCTCTTCACTCTTAATGTATCACAGCTGCAGATAAGCTTCGGCATTGAAGCTTATGCAAAAATTCTGTCCCAGCAGTAAAAAAAAAATATTTTGTGTGAGGTAACAGGTGCAGATTTCCTCTCTCATACACACAAACACAACCATGAAGTCCAGTGCATTAAAAAAGGGCCTCAAGTCCTCCAACGGAACCAAGAAGGTTGGAGTGTCTAAGACCGCCACTAAGGTCGCTGCTCCCGCCACCTCCGACGATTTCTCCAAATTCTCTTCCTCGGAGGACGAGGAACAGGATGAGGCTGGATTTGAGAGTAGTGACGACGAAGAGGAGTTTGAGAATGGAGATGACGAGGATGAGACTATGGATGATACCCCTGCTACCGTCAAGAAGACCGCAGTAGCCAAGTCCAATCGAGCTGCTGCTACCACAAAGGCATCCAAAAAGTCTGGAACCGGCGTCATCTATCTGGGTCGAATCCCCCATGGTTTCTACGAGGAGCAGATGCACTCATATTTCAGCCAGTTTGGTGATATTTCTCGACTGCGTCTTTCCAGAAACAAGACTACCGGTGCCTCCAAGCATTACGCCTTCATCGAGTTCGAGTCCAAGGAGGTGGCCCAGGTAGCTGCCGAGACCATGAACAACTACCTGCTCTTCGGCCACATTCTTAAATGCAAGGTTGTTCCTGACGATGAGGTTCACGAGGCTCTCTTTGAGGGAGCTAACAAGACTTTCCGAGTCCTGCCAAGAGCTCAGGTTGCTCAGTACAAGAATGAGAGACCCCGATCCCGAGCAAAGTGGGACCAGCTCAAGAAAGAGTCTGCATCTCTGCTCGATGCCAAGCTGAAGAAGCTTGGTGAGATGGGTATCGATTACAAGTACACCCCCGTCTCTGACGTCCGAGTGCCCAAGAAGGCTGCTGCCGGAGTCGCCGAGGGTGCAAAGAAGAAGAAGCAGAGAACTTCTCTGGCTTAGTTTAGAAAGAAAAGTCTCATGTTGGATCTTGGAGTCGGAATTATCTTATTGTTGCATGTCTCGTATATTTATGGGGAAACATATTACTACTAGTTAGGTCTAATAAACCTGTAATATTAATAATGAGCTTTATATCTTGTAGTTGGAATCATGGACAGTCAGTCTTGAGCGTAGATACGTAATTCGTATGTCGCAAGTTATCGTTACTCTGGCTCCTTTGTTCGATGCTTGGTGCTACTGGATTGGTCTGCTCAATGCTCACGGTTGATGGATCTATGACCGATATCTAATTATTAGCTAAGTGTATTAAAATTATTATTTCCAGACGTTGGCAAAAACGTCATCCTCCTGCTTCTTGGGAGCGGCGGCATCGGCCCAGTCGTTGTGAGCGTTGTTCTGCTGCTGAGGAGCTCCACCAAACCCGCCAAATCCGCTGTTAGCCTGTTGCATGTTCCCAAAACCGCTGTTGGTCTGTTGCTGCATGTTTCCAAAACCTCCAAAGTCCCCTCCCTGTTGCTGCTGGAACTGTGGTTGCTGCTGTTGGAATTGCTGCTGAGCTTGGAACTGCTGCTGTTGAAACTGCTGCTGCTGCTGCTGCTGTTGAACCACGGGTGCCTGTCGTGAGTTGGCATAGAGCGACAGAATGGACTTCTTCAGGTCAGGTCGCGAGCTGTCAGGGGCAGAAGCCGATGGGAAGGGCTGTTGCGCCTGGAACTGTTGCTGAGGAGGGCTCTGCTGATGCTGCTGGGGAGACTGCTGTTGTGTCTGAGGGGGTGACTGGGCAAAAGAAAGGAAGTCGTCATTCTTCTGGGTCTGCTGCGGCTGCTGTAGTTGAGCGGGCTTGTGCTGGTGCTGCTGGGGCTCGTCGAAATCAAGTCCAATGAGCGACGATTGCTGAGTGGCAGGAGCCTTCTTGGTGACCTGAGGGGGTCCTGCAATTTTAGTGTCCTTAGGGGGTGCCTGCACGGGGGCAGCAGCATGGCTAGCTCCACCAAGGGTATCGGGGTCGGGCACTGTGGTGGATGCGGCCCACTTCTTCATGTCGTATTTGGTTCGAATGAAATTCTCAATCTTGTTGTCGTCAGGGACGTGGCCCTTGGGGAGCTTGGCCTCCCAGAACATGTTGCACCGGGTGTTTCCCCACTTCATCATGCTTGCGAGCTGTTCCTCTGTCCACGCATCGAGATCAACGGATTTCACTGAGTTAGCTCATATCACAGCCGCGGTCTCTCCTGAATTTTGTCAACTTACCTCTGGAAATGTGAGTTCCCATTCCTCTGTGGATTCCGGAACATCTGAGTTAGTAGCTGTTTGAGGGACGCCAGAAGCAGATTAGTGATACTCACCTGATGCAAATGAAGCACCCGAGGTTCCAGCTTGCCCATCGAGGATGGGTGGCAGTTTTGCAGTCTGCGCAGACCTTGTTGTCGGATTCTCGGAGCAGAGATTTGAGCAGCTGCTGGCTCTTTTCAATGGGCACCTTTTTGGAGGCCGCGGCGGGAGGAGCTGCCTGAGCGTCGCGGTTTCGACGAGAGTAGTACGACATGCGATTACTGAGTGATGGTGCGTGTGGCTTTTTCCGTCTGGGTATGTACGTGTCCAGAGGGGGGTTGAAGATCTCAGCTGTAGTGGGACAACACTGTCTGAAAGCTTATCCGTGCTTGTCAGTGGATCTCTTCAGGGAACGCGCCATTAAGAATGGAGAGAGGAGCCGGGATAATTCGGTGAGTGACTCTATCCACGACTTTAATGGATATTTGTGCTTGAATAATGGGGAAATACGCTGCCCATTTATATATTTTCTTTCTTGTACTTGTACAATGAAACTGTGGTGACATTCAAGTTCCACATGGCCATGTGATTTAACTCCCATAAAACCTCACAGGACGACTTGTACAAAAGCGCGCGTGTTCTACAAGTAGTCATTGACAACGAATACTCTTACAAACACAATACTTGTACAAGTACAAATACTTATACATGGCTACAACTCGATGTGAAACATGAAAAATACATTAGTGATGATATATAAAAAATAGCGCCCAGACAACATTCACGCATTGTACATGTCATCAAACAATGCAGACGTCTCATCGCCCCCTCCGTTAAAATCCAACATATCCAGGTCATCCATGCCCAGTTGATCCACTGTATCATCGACCTTGATCGAAGATTCGAGCTTTTCAATTTTGACTGGCTCCGGTGCACTGGATACGCCAGACTCGAGCTCCTTCTTGCGTGTTTCGATATATTTGAAGACATGCTGGCTCTGTCGCGAATTCTGGACAAACTCGTCCACCTTGGTTTGAAGTAGCGTAGCCTCCTTTGCCGTGCGTCCGAACACCGCCTGCGCCGAGTCAGAGTCCTGTATCGTCGCCAAACTCCTCAGCAGACTGGGCATTCTGTGTCGCAGCTCTGTGATTTGCTGTTGGAGATCCTTTAGCTGCTGTATGGACTCCTCCACCTTGAAATCACCAGATGGGGGAGGATCTGTCGTTAAAGGACCTGGTCTAGGCCCCCCCGTGGTGTTCTTGGGCGAAATATCAGCCATGTGTAACACTTGTGAGGCTGGATTTAGCGATGATTCCGAAATAACTGTCAGAAGACCTGGTACAATTGACCTCGAAACCATGCATAACTTAAGTTAATTTCACGTGATGCAGGGATGTGTGTACATGATACTGGATAACAATGTACAAATGTTCTACTCAAATAGATATTCTCTTGTGATATAATGTCTAAAGGGCCCTACAACCACTTCGTACGTGTCTAGGCATCCAGCCTCAGTTTTACCCCAGCATGTATACGGCCCACGTCATGGGTATGATAAATATATAGACTAATTTTTCTACGAACAGTGATGACGATTGATTGCCATGAGTGCGTGCGGCTAGACTGGCCAGTCGTCTTTCATGTGATGTTAATTTGAGGGGCCTTTTGTCTTCTCTCTCTGATAATAATGCGACCGTCCTCCTCTTGTCTCCAGCCACAGCCAAGGTCCTTTTGAATGGCAAGCCACTTCCACCCTATCAATTTTTCTAGCTCAACTGTTTGTATGGAGAAGTAGGACCTTCCCACTCGCTTGAGGCCCTCCATGGCCATGAGTGAGTCTCCAGACTGCATCATCTTAGACCTCCCGAGGTCGGTCTCTGTGGCATAAAGTCTCGCCCATGACACAGAGTCTTTTGTTTCCCACGCTCGTAAGACCGCATGTAGCCTGGAATCCTTCCAACCGTTTCGATCCAGCATTTGGTAGCCCTCAGCGACGTTACCAGCGACGATAGCGAGATAAAGAGCGTAGACACCACAGACCTCTTGTACCTCTGCGTTAGTAAGTGGTAAATCCTCATGGATTTCCAGTAACTTCAGCACCGAAGGCACATAGCTTGCATAGTGGCCCATGGTAGAAGTGACTCTGACAGAAAACAGGAAAACAGTCTTCATGAAATAAGACGGTTTCTGTGCGATCATGGCTTCCCGCAACTTCCGCAAAGACATGATGATAGAATCTATCGCAGGCTTCTTTGACCTTTCTCTTTCCCCGACCCGCTTTCCACCCTTTTGGTCTGTGTCCCAACTGTCAGCCTGACTCTTCTCAACCGCTTTCAGCGCTGCTTTCAATACAGAACCATCCCCAGCATCGTAACAGAACCGAATGTAATGTCGCTGAATGGCCCCAAAGTATTTCTTTTGTTCCTCCTCATTGTTAACCAGACGTGTGTCTTCTCCACGACTCAGCAGTCCATAATCTTCCTGGGTTGTGGGGATCTCAAACTTTTTGGCACGACGAGCCAGTGTCGCGCTGTTTCTCATTGAGCCGCCGAAATGGTTGCGAGTCAGCTGACTGCCTTTTTGTCTCGAATCATTGTTAAATGAGGTGTCTTCCCATACTGGGGCTGTTGCTGGTCGCATTGGTGTGCAAACCCTGATGATGATGCTTGTGACCTTAGACACATCTTATCATGCATATTGTCACGTGAGCCAAACACGTACCATAAATAATTTCATGAAATGATAGTGACAGCAAAATGGTAGGGAGTCCATGTACGGCACGAGCATGTAGATAGGTCATTGTATATATGGTACATATATTTGAGGTTATAAATATTCAATGTCGTTGGCCTACTGGCGGTACTCCCTGTATACCAGCCACAGCACGACGCATGCAACTCCAGCCACGCATACAAACGACAACTGGAACGCTTCATGATAACATGCGGCGCCAAGTGTACAGATCCGAGCTCCTCGTTCGGTGACGATGGAATGCGAATCATAAACCTTGCCGTACCACAAGTTGAGGCAGTAAGATGGGACGATGGGGGCTAGCGACAGCAGTCCCCAGTTCTGGCTGAAGTGCTTCATGCCATACGAGTCAGCCAAAATGGTGGGGTATGAACCAAAGCAGATACCATAGGCAAGACCCGATAACGCAGATACCATCCAAAAGTTGTGAACTTCATTGACACTCAGAGCTCCAATCTGACCCATCACAGAGGCTGCGGTAGATGCAATCAACAATAATGATCGCGGGTGGGACTTGCTAGCAGCCAAATCACACAAGTACCCTGATCCAATTCGACCTAGGAACGAGGCAATGGAAATGGCACCCACCTGTAGAGACTGCAACTGCTCCGAATCGTGGGCTCCAGCCACGGTCTTTGACTGGAACTGTAGCGCCTTGACGCTGAACCCACACGAATAAATGAACATCTGTCCAATGCCTGCAATGAACCCCATGATCACGAAATGTTTCCAGAATTGGCTATTCATGATCAATTTCAATCCATAAATATCCACATTATTGGATGTTGCGCTGCTTTTCTTGATATCAGCATCTGCCTCCTTGGACCTGGGGCTTTGAGGGCTGGTAGGCTGAGAGATACGAGTGTGCATTTCGATACCAGAGGTACCCCTTGAGTGAAAAGCTGGAGGCAAGGGGCGCACGGTAATGATACCAATAGCAAGAAGGATGGTGGGGATAATGGCTAGAGCGAAAAGAAAGTCGAGAGTAACGCCATCATAGTAGGTCGAAAAGAGTGTAGAGAAGAAGAAGGCAGACAGTCCAAAAGCTGCCATGGGGACACTAGTTGCAGCACCGCGAGCATTAGGGAAGTTCACAGCTGCACATTTCATGGCGCTGGCAAATCCAAAGGTTCCTCCCGTTCCGACCAGAGCCATGGCACACGCGAGAGTAGGCACGGAGGCCACTACATTGATGTAGCAAAGCCGTATGATAGTGTAACCACCGCCCATGAACAGAGCGCCGATGATAATGGGCGCCTGGAACCCGTGCTTGTCCACAACGACACCAGCAAAAGGTCCACTGAGTGCCATGCCGAGGTTTCCAATCATGCCGATTTTAGACGTGTCAGTCGTATTAAGAGCGAGCCGCAGCCCTAGCTGGGGAGCAAAAGCCGAGTAGAGGTACATGGTACCACACGCGATACCGGTAAGGAAACATCCTACCAGCGAAGCAGCTCTTTCCATTTGTCGTGTCATAACATGCGGATGTTGTATCTGGTTAGGTTCTGTAATATTTACAGTTGTGACGTGTGTGGTGGATCCTTGTATGTACTCGTACTGCCCCGCCCCCCCCTAAGTATAATGCGGAGTAAATAGAATGTTGCGGTCCGTTTCCGGGGCAAGATAATACTGTGTTGGCCATTGACTGGTAGCAGAGCTACTCATTCTACAAGTAGCCTACAAACTCTCTCAGGTTTTGTGGTATGGTCGTATATGTCTTTATTTAAATATAAACAGTGGGGATCTATTCTGCATTGTGACGTCAATCTGATCTACAGTACAACACGAAACACCCACGCGAGGAATGGAGGATGGATTGTACAATAGCACAATGTAGGATGGGACTCAAAAACTAAAATTGCGTGTGTGCTTGTGTTTGTGGGTCCGGCACTGATTTGACAACATCGAAGAAATGGGTATAGTGTTAATCGAAATCACCGTTATGCTCATTGCCACACCAGGTTCACCTGCGTTGTCCTCTCGCACTTCATTACAGTAGCACTTCCGTCTACAGTTCGTACGATAATAGATGCACTCGTAAAGTACCAGGACCAGAAAACATATGTACAAGTACTGTACCAGTACGAGTACGAGCGAGTACTTGCCTCCGCATCAGGAAACTTAGGAGCTGGAACAGAGCCCCCATAATTTGCCACGATGCGTGATATTTCTACCTCATTATTACATAGAAGAATGTCACACGCCTCAGGTCATCACTGTATCATGAGCGCCAGCAGTTAAGGGCGCCTCTCCAGCAATGGTTTTTAGGTTGTTATTTGTCAATCTCCTCCGCCTCCCCCTATTGCCACGACGTGCAAGCATCTCGATTCGGACATCAGAAGAAACGGAGTTTGTTTGGAGAAAAAAAGTGCTGGGGGAAAAGTATATATATGTGTTTCGGTTTGCGACCGGGTAACCGAAATTTTCTCTGCCTCACAAATTATGCGTACCCTACTACCAATTCTCCCAACAGTCATTGCCGACTGTCTGGGCATAGTGTACCCAATGATGTCCAAATCGGGAAATAAACCCTTAACCTATTCATCAGCATGCCCATATTGTAAATCTCACGAGAACAGTTGTGTCAGTCCACCGCAAAATGTCCTCCCTCGACAACCAGCTCTCTGCGTTTAAAAACAAGATCAAATCGGCGCCTACGATCAAGAAGCCGTCGTTTGTGGCTAAACGCAAGGAGGAGGAGGAGGGTGTTGGTGGTCAACAAAAGAAGCGTAAGGTGGTTCCGCCCGTGAACCCCTTCAATGAGAACGTTGGCCGCCACGCTGCTACACAGTTGATGCATGCTGTGGAGTACATCAAAAAGCAGGTTGGTGTTGTTCCGATCGAGAACATTCGATCATACCTGTCGCTGCAAAGCGCTGATTTCTTGGTGCCCCTATTGAAGAAGATGGACCAGATGTCCTACAACGCTGTCCAGAGGGGATTTGAGTACATGCCCAAATTCAATATCCGTACCAAGGCACAGCTCATGGCATTTCTTAAGTCTCAACCTACAGCCAAGGGTCTCAGCGTGCGCGATCTTAAGGACGGCTGGGCCGATTGTCTAGACAGTATCGAAGAGCTTGAGCAGAGCGGAGATCTGATTGTTCTCCGTACCAAGAAGGAGAACTCACCAAGAATGATGTGGGCTAATATGGGTGGGCCAATCGGCATGGTTGATGGAGAGTTCCGGTCAATGTGGTCACAGATCAAGGTCCCCGATGAGTCCGAGTTGCCGTCGAAGTTGGAAGAGGCTGGCCTCAAGCCTACATCTGTGGATCCTGCCACTATCAAGAGCAACAAGGCCAACGGGAATGGTTCAAAGAAACAAAAGAAGCCCCGTCGAAGCAAGATCACAAACACACATCTGGATGGTGTCCTCAAGGATTACGGCAGATAGTTGGTCCGTACCTGAATATTCAAGGTCGCGCAGTTAAATAGGCATCCAATTGGTGCCATCATATTATTTTATTACATTCATATAGCATAAGGAATCTTCCTGTATTTACGATCAAGGGTTGACACTGCGTGCACATTGTACAATAGATACTAAGACCAACACAACTGGACGTACAGTATGTAAGATTGAAATACCATTGTGAGAGAGTTTGTTTTTTCTCGAAAATGAGGAAGTGAACTAAGTCCTGATTCAATGAACTTGCCTTTTCTCTACGGCATAACAATAAGTTACCGACACGTACCTACCGTATGTGTTATTTATTGCGATGTCATGCTTAATCAGCACACATGGTTAAATACAAAATAGAGTTCAGTTGTTCTGCAGGATGGTAGAAATTTTGGAACTCTAGAAAATATATTTCCAACCACTTCACAAGCATCAGGATGTCCGACCAAGTACGATTCTACCTAGAACAGAGCATTCCTGAGCTCGAAGACCTTGAACAGCGAGGACTCTTCACCAAAAAAGAGATTGCTCAGCTTGTGCGTAAGCGAACCGATTTCGAGCACAGAATCACCGGAAGACAGTCTCGGCCTCGAGATTTTTTGCGGTATGCCCACTTTGAAATAAATCTGGAGGCTCTTCGGATGAAGCGGATTGCTAGACTCGGAAACAATCCTGCTGCCAAGCTCAAGAAAAACAGAAACAGAAACATGCCTACCCCTACAAACATCTCCGACTATGCCGGCCGAAGGCGAATCAATTTCGTGTTCGACCGAGGAACCAAGAAATTCGCAGGCGATGCTGACCTGTGGAAGCAGCACATCGCTTTCCTGAAGCATTACAAAATGATGGCGAAGCTGTCGACTGTCCATACTAACATGCTCAAGCTCTTCCCCAACCGGGCTGACATCTGGATCATGGTAGCCAAGCATGAGTTTGATGAGAACTCTGCAGCACAGACAGCACGATCTGTCTTCCAGAGAGGTCTGAGATTCAACCCCGAGAGCAAAAAGCTTTGGCTAGAATACACCAAGCTGGAGCTGTTGTATGTGTCTAAGATCCTGACTCGACGAAAGCTCCTTGGAATCCTTGCTGATAGAGACAAGCAGCGAGAGGCTGAGGAAGTAAAGGAAGTTGACGATGAAAACGTCATTGCCCTTCCTGAGCTTGATGGTGACGATGACATCAAGGCTGAACTCAAGACTCTTCCTGAGGCTGATATTGACATGCTCGGTAACCCCTCCACCAACCCTGCCCTTCGAGGTGATGTTGCTCTTGCAATCTTCGACTCTGCTCTCGAGACTATCCCTAGGTACTCTTCAGAGATCAACACTGGTCTCAAGAATGACGATGGATCTTTTACAGTCGCTCTTGCACCTCATTTTGCATTCCTGCTGTCTTTCTCACGACAGTTCCTCGAGCTCTTTGACGAGTTTGAGGATATGGACCGAGAGTACCTTTGTGCACATGTCATCCAGGCTGTCATGCAACAAATCAACAACGACATTGGGTCCGCATCCCTGAAGCTCACCGAGAGTGCTATCGCAGATATTGCTCGGTTGGTGGTGGATGACATCACCCTCTCAGTGCGGTACTTGTCCCCTCTTGATGCTTCCTTCCCTGAGGCCTTCAAGCTGGCTCTGAACAAGTACAATGTCGCCATGTCTAAGACCTGGAAGAAAAAGGGATCGGAGAGACAACAGCAAGTCCGTAAGCAAATTGCGTCACAGTTCAAGGAGAAGCTGGCGGACTACCTTACAGCTGGCAAGTCTGTTGATAGAGAGATCGACGAGAACCTCAAGCGAGCGCTTAAGGCCGTCATCAAGAAGACCGAGGACGATATGTAAGCATCTTTAATATATATTTACACACACGCAAACTGCATCTGTATATAAGTAGCTATATTTAGAATATTTTGATATGTTTGGTATATTTGGTATATTTGGTATATTTACTGTTCTATATCATGTTTAGTCCTTCTTGCTGCTTCCCCAGTCAGCAAAACGAGGAAGGGGAGTTCCGAAGTTCTCTGATCGCAGTTTTCGTGGGAAAATCACGCCCTGAAAAACAACGGTCACAATAGCTGCAGTAGCGATCATGGTTGCAGCACACCACATGAGCGTGGTGGAAGAGAAAGCGGAGTTGGAGTCAGGGTTGGCAGGGAGGGTAAACACCTCGTTATTGTTGCTACCGGGATACCACTTAACAGAGAGCTGGAGGGGCAGAAAATCACCGTTCTTGTATCTCTCGGTCTCCGTTCCTCTGGAAAACGCGGCTGCTACCACAGGCGTCTCGGTCTTTCGCGAGTACATCATCACGGCATTGAGCTTCGGGTCGATGTCCAAATGAGACTCCTGAATGTGGCCACGAATGGTGAATGTCAACGGAAGCCAGGTTGTAGGCTCTGAGAGCACGTTCTTGTTCTTTTGTTTGGAGGCTCTGAGTCTGCAGCTGAAGGGAGCATCCTCGTGAATATAGAGCTGGAAAAGGTGGTAGAGCGTGTCGGAGAATCCAATGGTGCAATTCACATCTTGGTCAACACGGTATTGAAGAGAGAGGGGCTTTCCTGTTTCTCTGCAGATGGGGAAGTCCTCATAAAGAATTTCTTGGGTCTTTTCATCGACCATGTGTTCTCCGTCGTGGATGTTTCGTTTAATGCATTCGAGAGGGAGATCGTCGCCTATGCTATAGGGGTTGAGATCTGTTTCTCCCCGAGAATCAAAAAAATATGGCTCAGCAGCTAGCACTCCGGCGATAAAAAGCGGGGCCAGTCTCATGTTGGTTGTGTTGGATGGTGTGGCCAGATGGTTGATCTGAACCTTGTAAGGTCAGCTACGTCACGTGCCCAAACAAAGAGTGCTTGGTGTCAAGGCTAAATTAGCCACATGTGGAAGGCACAGCGAGGCATCCATCGTGTCATAGCAACCATCACCTCGAACACCCAGATGGGAAAAATGGGAATGCCACAAACCTGTGCTGATTAGTCATATATCTGCCCAAAAGAGCCTTCTACTCTGAAATCAGATCGTACATGGGCCATGCATGGAGCTAAGTTACAAGTAAGAGGCAGCAGCAACAAGCCTCCCCATAGTTTCTTTCATGCCATGACGACCATACCGCAATCGTCACGGAAAACCACACTGATTCCACCACCAACGCAAGACTTTGCAGCGCGCCAACAGACCATACGACTGTATCCCTCCTCCAACTACGTGTTCGCAACCAAGGATGCTCAGGTTGAGAGGGATGTCTCTGTGCAGGCGCGCATGCAACGACTGAAAAGCATGTACGACGAATCGGGGATGTTGCGGTACGTGGAGGGGGTATTTCTGTGTCATGAGTTCGGAACTCCTTACGTCTTCTTACTCCAGTTGCCAAACAACTTTTTTAAACTTCCCGGAGAGTACTTGGACCCCGACGAGGAGGACGAGGAGGGTGGATTGCTGAGGAAGCTCGCAGATAGGCTCAGCCCTGAGAACGGAGAGGACCAGGAGAACTCGAAGTCATGGAAGGTACTAGACTGCCTGGCGCAATGGTGGAGACCTAACTTCGAGGTTTTCATGTATCCATTTCTGCCACCGCACATTTCTCGACCAAAAGAATGCAAGAAGACTTTCCTCATTTCTCTGCCCGAGAAGATTGCTTTCTTCGTACCATCGAATATGACATTCCTTGCTGTCCCTCTTTTCGAGCTCTATGACAACCCCGCGCGATATGGACCCCAGCTTTGTGCGTTGCCACATTACCTCTCAAGATACAACTTCGAGTGTGTAGACAAGAATGGTGTGGTGGTGTCGCAGTTTCCTGGGTCTGCACCATACCAGCAAAAAGATGGAGAAAGCAAATTGCAAGCATAGAGCAACGGGCATGTGGATCAAAGACTGGATAATGGGTGGCAACTGCATAAACACCACAGATCACCCTGAGAGAAGATGTGCCCAGCCATCTAGTTACTAAGCTGCTAGATGTCCTGCATGAGGTGGTCGTTCAGCACCCTAGTAGTTACAACTACGAGGTAACTGCGGAATGATCAGGTCTCTTTGGTAAGTACAAGTACATACCCGGCAAGGGAGTATAGCTGAAGTAGACTGCAATAAACTTTGTATAATAGCTACGATACTCGATGTTTGTCCCTTCTAGTGTTCGCGGTTTTGTTTCTAATGTTTGTATTTGAATAAATTAACTAATATACAGGATTCCAAGAGATTGGTGACACTCAGCATTATATATGGGTTGCAACAAGGCCCTAAGAGAGCCAGCGCTGAGACTGGAAAAACTCATAGATTCGAGCGGTTTTGTTGACATCAATCTTGACCAGTTCACGGGCTGTACGCTTCTTGAGCACACCTCCGGTTCGCAGCAGCTCTCGGAACAGCGTTTCCTTGATGGCCAGATACGGCTTGGGCAAGATACGCAGCTGGGAACAAAGAACCTGCTCTTCTGGAGAAAGCAGCTCCACGTCTGGGGCATGCGAGATGTCGAGGGGATTGGCCACAGGTTTTCTGAAAAGCCGTAAGGTGTCTGCTCCCGAGTCAGGGTCCATCTTCACAGCTTCGGCGGCAGCCTGGTTTGCGGCAGCGGCCTGTTTGTTGGTTTTTTGAACAAGAGCATTGTTTGCAGCATTCATCGAGTTTGCAGTGTATCTGGATCCAGTCGAGTTGATGGAGTTAATGGGAGCCTGCAGCCTGGCCAATGCGTTTGCACGTACAGTTTTATCTCGTTCGTATTTGGACGCAGCTTCGAAGGTGGTGATACCGTTACGTCGATACTCCTGAAGTTCAGCCAGTCGTCGTCGACACTGGAGCTCAATAATCATTCCATCAACAAAATCGGTGAAATCCTGTAGTGTCATGATTCTTGCAAACGGCTTTAACTTGTTTACAAGCTCGCGCTCCTCCTTGGTCCGTTTCTTATCGACAGAGGCGTTCTTCCTGTACTGAAGCAGCCCATGGTTGATGATGGCTCGCTTTCGCTCGGTTCGTGATGTGAGACGAGAGTTGTAGATATCAAGAACAGTGATCTTGAGCTCCACATCAGCCTCGGTGTCGTCCTGATCAAAAACCATGTCCTTGACCGTCATCTCGGCCTCGTTTTCATGCTCGGTCTCGAACTCCAGACGTCCCGGCATAAACCCTTGCACCTCATGGCATGCAGGAACAGAAGCCGTGGGCTTTTGCTTGGGCACAGGGAGAGCGGTGGGCATATTTCGTCGCTTATCCAGACGCTCCTTTTTGTTTGCTGCGAACTCAGCTGCAGTGATCTCGAATTTCCGCTTCATGGGGGGCAACGGGTAGTCTGGCGAGTCCAGATAGACTTCCTTGTAATGCTCCCCAACCTCTTCCTTTGATCTACCACCGATATGGTCAGCGATGTCCTGCCAGTTTCCAAGACCCTGCATCTCGGCACCCTCGATTAATAGCAACTCCTCATCAGCACCCCAGTCCTCAGTGAAAATAGGATAAGCATGCTGCTCAATAATCATGTAGTTGTGGTAGGGCTTGTGGACACCTGATGAGGCACCCTGAGAGAAGCATTGTACACACAGATCGTAGTCCTGGCACTCCGCACATCGGATTCTTACCAGGTTGGTGCAATCACACGAACACACGTCGCAGTGAAATCTGGATTTAGTTAGCATGGGGTGATGAAAGTGTATCGAAATCGAGTCAACGGGGGACTCTAGCACATTCCTTCGCTTGACACAACCTTGGAGCAACTATACAGCAACAACTTGCTGACAAACTGCAAAAATATATAAACCATGCTGAGTGCATTTGGGACATGATGTATGATGTACTCACTTGACGCCTGGCTCTGATGCCTTGGGATTTGTCGGCGCGTTTTTGCGATGGATAACCGTCATTATTGCGATTTAGACGTAGTCGTTCTTTGGTTGATGGCTGGACTTCTTCGTGTCCAGTTGTTTGTCCTGTGCGCCACGTCGTTTCAAGCGGCGATGCTAATTTATTGGCGTAGTGACCAATTTCCAACCCACTTTCGAAGCTTAATGCCACATTCTGGAGGTGTGTGTTAATTTCTCACTGCTCACACCAGCTACTTGTACAAACTTGTATGTTGGTGGCGCACTGTATAATTTATTTACCGAAAGCGTCAAATCGCCTCTTCTCTTACATCGCGATTTGTACTTGCATTGTATCTCATAGGGTATGTCATGGTTCAGTGTAGGCCAGTGTATGGTGTTACCCGGTCGTATTGCTTGGAGTTTGATGTTCAACATGTTCCTGGGGCTTTTGAGATTAGGGCTTGCTTATGTGGGAGGCGTCTTGAAAACGAACGACCAGTCTCAATTTGGTTATTAGGGTTTGGGACTTACATGTGGGAGGGGCTCTGATGGCTGGTTGTTGGTTTAGGGTTGAATTCCGTTTTAAATTTTGACAGTCCGATTCTGGGCCCAAGCACGTGCACTGCCTAATCGGGACGTCCCAACGCTGGCCCGCGCACATTGACGAAAGCTGTAGAGATTTTACTTCTCAGTGTACTTTTCGCCAGTAACAAATAGCACAAAATGGTGAGTGTGAAAAGGTGGCAGTGTGACGGGCACAATCACGACTGACAAACGACAAGTGAATCTATCTGCGACGACAAGATGAGAAGGATTCCGTGGTGATTTCCAGGCCGTTACTAACCCCAGGGTCGAGTTCGAACTAAGACTGTCAAGCGGGCCTCCAAGGTCATGATTGAGCGATACTACCCCAAGCTCACCCTCGACTTCGAGACCAACAAGCGACTTGCTGATGAGATCGCTGTTATCCCCTCCAAGCGACTCCGAAACAAGATCGCTGGCTACACCACCCACCTCATGAAGCGAATCCAGAAGGGTCCCGTCCGAGGTATCTCCTTCAAGCTTCAGGAGGAGGAGCGAGAGCGAAAGGACCAGTACGTCCCCGAGATCTCTGCTCTTGACCTTTCTCACACCGACAACCAGCTCCAGGTTGACAACGATACTGCCGACCTCCTCAAGACCCTCGGATTCTCTTCCCTTCCCCTTAAGGTTGTCCACGTTTCCCAGCAGTCTGCTGAGCGACGATTCCGAAAGCGAAACTAAAATAGCAAAATGTATTATTGATTCACTAGTTGATTCACATGTTTATTCGAAATGTTTTTATGTTCGTAGCTGATGCATGTAACTACTTTTACGTAGTTCTACCGTACTCGTACCAGTAACGGAACGGGTAATTGTAGCTATGATATGTATTGTATGAGTAATGCACTAATTAGTACTGTACTGTATTGGTATTGTAAAACGCCAGATTCTCTATCGACATTACAGATGTTGTTCGTACTGTAGCTCGTGAGATGTGATACTGTAGCTCGTGAGATGTGATACTGTAGCTCGTGAGATGTGATCTCTCATGCGACGACACACTGCAAATGTGTATAACCATGTATGTTTGATACAACACATCGTATAGTACAGGTACAAGTACTATAGCTAAATGTACAGTACTGTATACGATACTTGTACATACGGCATAAGCTCGTACTGTGTCTCCTTGTACGATACTTGTATCGTGGTATGTACATACGGTACAAGTGCGAAACAGTTCGTATACAAGTGCCACTTGCACACGTTTGTTGTGCACGTGTATATAAAGCGTGTGGGCTATTAAAGCTGAAATAATACTTTAGGTGCTCACTTGGGTGTAATTGAGAGCTTTCTCGAACAATTTAGAGACTTTTGTATTCATTCCTTGCAGCTATAAGAGACTTTGCTTATATAATATAGTTAGTTTTGTGTCGTTTCGCATCATCTGATATCTCACACTTCCCAATTTGGGTCTGTGTGTGTTAGGGTTCAAGAAGTTAAAGCTCGATATGCATACCCTTGGTCCAGCAGCCATGGTCTGATATTCAAGTGCTCTCTTCACGCGTACAGAGATTTACGATATTACAGACACTGACAACTTGAGGTTTCACGAGAAGCTATGTCTGACCAGCACTCTGCCCCCTTTCGAAAAGTAGCAGGGTCAGACGTGCTTGAAAGCTCCAACCCTACGCCAGGCGGCCTGGACATCCCAGAATGTTTACCTGACCCAGGTTGGGAAAGATCAGAGGGTGGCGGTGGGGTACCAATTTTCCGGCCTACCATGGAGCAGTTTGAGGACTTCAATCGATTCATCATGGAGATTGACAAGTGGGGTATGAAAGCTGGCATTGTGAAAGTCGTTCCTCCCAAGGAATGGCATGAGTCTCTACCTGCTTTGGATGAAGTTGTCAAAGGCATTAAGATCAAAAACCCGATTGTTCAGCACATCTCTGGCCATGCTGGCCATTTCCGCCAACAAAACATCGAGAAGCAAAAGTCTTACAACATTGCACAGTGGAAGTACTTGAGTGAGCAGCCTGACTATCAGCCCCCAGCCAAGAGAGGAGAATCTCGCAAGGACTTCAAGAAACGCAAGAACATACCCCAAGACGATGCCATTTTTGAGGATTTCGACTATAGATTTGATGACTCTGAATTCACCACGGAGAGGATGGACTTCTTAGAAAAGATTTACTGGAAAACGATCGCCTACAAAGAGCCCATGTACGGTGCCGATATGCCTGGGTCACTATTTGACGACAAGACACGCTCATGGAATGTGGCCCATTTGGACAACTTGTTGAACCAGTTGGATATCAAGATCCCTGGTGTCAATGATGCGTACTTGTACTGTGGTCTGTGGAAGTCGACTTTTGCCTGGCACTTGGAGGATATCGACCTGTATTCCATCAACTACATCCACTTTGGTGCACCTAAACAGTGGTACTCTGTAAATCAGGAGGATGAAGCCAAGTTCTACCAGATTATGGCTGACACCTTCCCAGAAGATCACAAAGCCTGCAAGGAATTCTTACGCCACAAAACCTTCTTGGTTTCTCCTCAACTGCTGGAGCGCCACGGTCTCACTGTTAACCGCCTGCACCATTACCAGGGAGAATTTGTTATTACATTTCCTTATGGCTATCATGCCGGCTATAATCTTGGATACAATTGTGCAGAGTCAGTCAACTTTGCCACACCTCAGTGGGTTCCTATTGGTAAGCATGCTCATAAGTGTCTTTGTATTTCAGACTCTGTCGGTCTGGACGTTGAGCGGCTGGAAAGGCGCATGCTCGGTCTACCGTCGGATTCGGACCACTCTGAGGATGACGGTCATCAATCCGGAGTGTCTATCGGCACCCCAGATTCGGAAATCGAAGACCATCTTCTGCCAAAACCTCATTCTCCGTCGAAGCTGAAACCAAAGGCAAGGCCCAAGTCTGCAACTGGAAGAGGTAGAGGCCGACCCAAGAAGTTCCACAAGGTTGAAGATACGAAGGCGCCTCTTTTACCTGCTTTGCCAGTTGCTGCCATCGAGCCTGCTCCCAGGTCACTGAAAAGATCACGTGATACGGGATGCGTTCTATGTCCAAACGAGATTCCTGATTTCGAGACTTTACCCCTTGAGTCTTCTCAAGAAAAGATAGCCCATCGAGTATGTGCCAACTTCGTGCCCGAGACTCGTGTACAGAATGGTCTTGTGTATGGCTACGATAAGATCCCAAAGGGTCGCCTTGATCTCAGATGTGGATACTGCCGTTCCAAGCGTGGTGCCTGTGTTCAGTGCTCTTTCCCAAAGTGTGTTCGAGCTTATCATGTGACTTGTGCCGACATGGCAGGTGTACTCTGCGAGACTACTGTCGACCAAGAAACCCCGACAAATGTGTCTATCGACTATAAATGTCGTTTTCATCGGTCCAAGCGGGAGGCGAAATCCCAAGCCGAACTCGAAAGCTGCCCTGAAATTTACAATTACGCTTATTCGTTGCTTCCAGGGGAGATATGTCAGTTTCAAATCGGAGGCCTTTCGGACCAGAAACGACATAAGCATGTACCTCTTTCCCCATCTCGATATGCAGTTGCTGCAGGGTCTGGTACAAGCAATATTCTCAATGGTGTTATCAGTGCTGGCGTTGTCAAGGTCAACAACATTAGTGAAGAGTCTGTTGAGGTAGAGCTACTCCCTCATCGCACAGAGACCTTGGAGGTATTGTGGTGCTGGCTATTGCCCACGCCCACACCTTCTTTTGGAAGGGGTCAGTCGAATGGTGGCACCACTCAGGGGTGTTCCTCGCCTATAGCACCTCCATATTCTCCTATTTCACCTGCAACGGACAAATCGCTTCATCCGGCTAAATTTTCTGACGAACCAGACTTCCCTTCAGTACTGGACGGCTATAAGAATCCGTTAGACACGCGTGTTACTCAGCACATAGACCACCCATGGTATACTGAGTTTTATGACACACGTAACGACCCCATTCTGCAGAGGTGCATCCATGAAACTTACACCACCAATTCCCACCAACGTGATGTGTGCGCTGGTATTTACGGGATGTGGAATGGTGATATATGGTACTATATTCCAGAGGTGTCCAGTCATACTAATGACTGTTACAACACTGATATCAATGTCAGAGTTGCAGCCGATGTGGCTTCCTTCAAGAGAATGAGACGACAGGCGAACCGCATGAAGAGGAGAAATCAGCCATTACCAGCACACCTTCAATCGCCTCCGCGGCTAGCCCCAGCCCCACCGCAACAGCAATACTCCCCGCCATTTGGCTTGCCCGTATATTTCCCCACGACCAGTACTAACTAACGAACTTCCTGTAAACTATGAGATAATGATTATGAGTTATGACGCGAATATGTGACGATGTATGTACAGTACATACTGTAGTAACAACGCTTTAAACCACCAATACCCAGCTCCTCTTCTGGCTACAGTTAGTGCATTTTGAATGCCGTGGTTCAAAAGATGAAGATACCATTTGAAGGATTGTACAAGTGCACATGTACAACGGTATTTAGATTCATCTCTCTTCTTCGAAAGAACCAATCCTCACCAAAGGTTGCTAGTCGCTGGACATCCTTGTATTACTGTGACATCCTTCGAACTATTTATGTAACTTCATCGGTTAGGCATTTTAATGAGCTACTGTAGAGTGAGACACATGGATAAATCATGAAGTACACTGTACATTGTACTTCTACTTGAACATGTATCTTTTCGTACCGTAATACGAGTATGAATATATGCTTTCGCCGGTGTCGTGTAGATTATATCGTCCTGATGCGTCCCAGTGACCGCTATCAGTAATTGAAAAGGTGGATCCCCCACTCCCACAGCAACCTGACAGCGGCGTCGACAAGTCTGCTGATGAAAAAGCTTGAAAAAAATGAAAAAATGAATTGTATGTACTGTATGTCAAGGTATCCCAGAATTAGTTGAAATGTTGGTACTGTTAGAGGCGAATCCATCCGTAAATTTTCGAGATTTCAGCAGATTGTGTGAAAAAATATGTTCAAACAAGCATGAGGGCTTATCTAGATGTGCTGTATTTCTGCCACCACAAGTACAAGTAGAAGTACAGTACATTCTGTACCGGTAAATCTACAGCGAATACCAACGGAGTACAGTACTGTACTGCTTTACGTCTCACCCCCCAAGCTCCGTTTTTTCTTTACAATGACATAATGTCTTATTGTACGGCTACAGTACCGTAAATACTGTAATTAAAGAAACGATAAGGGTAGTGGTAATTCACCGGCGCCGAAGCTCTGTACACATACGGGTATAATATGGTCATGAGATAGAGATGCAGTGTACTTGAACATAATGTGCATTTCTACACTCAACATACTTAACACACATACATTCACTACTATACAAACCATGAAATTTCAACATACAAAAATTAGTGAGAGAAACAAACAGGTTACTTTCTCAGGGCCTCGTTGACAGCACCCTCGATTTCACCCTGCACGTGCTTCAAAGCCGACTCAGCCTCTGCAGCCCAGTCAGGGGCGTTCGCAGTAGAGGGACTATTAGCAAAATCCTCCTTGAACACGCCACCCTCGTTGTTGTTGGCCTTCTTCTTCTTGTTCTTCTTCTTCTGGTTCTTCTTCTTCTTTCGCTCGGCAGCAGAAAGAACAGGAGCAGCAGTGGTAGAAGGAGTAGAGGTAACAGGCTCATTCTGATCGTGCTCGAAATCGTGCTCATCTTCGACATCCTCCTCATCATCGTCATCTTCAATCTCAAGCTCCGGCTTATTCTCATCACCACCAGCAACAGTGGTGGGGACTGGAAGATCAATTCCAGCGGTGCTCACCTTATCCTTGGGGTCAGTGATCTCCTCACCGGTAAGGTTGAAAGCACCATCGGCAGCAGTGGTAGAGGCATCCCCATCGGTGATCTCCAGCTCAGGCTTCTCGCCACCAACGACCTCGGCAGGAACGGGAAGATCAAGGCCGGCAGTGTCCACCTTATCCTTGGGGTCAGCAATTTCCTTGCCAGAGAGGTTAAAGGCACCATCGGCAGCATTGGAAGCATCTCCATCGGTGATATCGAGCTCAGGCTTCTTCTCGGAAGTGCTGAAGACACCATTCTTAGTTTCAGAGGTTCCGGCAAGAGCGTCCTCAATGGCGGGTACAGGGTCAGCAGCCTTGTCGATGGAAGAATCAGCAGCAGTGTGGAAACCACCAGGGACATGAGCATCGGGGCTTGTAGAAGGAGCACCAGGAATGGAAGCACCAGCATCAACGTTGTCGACGGGATCAACGATTTCCTTATCCTTGAGGTTGAAGTCACCCTCGACAGACTTGGCGTCAATCTCGGGCTTGCCCTCAACGTTGTCAACGGGATCCACAATCTCCTTCTCCTTGAGGTTGAAGTCACCCTCGACAGGCTCTCCTTCACCAGAAACAATCGCATCAGTAACCTCCGGCTTAGTGACATCAGCGGCCTCGGGCACATCCTCGGGAGAGAATTTGGCCTCGCCTTCAGCAGTCTCGCCAGCGTCGACATTGTCCCCCTCGTCATCAGCAAACTTGTTGAACTCAGCAGCGGCAGCGGCACCAACTCCAGCACCGGGGATTGCAGAGGCAGCGGCAGAGGGCTCGGAAGAGGAAGCGGCAGGAGCGGCGGGAGCGGCGTCCTTCTTGGAATCGTAGAACTTGTCACCAGTAGAGGCGGCAGCCGCGGCAGCAGCAGGCTTGGCTGGAGTGGCCTTGGCAGTTGGCTTAGCAGCGGCCTTAGCAGCGGGCTTGGCTGCGGGAGCAGTCTTCTCCTTTGCAGCGGGCTCGTTCGATGTGAAGTTTCTGAAGAAAGCTCGGAAGCCTCCCTTCTTCTTCTCAGCCTTGGCAGGCTCGGCCTTAGGAGCTGCCTTAGCAGGAGTTGCCTTAGGAGCGGCAGCCTTTGCAACGGGGGCAGCCTTGGGAGCGGCAGCGGGGGCAGCGGCAGCGGCAGCTGGGGCAGCAGCAGGGGCAGCAGGGGCAGCGGCAGTGGCAGCAGGGGCAGGAGCAGCCTTGGCAGCAGGGGTAGCGGCAGTAGCAGCAGGGGCAGGAGAAGCCTTGGCAGCAGGAGCGGCAGCCTTAGCAGTAGGAGCGGCAGCCTTAGCGGCAGGAGCAACAGGCTCCTCGGCGGGTTCAGTTCGGTAGAACGCGGCAGCCTGGGCAGGAGTCAGAGGTCCCTTGGGTCTTCGCTTGGTCAGATCAACAGTAGAGTTGGTAATGATCATGGAAAGGAAGTTGTCATAAGGGTTCTCATCCTTCTCACCAGAGACGTGACGAGCTGCTCGTCGGGCGTTCTGTGCTGTCGAGAGCAGGGCAATGGCCTCAGTAGAGGTGCAATGATCGAACTGGCCACGAGAAGGAGAGTCCTCAAAAGCACTAGGGGTAGCAGCAGCAACGGGGGCAGCTCGCTCCTTCTTGACTCTCTTGGTCTTCTTGGGCTTGACAACATCAAGAGGCTCGCCAGCTCTGAATCGGGCCATTCGCTCAGAAACAAGCTTGGTGTGGTGAGCAACGGACTTGTTGGCAAGAGCTTCACCCTCGATACCCTCAAAGAGCGGAGCATCAGGGGTGTCGTCCTCAACCTCCTCGTACTCGTCTTCGGAGTCATACTCGGTGGCAGCACCACCACCATAAGACTTGGAGACAGCAGCGGCACCGGCACCAGCCCCGGCAACAGCTCCGGCACCAGCTCCAGCAGTGTAGCCAGCACCTCGAGCATTAGCAGCAGCAGAAGGAGCTGCTGCGTAGCTCTTGGGCTTCATGACAGTCTTGTTGGTCCAGTCCGACTTGGCGCCTCCTGCGCCGGCGGCTCGGATCTTAGCCTGTCGCTCGTTGTCTCGTCGTCTTTCCTTAGCGGCAGCACGAGCATCCTTCTCAGCCTGCTTCTTTCGTCGCTGCTCAGCCTTGGCTGCCTCGTATTTTCGCTTGGTTTCCTCGTCCTCACGTCGCTGTTGCTCGTCCTTGGCTCGCATGGCAGTAGCTTTTTCATCAATCTCCTTGAGAACGGGCTTGACATGTCTAGCAGCAATGGCGTCAATGTCTGCCTGGGTCATGTAAGCGCCACCTCCAAGATCGATCTTGCCATGGTTCTCAGTTCGCTTAGCATACTTCGACTCAGCGATTTGGAGGGCCTCTCGGTAGTACTCAGGGTTCATGTGAGGGACACGGGTGGTGTGCTCAGCCTCAACGGCGGCCAGGGACTGGCGAGCTCGCTCAGTAGCAATTGCGTGCAGGTTGATATGACCCTGGGTGTCCTTGAGGAAAGCCTTTCGTTCCTTGAGGGTTCGTCGCTCCTCCTCGGAGAAGTAGGAATCAGGCAGGTCGGCTGGGTCGTAGGGAAGGTGAGAGGCAGCAGCACCAGTGTTGGCAAAGTGGAGGCCAGCGTCAGAGTGGTTAGACATGTAAATGGAATTAAGTCGCTTCTCGGCAGCCTTTCGAGCGGATGCCTCAATTCCAGCAAGGTTGATGGAGCCCAGGTCGGCAGACTGGAACTTGTTAGAGGACTCGTTGGGTGACACAAAAGGACCAGGCTTGTTGGGGTTTCGAGAGGCAGGAATTGTCTTCAGGTGACTGAAATCCATGTCGGTGGATCTGGGCTGAGCCTGGGGGTCTCTGGATCTAGGCATGGCCTGGGCAGCCATGAGGGCAGAGTTGTGCTGCTGTTCCTGTTTGAGAGTGGCGGCAGCAGCAGAGGAAGACAGACCTGTGGAAGACCGTCGGTGCATAGCCTGGGCAGCGTACATACCGTTCTTTCGAGTGTCGGGGTGCTCCACGTAGAATGCCTCCACGTTTCCGGGCTTCGAAGCAACTGCAGCAGCACCAGCCACTGCAGACTTGGAGGGCTTCCACACCTCGGGGCCCTTGTTCTGCTTAGCAAGAACTGCGGCGGCACCAGCAGCGGCAGACTTGTTAGGGGTCCAAAGGTTAGGAGAGAGGTTAGCATCGACAGCAAGGTTGGCAGCAGAATTGGAGGAGGACTTCTCAACGCCAACGGTGGGGAAACCGGGTGCGTGGTAAACGCCGTATCGCAGCTTCTGGGCGTAAATGGCTGCCTCACTGGGCTGCTGGTTCTCGGTCAGGTAATGCTGTCGGGAGCTTGAAGAACGAGTAGAGGCAGTCGACTTGGAAGACCGCAAGGACGCACTTCTCTCGTTGTTGTCGGTGTGGGCGTTGGGCAAGTCAACACCATTGGTAGTGTTGTGCGTAGAGTACACAGAAGAGGCAACGGATGCCCTCTGTGCAGCGTACTCCACGGGATTTGTGTCGTATGACACGGACTTCTTCTTGCGCACTTCGGCCATGGTGTGGTGATAGTGTGCTAGGGGTGGTGAGAGCAACTCGACGAACGAGGCGGGTGTCAAGGTTATTGGGTTAGGGTTCTGTGAATTGACGGCAATTTGGGTTTTAGCAATGGTGCCCCGAGTGACCCACGGGACGTGTTTAGGGAACTGTACGTAAGGAGGGTAAGTTTTACCTAACTTCAAAGGGAACTTTTAGCCGTGGTTGTATATTTTGTATTCACCGATTCTCTTTATCAGTGAGTGTACTTGCCTGACGTGCCCGTAGACATGTCCTGTTTCTGCCCCCATATGTGCCCATCTCACCATTATTCATGCATGCAGGAAGAGGGCGGCTGGCTAAGCAACAAAGACACCGTGTTTATCCAATACAGTGTCCCCGACCATCTGTACGGTGTGATGTCTTCATGCACTAAACGTTGATTTCGATGTTGTGTAGATTGTGAAGCATTCACATGGTTTATGGCGTCGTTATAGTACCTACTATTGTTAGCATATTGTCTGCTCACTTGTGTGGACTTGTAACACGATCCTGGTTGCAAAACAAGTTGCTATCGTACGGCTTCGGCAAAGGTTCTATTGTTGACGCTGTCTAGAACCTAAATTATAATACATTGGGAACCTTTTCAGCCCTTTTGGGAAAACAAACATTGCCAAACTTTGCTGAGAGGAGAGCGGCTGAGCCCCTGTGAGGTACATATTTGTTTCCGCGTAATCGATACGGTAGCCCCTTCTTCTCCAAGCCTAGGTATTTCCTTGCCTTATCTCAACTGTCTTTTAGTGTGCCCTAGTTTTTGTCCCCACAAATCTGTGCATAGAGTCGTGCATCAAATCCCTCACCCCTGACGTAAGTGTGCAGATAACTTATACTGTGTAAGTACTTGTAGTGTGACTTGGACGCGTTATTAAATGGCCTTAGTTGTGGGTGGGATGTTTATTATTCGTATACGCGAACGAAACTGGTTAGATTCGTGGTTCATGTATACTAGGGTCAACGAAATTCTCCGCATACATCATCCATAGTTTGATGATTTATTTATATATCATTTCCTACGATAGTTGTGCTCATTCTGTATGTATGGGAGCGAGAAACCAATCAAAAAGGTGATGTAGAACTCAGTACTTGTAGTTGTGGCGTGCGAACCAAGTGCCAAGTCCGGCATCGGCTAGTTTATGGCTACGTTACCCTGCTTACTGAGTTTGTGTTACCCTCCCGTGATCTAAAGTTTTATTGTGTAAGCTCTATCATGAGGTTACCCGGACCTGGCTATAAATAATCTTGCAATTACGATCCAAGTTTTCTTCTCTAACATCAGTAGTGGTTATACTATCTCAAGATAATATAATTACATTTCAGGAGCTTACGGTAACAGATCTCTCACTTGCTTACGCAGGTGGTGGTCTGGCCGGTCAGTTGAGGGGTACCTTGAGTCTTCCAAAAAGCCTCGGTGGGTATTCTTCCGTTCCCTGCTTCAATGAGTGAATACTAGATCGTTCGGGGTACTGCAAGTACATTCTGGATAATCATATCCAGAGTGCGAATTTCCCGACGTTACATCTTATATTTTTTTCCTTACATAGAAATGCGACCTGTATACACATTCTGACCACTTGTGCGCAATCTCGTGGTCATACAGGTAAGGCTTATAGTGAGTGGCTAATTACTTGTAAAAGTACTTGTACGTGGGCTTGCTCTTGTCTCGGCCATACATCATTATTGTGGCGGTGTGTGTTGGTTTCTGCCTTCCCTCGTCATTACGTTAGGACCTGAAGTGAGCCATGAGAGCCGTACAAGTACTTGTAGTTTTCCAATGACACCGTCAGTATTATGTAGAGTAAATCGACACAATATACTCGTTGTACGTTTTTTTGGTATACATTAAACTCTATATTCAGACTACTGTACATTTACTTGTACCAGATGGGTACCACAGTAGGATAAGACTTGCCTATTGATACCCTGTACAACTACGGGGAAACCACACAAATGGATCAAAACATAGTATATTAAAATTTCACGAAGTCGTCGCCGGCTACAAAGGCACCATCATCCTGATATTTGCCAAGCTGCAATATTTCATCGACACTATCGTCACTATCGCTGACATGCCTCTCTCCAGACTCGTCTTCGTCATCGAGCATAAGAGCAAGCCTATCCAAGTCCACATCTTGGGTATCATCCAGTTGATCGGCTGTAGCAGGGACAGCCGAGCCTTCGACGACAGCACCATACACGGCGCCCTCTGGCTTAATGTCGTGGCGGTCTGGGCAATCTTTGCCGCGGTCGCACCATCCACTATCATTGAAGGAGAAGCAGTATGGTGCGTCATCATTGTGCTTGACATGAGAATATCTACAGTTCTGGTTAGTGCACAGACCATGAGCAAAGTGCCTACAATTCGGAGAATTATGAGCGCTAGGTTCATGGCTGAGGGGGCAATTCGATGTCGAACACTGGCCTCGCAAATAATACTTGCACGCGGCGACTCGGCCTGGAGTGTGCTGTCGCTTGCACCTAGGTCGCGTGCAAACGCCGCTTTTGGTAAAGAATTTACATGGCTCGAGGGTTTTCAATTTTCGTTTCCTGTGTTAGTGGGTCTGACAAGCAATCGGTTGTGTTTGAGCGTACAAGTATGCTTGCTTCTGTCTTTCCGAGAGACGATGTAGGTTTCCTTTACTTCGCACATAAACATGGCCATCATACTCTACCGATCGAGGAAGCGCCTGCGGAGGCACACTAGGAGGTCGCAACAAAACATGACCACGGGCTGTGAAAGGGATACCTCTGAGGGATATCGTTTTAGAGGATGAAGCAGAGGCAGAGTTGAGAGCAGCGGCAGCAACAGAAGGGTCTATGGTATTCCCGGAAGAAGAGTGTCCATCAAGTCTGCCTCCAACTTCCTTGGGCACTTCACTGGCGGCCTTGGCGGCAGCCTCAGCAGCAACAGCGGGAGGGACATAGGTCTGATTCTGAAACTTCGTCACACCACCAGAATATCCGCCCCGCCCCCTGTAGCTTCCTCCATAAGTTCCTCTGTAAGCTCCTCTGTAGGCTCCTCTGTAGCCACCTCGACCTCTGTAACCGCCCCTGTGGGTTCCATATCCACTTCTTCCTCTATAGTAACCACCTTGGGTATCCTGGGACCCTCCGCTGTACCTAGTCTCTTTGTTGGCACTCAGGGCATCTCTGAGGGACGCGATTTCCTCTATCAGCTTTTGTTGTGATGACATGTTGCGTTATGGTGGTGTAGTGATGAAGGACAGAGTATAGAGAAACCACCGTCACTCTTTTACGACATGAAACCTTAATCACATTTAGTACATACAGTACTTGTAGGTAAGTACATTTTTACCCCTACGCTTTGTTTACGGGGATATGGTAGAGCTTAGGCATGACAGATTACTTAAGCAAGGGATCAAACCGAAGCCGATCTACCAGAAGAGCACTCCTTCTGTGCAGCAAAAGGAGAAAAAATGTGTGAGGAAGTACTAAATGTATAATACGGACATGCGGCGCGCAACTCACAATCACGTGATACACCAATACTGTAGTATAACCTAAATTTTCACGACATGAGTATTCTGAAAGGCGTCAGCAGTAAAGGTACTGAACTAACGACACAATGAAATTTGTTGCTCTCGTGTCCGGTGGAAAGGACTCGTGCTTTAGCATTCTACAATGCATAGCAAACAACCACGAGCTGGTTGCTTTGGCCAACTTACATCCACCTCAGCAAGAGACTCATGAGATGGACTCCTACATGTACCAGACAGTTGGTCACAACGTGGTAGCACAATACTCCGATTTATTGGGCGTTCCACTCTACAGGAAAGCCATTAAAGGTAGTGCTGTTACACAGAAGCTGGACTATGCACCCGTCAACAATGACGAAACAGAAGACCTATACGAACTCTTGACAACCGTCTTGGAAGACCATCCCATGGTGAAGGCAGTGTCTGTAGGTGCCATTCTGTCTTCTTACCAAAGAACAAGAGTTGAGAATGTCTGCCAGAGACTCGGCCTAATATCCCTATCTTACTTATGGCAGCGAGACCAGGTGGAACTCCTTGATGAAATTGTCAAGAGTAAACTGGATGCCAGGATAATCAAGGTGGCGGGGATGGGCTTGAAACCCCAGACCCACATTGGTAAAAGTTTGGCTGACATTCAACAAGAGCTTTTGCTTCTTCACGAGAGGTTTGGATTGCATCCATGCGGAGAAGGCGGCGAGTATGAAACGCTTGTGCTAGGCGGACCTTCATCTCTATTCAAAAAGAAGTTGACGATCGAGAAACTGCATATCGAAGAGGACAAAGCCGATGTCGCTTATGCAAAAATGCAGGTGATGGTTGAAGACCAGGAAAAACTCGAGGGAGAGATTGTTATTCCTGAGCTGCTTGATGAAGAGTTTGAAAACCTCAAAAAAATGTTGGATGGGGGAAAAAACTTCGAACCCATAAACGCAGAGCAGACGGAAACATACGAGGTCTCATTAACCGCTTCTTCAAATTCAGAAATTATCATTCTAGCAGGCATTTCTGGAGAGATCGGTGAGATCATGGAGAAGGTATGCGACCACCTGCGCACAATGGGGCTATCACTGGAGAACATCACCTCAAGTTCTCTTATTCTCAACGATATGAGCGACTTTGCTGAGGTAAACGAAATATACTCTTCTTACTTTACGGCTCCACTTCCGCCCGCGCGTGTTTGCATCTCTGCTAGATTGCGTGAAGGAATAAGGTGCCAGCTATCGGTATCTGCAACACGTGACTTGGGCTCCAAAACCGGTCTTCATGTCCAATCTCGTTCATACTGGGCGCCGGCTAACATTGGACCCTATTCCCAGACGATTTCCTCTGGCGAGGTCACATACCTGTCTGGACAAATCCCTCTAATCCCTGCCTCCATGAGCTTGGTTGAAGAGCCAGGCCTGGCAGCTGTACTATCTCTGCAACACCTGACCCGCGTGGCTCGAGAGGTCAAAAGTGATTTTGCGGCGGTGGTGGGCTTCACCAGCTCCCCTGCCCTTATTCCGATTGCAGAAGAAACTTTCACATCTTACTCACCTGGAACCCCTTTAATCCTTGCAAGTGTAAAAGCTCTTCCTCGAAACGCCCTTATTGAATGGGCGGCCTTGGCATACAAGAACTCTTATTACTTGGGCCAACGTGAAAACATCAAGTTAGTGTCTGTCTCCGGTTGCACATCCATCTCGTCCGTGCTGCAGTCGATTTCACCTGACGATGTCATCAGTGTGACATTATATGCAACCAACACCAGTCTAACAAACGACATCAATACCGCGCTGGAGGTGATTCAATGCAACACTGTCAGTTGCCTTGGTAGCACATGCGATGCAGCTGTTGTCCGCTACCGTCAGGATGTAGATATAGACTCGGAATAAATTCCATTGCGTTCAAAAGCTGGGCGAGCGAATTGCGAAGGCGACGATCCATGATGGCTGTACTTACTGATAAACTGAAGTCGTAATTATGTACCAGCTGGGTCAGGATAAAAAAAAAAAGAAAAAAAAAAAAAAAAGAAATGACAGAACAAAAACAGAACTCAGAGAGACAAAATTAAAAATAAACCGATCTGTTATTTTAAACTAGGGGATTTCATGATACATATAACGATAATACGAAAGTGAACCCTTCATCAATAATATAAAGACCGGAACAATCGTAAATAACAGAGGCGTGGAAAAATCAAATTGGTAATATAATTGACACATAAAAGGTGAATTTGAGGATAACCACGATAAAAGCAAAAGTAAATACTCCAGCAATATGATTATTGACCGGAACAATTTAATAATATAGTTAAATTATGAATATATGTATATATATCTCGGGATAATTCATCTCCATTGATCTTCTAGAAGTTCGCAATTAATTTATATTTTATAATCGATAATGTCAAAAAGTGTATTATGCTAATATTGAAATTTGGATAAGATATAATACATAAATGTTTCATAACAGCTTCAACTTATAGTTTTTGTTTCCAAATTAGGAAAATAGTTCATACGAAGACCTTAATAAGTAAATTAATGATATAAAATAACAACAGGGTATTAACATTATTTATATTGTAAAACGAAACCCAGAAAAACGTTTCAAACGAAATTAAAAAATCCAACATAATAAAATTAAAAATTCTGTTTTCAATTCAAGAAAATAATTAAAGTTGTTGTCAATTGATAAATAAAATATCTAATATATGTACTATTATCTACGCATTTTATATATTAATTTGGTAACTATTATAAAATCTTACCTGTAATATGTTGATTGTCCTCAGTGGACTTCTGTGATTTTTTTATTATTATGGTCGCCGAGTGGGAAGATAGCTGTTGACCCAAACATAAAATCTTTTATTTCTTATTTTATGCATTCTTAATTTAGTAGGGTAATAAGTAGTGACACCACTTCAGAAAAATTACCAATTTAGGAAATTTTTCTGTAAGTGATTGATGGTTTTTTAATTTATATGTATATATGTTATATATATATATATATGTGTATACATAAATGTGAGAGTAGAAAGTAGAATTGAGGGTACACTTAGACTGATTAGTAGTATGTAACTGTTTTCAGTAATATGTAGATCGTCTACACGCGCGTAATTTTGTAATCGCTAGGTATGAGGAATGCCGTTGCCTTATGTAGTTAGTTGACGAAGGTAGTTGCCTGATAATAATGTTGCTGTATTACGACTTGGCCCAGTAGATAGGATAAGTGAAGGTAATAATATAACTAGAGGTAAAAGTGTTCCATGGACAAATTGTAAGAAGGGGGTGTTCCAAGTAGTAACTTGGAACACTAATGAATGCAAGTAGTCGACAGTGCAGATGATCGGATTCTGCACGTTCAGGTGCTCCGTTATTGTTGTCTCAAATATCTGCGCAAGTTGATTGTCTGCGTCTCAACTATAATATGTTTTTTTTTCCCATTATAATGATCATACCTACTAAGTCCAATCATTGGCGTTAAATAAATCAACTTCTTTTAAAGATGACTTTTTTTAGTTTTGTTTTTATTCCAATGATCCGTTTCAACTTTTGTCTTTCTTTGAATTGGTTTTTTTTAGATAATTTAAATGACACTCTGACTACCGCTACTGTTGCCCTTTTTTTTTTCCCCCCCCTGTTGTGCCCATAATCAATCAATGTTCGTGCTAATATAAACTTGAGACTTGAGGTCACATAATAGCGACTTCCAACACTGAACACATTCCAGGACTGAAAAGGTGATCCCTATCAAACTGATACAAGCGGAACTCAACATACCTGTTACTCAATAAGGCACTTTTTTATTTTTATAACATAATACATGGGCCCTTTGTATTGAAGATCATAAGTATTATTGATTAGATATAGTTAATGTAACGACTTACAACCCACTTCTAGGGATACCACGTTCCAATAGTAGCACACACCAGAAGGTGTGTGCTACTTCATTCACCAGAAAGGGATTCTAGATCAGTGGATAAAATCTACAGGATGGACATCTCGTCTACAACAAGGCTGGTTCCTCTCATCATTATGTGATGAATTAGTCAGGTATGTACAGTACATACTACCCTACCGGGTAATTACTTTGAACACTGACCCTAAGGATCAAGTAAGAATCCAACCAACAACCGTTGCCTCCATCTATCTATTGATGGCGAATTGGAGAATTGTGTTACCTAGTCCAGGCTACTGTAATAGTTGACATGTCATGCTGTGAACTTCCTCGCCACATGTTGGAGATCAAGAAAACAGAAGTTGATTGCTCTCTCAAGTGTTGAAGCCGAGTACATGGCACTATCCGGGGGTATCAAGCGAGGTTACTGGGTCATTTGTAGCTTCAATGGCGGAGAGTATGTAACGTGTACAGCCTCATCCCTGGGCATTGGTCGTTTTTAGAAGTAGTGTATATAGGTGAGTTGAAAACCAGTACGTCTACTATTACTGGTATTACCATGTGACTGTACTGTAGTGCAACACAAGTGAAATCGGTAATAAATAATCTATAGTATCAGTCAAGATGTTTAGCACTGTTCAGCTGGATTCGGTTCTTGCCCGGAACTGAGTAGGCGCGTTCAAATCGGAGGCTTCAGAGTCAGATCGTGTTGATTTGGGATCAATCACAGCAGTAAAAGCCCCTTCGGAAGCAACGTCATTGGACTGGTGGACGTGATCACGCTTAGGGACGTAAGGCTTTCCAACAGGGGAGGTGAGAGGCAAGAATGTAATGGGCATAGCGACGTGGCGTGTGTTTGTGTGTTTGGGTGCTTGCGGTTGTGTACTCGCGATTGTGTGGTGTGACAAGAAAATTTGACTCTTCCCAGTAGTGAAGATGTCAGTGTTGTTTTTTTAGAGCAAGTGAGGGAGATCATCTTGGTTTTATATACCACCCGGATGTTCGGATATCCGGGTGCATGCATGTGCGGAAGGTTTGGAAGGGGGACTAACAAAGTGAGGGCTTTCTTATTATATGGAGAACGGCTATTTGCAGCAGAATGAAAGTAATTCTTACCAGAGAAAGCCCCTTGGATACCGGTTGACACTCCCTCAAAGTCTGACCAATAGATAGACCTTTATCTGTCCATGTTGCTTCTTCGATTGGTCTTAGTATGAGCACGATGCCATCAACATGCACCTTGGTTTCTGGGGTGCATGTGCGATGTGACGTGATATTCCAGAATGTGGGAGTGGAAGTAAGACACCAGTGTGATGAGTTCGACCGGCAAAAAGGTCCAGTGATGTACTGTCTGGGGATAACATCCTCGGTTTTTCACATGACAGCCACTAATTTAGAATAACCAAAAGTTATCGCAGTCTGTCGTGGTCTCAACTTGATGCTTCTCAAACAAGATTATATTATCAGAAGCTTGTTTTGAATAATCTGCTCCGCTTGTCTTGTACACAACGGCTATGTACGTATAGCTTCCTGCAGGGTATTGAGCATTGTACAATCAGTTTTTTTCCCGGCTACTGGCATTATACAGTAATGGTGATGGTTCGGACTACCACTTAGACCAGAAGTAATCGTATCACACTGTCTCTTTTATCTGAAATAAGCACAACGTGATCGCACCATCATTCAAAGCTTGCTTTTGCTATCTTCACCATGTGATTACCAAGTTCAAAGTTTTGATATTCGTATCGTACATATACAAGAATTTGTAGACAGGTTATCAGCAAAGCAACAAATATTACCAAGCCGATAAAAACTAAGAAGCTAGAAATAGCAAAGAAGCAGCAAATTTTTGAGTAGATTTTTTTTGAGTTATAAGATGTATTTGATTCTTACAAGTAGGACTTATCCATACGATTGACCGTGAACTCCATCGTCCCAAGTACAACCGCTCCGTGTTATTATTAAGCCTCGACTGTTAGTGTCCAATGCAGATGAGATAAAAGTGGGGTTGTCATTGTCTTTCACAAGCTTTCCCCATCGTCTTGTTTTTCTCCACACAGACTCCTGTTAGATCCATTTTCAGGAGCCGACCCATTCCGAAACTTTCCGGTCTTTTTCGTGGCATAAGAATCAACACGGCACTGCTGAGAGCAAGCACACCGATAACCGATGTAGAGTGCTTGTATGAGTAGGGCAGGCGCAAAAGAGTAGCTTGCTATCGTCCTGTATGTGTTTGAAAAGCCTGTCCTCCACTATGTGATGTAAATATTTAACCACTATCCGGCCTCAGCTGTGTTCGGCAATAGTATAATGTTATCGTAGACGATCGCACATCCAGAATAACAGATGAGCCACCTGACGACAAAAGAAACCACGCTGTTTGTCACAGCACCCGCAGTGGCACGCCCGATAGCATGCGACCAAAGTCTGAAGCCGCATATCCGGAATGAACGGCTGAAGAATTATCCCCACATAGATCAAATGGAGCAAAAGGTACGTATCTGGTAGCACCGTCGCGAGTGTGTAGGATATGGGTACTGTACATGTACTGTAGCTATGTATCACATTCCATGACATACGGTTCTCTGAAACTCGCACAAGTATGTACTTTACTATACATAGTGTTGTTCCCATATTCGTGACGTAGGTACAGCATGTGCGAGTTCAACTACAAGTGAAGTACAATACCGTATGTAACCGGTACCTCTTATGTACGATATCTGATACAATTCCGGGACAATTAGCTACATGTATATCATCATACAATATCTATTAACTATGCAAACCAACTTTTGACAACATACTGAATCTGTTCAGACTCAATCTGCTGAACCATTTGCTGAACCTGGTCCTCTCCCAGAGATTGCAGCCAAGTCTTAGTAGCGTCGACCAAGACTCGTGCAGTCTCGCCCTGTACCACAGAGTTGAAAACTGTCTGGGCAACAGAATCAAGCACATGCACAGCATTGTCATTGATTGCCTTGTGGTTCGCCCGCATTAATTCCACGAGGAACCGGTATGCAAAGGGGGCAACTTCTTCGTCACAAAGAATGGGTAGTGTCTTGACCCAAGCGTCCAAAGCCGCATTGGACTGTCCACCGAGCTCAGATCCATGATGCTTGAGAATCTTGGCAATGGCGCAGCAGGCATGCTCCGTAGGGTAGATGTTCTCATCCACGCGGGCGTCAGGACTGTTTGCAATAGCAAACAGAGGCTCCAACATCTGCAAGGAGTCCCTGGTGGACTTCGCAGCACAGCCGACGCAGTACAACGCAGCCTGTCGAACATTCGAGTCGCCCGACTGAATGAAGGGTGCGATAGTCTGCAGAACAGAAGGGCCTGATTCGGGACAGAACTCGGCTACATCTGACAGCACACAAATAGAGAACTGAATTTGGTCAGCGTCACCAGTAAGAAACTGCTGGACAAGAGGTTCCAGCTCGGCCTCGTAGTAAGGCTTGAACTGGTCCTTCATCAGTCTGAAAACCTCATGCAGACACTTGTTGATTTCAGCAATGAGATACTCGTCGTGCTCCTCCTCCTCTCCGTCATCGTCCTCTTCGGTGTAGTCATTGTCATCGGCATTGCGCTCGTTGACACGCTCGATATAATCAGCTAGATTCTTGCAGATGATTTTGCAGAGGGAGGTCATCTGACCAGGTGTCATAGAGTTGGGTCCTAGAATGGACACGGCTTGGTAGATTGCAGTGTAGAAGTTGCCGAGAACATCAACCATGGGCTCCACCTGCATGGCCTCGATGAGCTTAGAGAAGAGAGGGCTGAAGAGCTCCGCGAGCATGTTCTGGTGGTTAGTGGTTACAGGTGCGACCTGCTTTGCCACCTCCAGGCATGGGCCGATGGCAGAAGCAGAGGCGTAACGCACACCGTCATGAACGAAAAAGACAATGCCAGGAGCCAGAATCTCGTTCAGGATCTGGTGTACATAAGGAGCAAACGAGTCCTTGAGAGTTTGGGCGTATCCAGCCATGAGCTCAATGGCCTGTGCCTTGTCGTCTAGGGGAGCAGTGTGAATACTGAGATGCTTTCCCTTGAGAGTAATAACATCCCAACCTTCTTGCTGAGCCACAGCATCGACCTCTCCTTCGTCCTCGATGAGATTGATATCAGGTTTAGCGGAAGCAGCTCTCAGGAGAGGAGGCATTACGACATCCAAAAAGGGCATGAAGTCACGACCAAGCAATTTGCAGATACGGCTCCATGCTAGAACCAAGTGGGACTGGCAAGGGTCGTCTTCGTTGTTAGTCTCATCGAGCTCGCCCTGGATGTCCACGTAGCATTTCAGGAGATCCATAGAGGAGGGGATGAACTGGGTCTTTCCAACTGCCACAGCAATGAGGGAAGAACACTCGATAGACTTAGCCTTTACATTTCGTGTTTCGTCAGTAGCAGGCGTTCGCAGAACAGTGAGGAGCAGCGGCATGAGCTCATCGTAGTATTTTGAGAACTTCTCAGACGAAGACTCAGCGATAGTCGAAATAGTGGTCAGCACCTGGTCCTGGAGGTACCGTTGGGGCCTGTTGAGCAATGTGACGAGAGAGCTCAGCAGATCATCGAGGTAAGGCTCCAACACCTCTTTTGTGGCATTCTCGGCGAAGTTAACCATTGCTGCAGCGGCGTGAGTCTGGACTCGAGGAGGTAACTTGCCCCGAAGAATGCTGATCAACCCAGGAACTACTCGCGCATGGTACTCGTTCTGGATGGTGGGTGCAAAGTCTGTAGAAATCTGGCCCAGTGTGTTACAGACAGCCCACTGAACTCGGGGATGGGGATCGTTCAGTAGGCCCAACACCATGTCCAAGACCTGCGAAAGCTCCTTGATCATGACATCAACACAACCCTCTGCAACAGAGGATAGAGCCATCAGGGCTGCGTGCTTCTCCTTCCAGGTACCGGAAGTCATTGGAGGAACGTACTCAAACAGGGGAGGGAGAATGACATTTCCGTGGAGCTTAAGAGCGAGTCGATCAAGAGATTGTCGTGCTCGCACATCTGCTTCCTCCTCCTCAGCATCACCGTTGATGTCGGTAGCGTTGTTCCATTCTGCCGCATCATCGTCGTCCTCACCAATTTCGGTCATGAGCTTGAGACAGCATGTAACGAGCTGAGGAGTGTAGTTGCTCTGGTTCTTGCACATCTGGGGAGCCTTATCAACAAAAGTTGTCAACAGCTCCAAAGCTGACAGTCGGGCACTGAGATCCATCTCGGCGTTCTCGATGATGGAAACACAGAAAGAAATAAGATCGGGAAACACGGGCAGGAACATCTTAGGGGCAAGGCCCGCCAGTTCCATCAAGTGCTCAAGAGTTTGTGTAAGTTCCAACCCCTGATCAGGTACAGCCAGAGGAGGCAACACATTGAGTAACGAGTGTAGAAGGGGGTTGAGCTGCTCCCATTTTTGCTGGGGCAAGAGGTCGAAGAATTTTGTGAAAGCTCCAACAGCGGTGACCTGGACAGACTGGTCGCTGTCAGCGAATCCTCGCTGGAAAACCGTGATGATACCATTGATGTCCTGGTTCTCGTTCAGAACAGTCGGCACGGTCGCGATCAGACGGAAGCAAGATTCTCTAATACCTCCAGAGGGAGCCTGAGTTCCCTCAAACAGAGTCTGGACCAGCTGAGGCCACGAGCCCTGGGTATTTTCGTCCTCCACGAGCTCCGCCATCGCGTCACACAGCTTGTGTCGAGTGGAGTTGTCGGTCTCTTGCGTAAAGCCTCCCAATAGAATGTTTCTGCACATGCTTCGCACCTCGGGTTGGACAGTGTCGACAGTTCGGGTGACCACGTTCTTGACGTCCTCAGGCGATTTAAGAGCCATTCGACGGAACAGAATAGCGGCAAAAGAACGTACAGTCTTGTCGGAATCAGTAGCAGCCAGCTGGGCCAGACCGACCAGCAGCATGCCTACCTGCTGAGGTCGACACCACTCATCACGTAGAGTTTTTTCTGCGGGTACTCGCACCTCAGATGACGGAGATCCGAGGTTGACGAGAAGTTGTTTCAGAGACGAGATGACCTCGTCCGGTACAGACACTTAGTTAGTAAAGGCTCGCAGGGCAACGTGGCCTGAGAAAGAGGCGAAACAGTTGAGGTCAAGTTATTCACATGGAAGTCTACCCGTGTGAAACTGAATGCCGTTCATCCGTTTCTTTTGCCCATCTGCTTCGAGATACTCACTTTTTTTTTTGTTGTCTGGTCGGTTTCGTGTACCAAAAAATCCCCTGAATCAAGTGTTGTCAAGGCAAAAATGCAGAACAGATAAAAAAAAGCTTTGGTTACATGTCCCAACCTCGCAAAGCTTAAAATTTGTACTGCATATTACGTTGAATAGGTCATGTGACATTTGATGTTTTGGACTCGTATCCGAGGCTCACCCTTTTGCACGAAGGAACGACACACTCAGTTTCGCGGAACGCGAAGGAGGCATCTTATAATGTTGATATCAAGTATCATATGTAAATCTACGTGTACTGTATTTTAGCTACTTGTACAAGTAATTTACTTTTAGGTACAGCATATAACTTCACAATTTACCAACCGTTGTAATGATCACACTCTAGAGTATGTATGTATGTGTACTCTGTAGTCTTTTCATTATTGCTCCTACTGTACGATACATACAGTACATTCGCAACCGTATTAAAAAGTACTGTGCAAGTATTCACTGTGTGTCACCCTCAGGCTTCAATATAATCGTCACAGTTGCAATGGGTTTGCGGTTGACACCCCAACCCAGTACAGTACTTGTAGTATATTGTACAAGTAGTTTTTCTCATCCGTTCATGTCCCAAAAACACAGTTTGATAATTAATGTAACTATTATTTGTTGCGGTGAGGAGGTTTCTGTGTCACCTTCTTCCTGGATTTTTAATATAATTGTGGCCGGCAGAGTAGTACCAGTTAAGTGGTCCTAACGCTCAAGTGTATTCCCTCTCATCGCACAAACAAATGTTATAATGTGGGCTACAGGTGCGATCACAGCCAATCGTGTAACCGCAATTTCCACGATGTTTAAGGTTTGGAAAAACAGTGAACTATTCGCGGGCTGAAAGGCATGAATGGTGTAGCCCTATATATACGACCACGTTGGTGCTATTGCTTCCTAGCCGTTGTTTGGGGGAAGTATGGATATCTTGCAGCTTTATGTACACCTTCAGCCTGCTCTGGTATCGTACAAGTACCAAACCATACGAGTATCCATGGACAAGGCTCAAAGAGGACTACAAGTACATACTGTATGTACTGTACTGTACTGCTGTGTACTGTAGTTTTACTTGTACAAGTAATGCATATGTACGATTTCATGAGAGCTTTACCAGAATCTGTGAGAACTGATTACTCCTTCGTTTGTTGTGTGATTCAGAGTCAGGTAAACAAATCATAAGCTGCATGTACTTTACATGCTTAGGCACAGGTGAAAAGTATTCGCACGCAAAACCGGGGCTGCTTCATACGTGAACCAACCCATTCATCACACCTAGAATTTTAGACTTTCTGTACAAAGAGCACCTACTTGTAGTTATGAGTGAATGAGCATCACACGCTTTCTGATTGGTACCGGGTAGCACTATTTATATTACCTCTCCTCAAGGGCTCCCTCCAATTATATTTTCTCTTGCCCCGTTGAATCTCCTCTGGTAAATATAATCTGATTCTTGTACTCGTGCGGAGTAGTCCTATACATACGAGTACGATACTAATTACTGTAAACCTAACTCAGGGTATCCCTTTTGTGACTCGAGCCCACTCCAAGTCGATAGGTTATTGTAAATAAACTTCTATCTATCTCACATATGGTCGATTAGTCCATATGAATTCTCAGCCTTTATCACATCACCGACGATAAACGGAAGACAAACACTTGAAACGGGCCAAAGGCTTTTGACAGTTACGCATTGACTTCGTCTGCCAAACCCCACGGACTACTATGAAATTCACCGAGCTTTTGGCGGAGTATCAGGTCCCCGAGTGGAAATCGCAATATGTCGACTATAAATGGGGAAAGAAACTACTCAAGAAGATTCCTGACGACTTAAAGGACAGACTCAAGCGTCACAATACCTTCAATGATGAGATCGATGCACCCAGCGAACCTCAGAACATTGCAGCCCAGCAGCAGGCTGTACTTGTGGATCAGACTGCCGGAGAAGCGAGCATATCCCCAAAAACTGTTGCGCCAGCGGCGGCTGCCGCTACTTCTCCTAATACAGGAATAACGCCAGGCGCATTACTTGGAGAGCCCTCAGAGACAGAACCTTTCAATTCTGGTTCGGAAAACGACAACTACGGGGCTACTGAGTCCCGCGAGGGCAGTGTGGAGGATCACGAGAGGCACGATCCTCAGAGTGGTGGGGTGGCTTCCCATGATCCAAATCTGAGTCCATCATACATGTCCAGGGAACGCCTTTCTAGAGGTCAGTCGGGTCACCCGACACCTATTCTGCTATCCAAGATATCGACATCGGGTGGAGATTCAGTGAAGCTTCCCCCGGCTGCACTCGAGGGCGGTACTACACCTGAAATGGCACCTCATCGAGGTATCATCACCCGCGGAAAGTCCTCGTCTGGTAGAGCAGACTCTGTTAAGGCCAAGTTTCACATTGGAACACCCAAAATCACGCCGGAGGTCAACACTAATTATTCCGTCATGGACAATTCGTTCTCAGTGATCGCACCGTACGACAGTGAAAAGGACTTCATTGCCTGGTTGGACTCCCAGCTGGATAAAGTGAATGAATTCTACGATCAGAAAATGAACGAGACCCACGAGCGATACAGAATTCTGGTGGGACAGCTTGTGAGGCTGCAGCGACAGAAGCTGCATCTTCGACAGCGTCCAAATAAGCCTGCACGTGAGGGTCTGAGTGTGGTGGAACGTCAAATTGAGCTTCCAAGTCTCCCAAGCTTTGCTTGGTTGAAAAAGAGTGACTCGAACGATGTGTGCGACCTCGATGCCGAAAACACTCGTGCGAGCAGCGAGAGTGCACTGCGTGGACAAAACCCGCACTTCCACGATGCCACTACTGACCATGAGGGAATCTCATACGCGTCAGCCCGACGTCAGCTGAAGACAGCAATGCAGGAGTATTACCGAAGTATCGAGCTTTTGCGTTCGTATTGCACACTCAACCGGACTGCCTTCCGCAAGATTCTGAAGAAATACGATAAGATTTCTGGGCGGCACATGAGTGCTTATTACATGGATCTCGTGGACCACACGGACTTCTGCAATGTGGAAAACTCGCGGCTTGACATTGTGGCCGCTAAGGTGGAGGACCTATACACCAACAACTTTGAGCGCGGAAACCGGAAACACGCTATTTCAAAGCTACGGTCTACTGGCGTCAACAAAACATACTATTTTGCGACTTTCCGTGGTGGTATCTTCTTTGGCTTAGCAATCCCATTCTTCATTGAAGGCCTTTATCGAGGCTGTCTGAACTTGGTGGAGCACAAGTCTCCGGACACCCAATACCTGCTGCAGATTTGGGCAGGGTTTTTCCTTATCCTTTTGTTCCTCCTTCTGTTCCCCCTTTGTTGCTTGGTATGGAACAAGTACAAAATCAACTACACCTTCATTTTCGAGTTCTCACAGGACCACTTAGATTATCGGCAATTCTTTGAGATGCCAGCCTTCTATTTCTTCTTCATGAGTATATTCGCGTGGCTGACGTTTTACTCGTTCTGGGAGTCTTCATTCAGGGCCGTCTATTACCCGTGCATCTTTCTAGTTTTTGCGGTTGTGACGTTTTTCATGCCTCTAAACATCTTTTATTGGAGCGCTAGACAGTGGCTCATCAGAGCGCTATCTCGAATCCTTCTCTCTGGACTCTACCCCGTTGAATTCAGAGATTTTTTCTTGGGAGATATCATCTGCTCTATGACCTACTCCATGTCTAACATTGCTCTGTTCTTCTGTCTCTATAGCCACGAATGGTCAGAAGGGTTCCATGGGATATATAATCCTAGCCATTGCGGCTCGTCTCACAACCGTTTGATGGGTTTTTTTAATGCTCTCCCGGGTATCTTCCGTTGGCTACAATGTCTGAGACGTTTCGCAGACACAGGAGATGCTTTCCCACATTTGGCAAACATGACGAAGTACTCTCTTACGATCATGTATTATGTGGCCCAGAGTGTTTGGCGAATTGACACAACCAACGGAAATCGAGCATTTTTTATCTTCTTTGCTACTGTTAACTCTACTTACTGTTTCATTTGGGATATCATGATGGATTGGAGCTTGCTGGAGTTTGGGAGTAAGAACTTCTTGCTCCGAAACCAGCTGACCTACAAGGTCAAGTGGCCATATTATACTGCTATGGTGGTAGATCTGGTGCTCCGATTCAACTGGATTTGGTACGCCATTTTTGAGCAGCAGATCCAACAGAAGCAACTACTCTCTTTCTTCGTTGCTCTGTCAGAGATATTCCGACGAGTCATGTGGATGTTTTTCAGAATGGAGAACGAGCATGTGAGTAACGTCAAGCGTTTCCGAGCATCTCGTGATGTACCTCTGCCATACCATGTGCACGTCTGTGCTGAGCCTGGTGAGACGGACGAGACTGCAGTGGAAGAGGGACACCAGGCAGATGATGAGGATGAAGATGAAGCACGTGACCGAATGGGGTCATCCACTGGTGTCGAATGGGCACGGGAATCGCCTGGGGTGTCGCGTGACTCTCCTCGGAAGTCTCGTGTCACGGATTCACCTCTACGGAAGCGAGGTTCGCATGTTGAAGAGGGTAATACCCCTTCTCTCAGAGCAACTGCCACTCCAGTTATGGAGGCAATCTCAAACATGGTGCAGAAAGCGCATACGGCAGACTTTCAGAGACGAAAGAAACCTCAAGATGATCAGGGTAAGGATTCGGATGGCGAGGATGACGACGATGATGAAGATGATGATGAGTAGCTAGATTAGTTTTAAATTCATTGCTGTTTTCACACGTGTCTTTTTCTGTAACATATGAACGTCGCGAATAAATGGCCATTGGCTTAGGATGTTTTTTCTGTCTTGTGGTTTGTAATTAAAAATTAATTATCCATACCTTTTCGGTAATCTCTCATGTCAGCCTGTATCTCATGGCTTGGGTATAGTATATACAGGTTCGTATTGTATGTGAATACTTTCAGTATGTAGGTGTACAGTGTGCAAGGGCGTAGTTAGTCGTGCCAGTCAGGGTGAAATGTCCATGATTGCTGAATCGCTTTTTCACTATCGATACAGTAGGTGCAAGTACACTGTACATACTGTATGATAGGCTGGGTCATAGATGTTCACGCTAAATGCGTGGCTTCCTATCGTCTACAACTTCCAGCAATAGCTGTGGGGGGTCCACATCTATTGCAATTCCTCAGCGTACTGTACCCTAGCGGTGACCCATTCTATCCCCTATTCGAGTTTGTAATCTCTGTGTATATATGTGTGTCCCCAGCCTTGCACAACGCTATAGGATCTAGGGAACACGTGACTCTGTCGAGTCTTAACGCCGTGCGAATTCCTTACGAGTATCTGATCTGTCGATCATAGTCCCATGTGTCCTCCCAAAATAGCCCCATAAATCTCAGGAATTCTAACATCCTCCTCTGGATGTCCCCCTTATAGCCCTTTTGATATATCAGTTTTATTGTAGTTACTTTGCTCGTACTCGTAACACTTCTCAAACTCCTTAATCCCCACTACAGTACAAGTACACGTAAGCTTTTTTTAAGCAGTGCCTAATTACTAACGTACGCGTTTTGGTGGTGGCAGCGTAATTTTGACGTGTATGGTATCGCAACTTGTACTTGAGGGAACAGCAAGTGACATAGCATGTGTATCCAGTGTCAAGGATAGTTACTACACTCATTATCCTACAAATTAATGTACTGTATTTGTAATACCGATGCATCCTTGTACAAGTTGTACAGTATATGTGTGTTATACTTCTACTATACTTGTACATACTGTACCACTTCAAGTTTAGTGTCAATAGTTACCTACAAGTACACCTGTATAGCTCGTGTATCACTCCACATGTCCGCGGGCCATTCATAAGTGTTTGTGGGGGTACGTTAATGGCAGTTATACCCAGTCCCCATCAGCTGCTACAAGTGAGTACTGTACCCTCGCACGGTACATATAACAAGCTCCACTACGCGAGATGTCTGCCCATCACATGCAACCTGCGCGTGTAAGAAGAAGTCCCTAACCCCAGAATGAGGTTTTGTATGTCTTTTTTCTGGTATGCATATAATATGCATATGTGTGCTGCCCTCTGCGCATAAGCGTGTTGTGTGTAGCCTTGATGAAACTACTAGTACATACTACCAGTACCACCAGTAGGAATTTTATAAGAGATCACCAGTACAGCGTTACAGCCATAGTCTATACACACAGACCTGGCTTACCCAACCAATAAATTCTACAGAAATGTATGTAAAACATTCTGATTCCTCCACCCCTGCAAACATAAAAAAGTACACACCCAAGGAAAACCAACTGACTTACATTTTTGGCACAAACCAATTTCAGACTAAAATTAAACTCAACAAAACATTTCTCTTAAAAAGGAGTTCTACAAGTACCTACAGTATGTACATGCATCTGTGATATCAATCAACCACCACGGCAAAGGGTCACTTGCTGCGTAGAATAATAAGAAACCACATACACCCCACCTATTAGGGATATATTCCATGCAGAGTTGAACTGCCTGATATTAAAAAGTGTATTCAAAAATACCAAGCAATCGGGAAACCTTATTTGAAATCACGTGACAGGGCGTTTCAATTTTTCCGTGGACATGAACACACGAGCCAGGCAAGTGGTATATTAGGAGACCACGGAAATTCAGATGGATCTAGATCATGAGAGAGAGCGGAGAGTCCGACATCAATACATGTACTGCATACACCGTAACTCTACAGCAGTGGAGGAGGCTGACCGAATTTAGCTGCGGAGCTATAATGGTTGCGACATTAGTTGCATCAGAAGTGGTTATGGGCACTTGCTGCAGACATAGTAACAGTAAAAATAGGCCAACGAGAAGGTGATCCGCCAAGACCAATTTGTGCAAAAATATTCCTCGGGCACATATTCGTTCGAGGCCGCGTTACAAAACGCTCAATACCAATGCCCCCACACGTCTCGTACATTCCACGATTATAGTGTAGGTGCATATCCGTGATTTGCGGAAAATCCCCCGAGAAGGAGTGCCAGATTTGGGGAAGGCGTACAAGTGTGAACGCAAGGACGAAGGTATACAAAAATAATAGGATAACCATGAAGACTTGGAAAATAATCAGTTTATGTGGCCTCAACATTGGTCGCGAGACAACCAGAGTACAGACTCACATCATGACGGGAACTACTCCTCAACCCATCTCCATAGTAAGGTTTGGTTTTAACAAAGTTCACAAAAATGGCTCCGCCAAAAATAGGTTCTACCTATGCAGAGGCTGTAAATAGCAGAGGCTGCGCAGAGGCAGAGAGAGACACGCACGCCTCCTTTTACTACGATAGGTGACAATTTCTCTTACGCGTATTTCAAAGCTCCTGTCTCGACACTCATCCCGCCCTTAGTGACTCAGCGACCTCCACACACTCGTTTGCCAAGTATAATATCCTCACAAGCCCAACACCTCACCTCTCTTCGGCATCCATTTTCTACTTTTCCGTCTGTCTCTGTGTCGCTCTATTGAAATGAGATTCTCAACCACATTGCTGCTTGCCTCTCTGACCCTGCTTGTCGACGCCCAAGCTGCTGCTGCGCCTGCCGCCGGTGCTGCTGCTCCAGCCGCCGCTCCCGCTGCTCCAGCAGCAAACAACCCAGGTGCCGGAGCTGCCCCAGCCAACGGAGCCAACATTGCTCCTGCTCCTGCTCCCGCTCCTGCCGCGCCTGCCCCCGCCGCTCCTGCTGGAGCTAACGCGCCTGCCGCTAACCCCGCTGCTCCTGCCGCAAATGCTCCAGGCGCCAATGCCGGAGCTGCGATTGTCAACGGAGACGGTGCTGCTGCTGCCCCAGCTGCACCGGGGGCCGCTGGCGCTGCTACACCCTCATCCTCGTCTACTCTGGCCGCTGGAGCCAAGGCAACTCCATCCTCATCCTCGACTCTTGCTGCAGGAGCCGTAGCCACCCCTTCCACATCGTCTACTACCCTGCCCGTAGGAGCTGCAGCTGCCGTACCCGCAGCATCATCAACAACTACCGGTACCTCATCCACCACTAACGCTGACGGACTCGGCGATGTCCCTGGCCTCGCTTCCACATCCACCACCGCTGTGCCTCCTGCAGCAAACATTGCCCCTCATGGTGGTCTTGGAGGAGGTCCTGGAGGAGTCATTCCCACAACAGTGGTGTCTACACCCGTTTGGGTGACCGGCACTCTGCCTAACGGCCAGAAGGCCACCACCGAGTCTCTATACACCCAAAAATTCACTTCAATGTACGAGACGACAGGCACATGGTCGAGTGGCTCTGTGGGACTAGGTTCGCTGTCTTCCAAGGGCACTATTGGAGTCGAGCGACCACCCATGTATATCACCGTCGCCACCGCCGCCACCAGCAAATAGGTGTATAGGTGACAGGCTGGAAGATAAATTATAGAATTGCATATAGATGGAACGTTACCTGTTTGATTAATTGTAAGAGTAGAAACCGATAGATGAATAAAGATCGTACAATATACACTACATGCGCACTACAAGTAGGCCTCTTATGTAACTGGTTCCCATTTCAATCGAAGCACTGATCTATATACCCTTGCCAAAGCACAGTAGCTACGGATTGGATGCAGTTCCATATGTCGGACAACAGTATGGGTTGCGAAACGATGGAGGTCCGAGCATAAATCCTCCAACAGCGACATCAGTATGTAATTATACCAACAAATGCCTCTCTATAATGCGGTGGCAGCCTGTAGCCTATCCATTAAGACGAGTCGATAAGGCTCACACTCGATGCGACATGCCATGCCCCGGACTCACCCTGCACGCGGTTTACTTGTAGGGCTATGACAGTGTCAATTCATACAGCTCCTTTCCTTCCTTGATACTGACAAAGGGAAGGAAATCGTTGCACAAGAACCTGAAGCGTGCAAAATTGTCTCTGTTAATCACGTTTTTGCGAACCAAAGACATCATGAACAGGTGAAGTAACGGAACGTCTCTGGAGGGATCACTTTCAGATTCACTTTCGTTCGACAGCCAGCTCTGTACAAATTGGAAGATCGCCCACACCTGATCCTCCTCATCTTGCAACACATCGCAAATGGTCATATGAACATTATTAACAGTTGAAATATTGCGAGGAGAGTTATCCCACAGTTGCTGAAGCAGCATGTATTTCCGAGACGGCGTCGCAGAGCTCGATACACCTGTTGCTGCCGTCTTACCCTTATCGCTCACTTCCTGGAGAATCAATTGTTGCAACAGCGAAAGACGAAGAGGTGTCGACGGATGAAGCAGTGCTAGGTCAACATGACCTGGAAACAACCGGACAAAGGAAGATGCATGATCGTGGCATTCTGAGTTCACTGTTCCAGTTGCCACAATTTCGTGGAAGTTCTCTTGTGAGAAATCCTCCTTCTCAAACCACAAACCCCGTCGAATGATTGCCTCAACACCATCATCCTGCTCCAACCACTCTTGCCGCCATATCGTAGCCGCAACAGGGTTAACGCACTCAGCCACCAAGCCATATAGACACACTGGATGTAGTGCTCCGGCAACCCGCAAGCGAGCCAATTCGGGCAACAACGCAAAGTACTGCACAATCCACGGATTTAGCTGCCCCGATAACGAGTAGAGGTGGTGCTGCGCTGCCAGGAACACCGCCTGCTGCTGCCACAAGGTCTCCGGCTGGTTCCGATGCTGCTGCTTCATTCGCTGCCACAGAGCCACGGACTCCTCGAAAACGTCCGCTGCAGCATTCAGTTGTGCGGCCAGACGTCTCACTGCTGCAACCGTGTCACCAGGAGACGTAGCAGCGTCGATTGAGAGGTTCATGCTCACCGTGGAGATAAATGTAGCTGGTGGATCTGGATACACGTATGATGCATGTCATGTTAGTCTCGAAAGGCTGTTATTAAGCAACAGTGGCAACAACTAACCAACGGGAACTTTGAAGGCCATTAGACTGCCATAGTACCATAGAATACAATCCAGCTATAAGGAAGATATTCGCAGATGTACTGCCAATAGTACACGTCTACCCTGCTGTCTGACGATTCCTCGCTCTCCAAAATTACTGTGTTAACCCAAAAGGTAGTACAAAAAATACCGCTCGCAAGGGTCGTAAAGCTGTAAGCGAGGGCGACCCACTGTATCGTAGTTGTATCGTATGGTTCAGTTGATCTTTGATCATATGATGACACACGGGTTGAACTGCTGGCGACAGATAACTAATACGATGACACACGGGTTGAACTGCTGGCGACAGATAACTAATACGATGATGGTACGTGCAGACGGAGTCTTTCTGCCATCTACCATACTGCTACAAGGACAATGCGTAAATGTCTATTTGCATCTACACTAACAGGTACGCTTCTAAGAATACATTATTTTTTATTACCTTCACTCCAAACTTAGGCAGAGTTCTGGTTCATCTTTCGCTTACCGTTGACAAGGGTAACGTTGATGAATCGTCGAGTGTACAAGAGTCGCTTCTTGGCTCGGCCAACAGGGGCCTTGGGCTTCTCCTGCTTCTCGACCTTGGGAGTCTGAGACTTGACCTTACCGGCACGAGCGATAGAACCGTGTTGCTTTCCCTGTGGTTAGTCTATGATCGTTGGGATCTGTGATGGATGACTTGTCATGATGTGTACACACGACTTGGCCATGACAAGTCTGTGCGAGCTGCTTGCTTAGCCCAGACTTCGAGTTAAACGTCTGGTGGATTCTGAAATGAGCTCATAGAGAAAGGGTCATGCCAACAAACAACAAAGGTCAAATGTTGTCAGGTTATCCCCCCAACTGTGATTCAATCAAATGGCCACAGTCACATCACAAAGGTGATGCCTCATATAGTGGTTCGCCACCTGATAGTCGTGCAGCAGACCTAGATCATGCCTTTAGATATCAGTCCTTCCACCAGCCGCCCCGAACGTGTGTACAAAACCAGTGTCGTCACAATTTCTCCGTCGTGGGCATTTCACTAGTCTTGTCGTGGGGTCAAAGGTCGCAACTCAAGTCATGTCGTGGGCAAGTCGTAGGTCATGTCAAACATCGCAAATCGCAAATCACTCCTCCATAATCGTTCCGTTGATACGCACCATTTTTAATTCTGTTGTTAGTTTAGTCTTGAAAACAGGGGTTGTGTGGTTTACTCACCTTTGAAATGTGTCGATGTGAAGAGTGGGAATCTCGGAAGAGTTTTGCATTAGGGAGTGAGTGTTATTTTGAGTTAATCATGTGACTTTATTTAGGGCTAACCCTACAAGTTGGATGCTGTTTGGGACTTTGATTTAAACTTAGTCGTAATTTAAGCTCAGATGGATATGCACGTGACCGGTCCACTTCACAGGAGTCACACGTGATCAATAAATCCCCAAGGTGATATAATATAAAATGTACTGTACAAGTACAAGTACTACTACTACTTGTACGACTTGTACGAAGTGTCATCTAATGTGAAGCCTTTGGGAAAATTCGCATATCTTCAGAAACTTTCTTTTCCCGTTTGGCATCCCACTCATATATATATCTCGCTGTTCTTGGTCATCTATGAATCTCAACTCGATCGCGGAGTCCCAATTCGGACACTCGAGTATTTTGATCAGACCACCAGAATCAACACAGAACAGTTCGGCACCATGGATGGCTATCTGTGCTCGATTAACTTTTTAGCCACTCCACATCTCATCTTGCATGAACCTTAGACAACAGATATTCATTTGAGCTTGATTGCGAGCCGAATGTGTGACTTTTGCAGAAAATTACCTGGATCAGAAAACCAGTTACGAAAACCAGCTTTGACACTCTGATTATACCTCACGCTCGAGACATCCGTCGTCCAAGTACAAGTACAGTAGCGAATTCTTGTAAACCAGCACTTCTGTCTTTCAGTATGTCCCCCAGTTTTGACCACCACAACAAGAAGTACAAGTATGTATGTACAGTACATACATTACAAGTACATACATTACAAGTACAGCTACAGTACAAGTACAGCTACAGTACAAGTAGAAAAACCTTTGTCATATAACCACAAGTACTTGTACAACCGTTTAAGATAGTAAGACCACAACACAATATCCCTCTCTAAACACCCAGTACAGCATGTACTTGTAAAGCCGTTCTGATCTCATGGGGGATGGTATCTAACGCACCTCTGACAGCCATTAAACAACTACAATATGTACTTTACTACTCGTAGTTAGAGAGGTTACTGGCCAATAAAACACCTATTAACGACGGCACAACTACAAAAGTACATCTGATCCAAGAGCACTCACGTACCTTCCATGTCCAATACATCAAGTCATTATTACATATAAATCATCACCACAGGGTGCTATCATACTCTCAGTACCATCCAAATAATCACTCCCACAAGTGCCAGAGTGAGACACATAACGAACAAGACTGACATTCGGGATACAGGAAAGTGATTGTTCACAATCATGTGCTGTGAGTGGAAGTACCGGGTGGTTCCAAGAAGCAAAACCACAATGCCAGCTGACACAAACAAAGCTCCTGCTATTCGAGCAAGACGTTTGTTGTCCTCAATCTTGTCCAGCTGGTCCTGTGGGTCGTTGACGTTAGTGGCCGAGTCCGAAAGTCGCAGAAGCTGAGAGAGACCCACACCAAGGGTAGCAAAGGTCATGGAAGTACGCATCCATGCTAAGAACGTTCTCTCGTTGGCCAGATGATCGCGGGCGACTGCTCCCTTGTTTTCTAGCCGCAACGAGCCCAGATGATATGCCGAAGAAATCCATTTGTGCACCTTGTTGCTGTCTGGGTGATCTAAAGGAGGATCCGCAGGCTGTGCAGGCTCCGTCGCAGACCCTTCGTCCTGCAAGTGGGACTGCACCTGTGTTCGTTGTTGTTCGTCATGGTCCACTCGGACACGGGATTTGGCTGTCATTGGTGCGAGCAACGGTTTGGCGTTGGGTGCTTTGTTCGTGTTGTGGGTCGATGGTACGGAGTCGTGCTGTCGATAGAGGTTGATAATACAGGATGGGGACGTGTCTTCAGCCGTATCGCTCACCAACTCGTCGGATGTAGAGTTGACGTTTTCTCCGTTGACGATTTTTTGGTTCTCATTGTATTGTATTTTGTCGCTAACTCAAGCCACGATTAAGTGTGTGATGCGTGATTAGTGCAGGGGGACCCAAGGCTTCATTGACAGTGTAGCCCGATTAGAAGGATAAAGATAAGAACGGTTCATGCCTTGGAGAGACCACTATGTCTGTGTTTGTGTAGCCCTGACGGGTGTTTGTGTTACATCCGTCCCCGATAAAACCCTCCATGCGGTGCACATCGATTTAAACGCGTGTGGCTTTATTGTGGCTTGACTAGCGTATCAATGTCCAATGGTGGCTGAGACAGGCGCCAATTATCATATTCTTGTACCACCACTCTTGTAGTGGTGGGTCAGTGCTGCAGCATGAAATAATTTTACGAAAACACATGCACAAAGATGAGGTGCTCGTTTAGCAAAAACGACAGGGCTACCATTGTGCAGAGCAAGCATCGTTCATTTCGAATGTGAACGTCTCCAACAAGTATCTCGTGGTCGTTACAGTCAGTCTTGGCTCGGTCCTTATTCTTTTGAGCTCTGGATCACAACGCGTGAAGTTGCCTTGGACATGAATGTTTTAATCGAGACAAGCTGTGCTGGAACACTACCGGTACATACTGTACGTAGCTTCTTGTAGCTAGACCCAGACCCGCCTTTACAATACTACAGTTCAGAGATTTCAGGAGCTTCCCAGCAGTCAAACAACCACAGCCTGTATATTCCGAGGAATTAATGGGATGGTGCGATGTGACCAATGAAGACGCTGCACGGAACACAACCTGCACTGGCTAGTTGTCTCGTATCACCACCGAATACTCACATATGCGACAAGGAAATTGGTCTCTCATAATCTCCATAACGTGGTGTGCCTACTGGTAAAAAAGGATGCCTGATGGGCAGCGTGAAACAGGAGTACTTTTACTCAATACATGATCTGCAGTAGTGTCTCGAAGTAAACAGAGTAATTTGTGTCCTGACCATTATTACTTCTCTGTACACAAGTAAATGTCGCCTACTCTTACAGTATGTACAGTAGCGGATGTCGCTAGTTTTACTGTTTTGTGAGCTACTTATAAAACAGCGTCCTTAAAATGATGCAATTCTAGATGACACTTGATGGTGCACATATCAGCCACGACCCCACGTGAACTGATTGCTCCATGCTTTTCACATTCTCTATCTCATACACTTCCGCAGTCATTTCTTTTCCAGGTGTACATACCGTTAGCCCATCAGCTACTTGAAGTAGTACATACAGTAAATTAGCTCCCAGAAAGTAACGGCGCCTAGACCTCGAATATAGCTCCTAGTGGGGGGTCCTACTTGTACTAATTTTACGCGAATTGAACCAGGCTATCATGTCTACAGCACCCGTTTTGCACGTGAGAAATACCTTCCTGCATCATCCATTCTATTGGTCCACCAGTCTTCGTACATGTCACAACGGCCCCACATGTCGGCATATAAACGGTGAGCTATGCATATCAGGGGCTACATTGGAGACCCCATGACCTTGACAACACGGCTATGGTTGCGGTCACGTGATGGCTAGAAGGAAAAAAAATATTCCCCAAGCCACCTGTAAGAGCCATTTCCTTAAACAAATATTTTCAGCGGCGTTGTTTCCGTAACGTTTTGGCTTGCCCTATCGGTGCGTGTTCCCCACATGCACCATTTTGTGTAGCTTCATGTGCACCTCCCAATTTCCAATATCAGATATCACCAGGTACAGTGCTCCACACGTTGATTAAGAGACAGTGAGTATTAATGAAGGAGACAAGAAACTGAAGCGCGAACCACGAGAAGTCACACTACAGTATCTCGACCACAGGAGGCCTGTCCGTGAGCCACAGAAACGATAACGCTGCGTGACACGACGCAAACACAGAAACGGGTCGTCACAGAAACGCCGAATGTTCGCAAGACGAGACCTAGCAAGCACGCACGGGCAGAAACAACCATCCAGAGACATTCATGCTGTTACGGTTCTACACGGAGAGCACTTCTCTACCGGAGAGTTGCGATAAGACGGAAACACGCCACTCACTATGACGAAAGTGCAAATTGTACCATAGGGCTACAGCGATACCTGCGCACAACAAGCTGAAAAAAAGAGATGGGTTCTTGGCTCAGGAATGCCACAATCGTGGTCAAATACGACTCGAAGGAAGTCAGATGCTACAACATCCTCACCTACCTCGATGGCTGTTGATAAAGCCTGAGGGAAGAGGTGCTACTATGCTCTGTCTGATACTTTGCGTTATGGAATGAAGCAGCTTCTTTATATTTTCTATCTTGTACTAACTCAGTGACTACGTGCGTACTAGAACTGGATCTAGACTGCAACGTGCGATATGTGTCGCACTCGTGGATGGAGTTGGTTGGAATAGCTCGCAAAGAGGTGGTTGGAACCAACATTGGGACCCACATATCTGGAGACGAGAACGACAAATCTGTGTTCCAGCGCGCGACTGAGCAAATGATGAAGGACTCGAGCTCGTGCCGAGTTAGATTCTGTGTCTGTGCGCGAGTTACAGATGAACAGGACAGCGATAGCAGCGAGGACGACGACAAGCATCATAAAACGAGCTCAACTGCAGTCAAAAAATCTGATGTGACGGACACTAAGTTGTCAAAGTCCTGTGGTAAGTGTCACAAGTGTGGCACTGCATCCGCTTCTGTTGGCGACAAGTTCGCAGACACATCGATAAACTCGGTTGAGTCGCACGAGTCTGCAGATTTCGATACCACTGTTATTCGCCATTCGATCGACAATCTTTCTCTTTCATCTTCAACTCATTCGACATTTTCTGAGCCATGCCTAAATGAACTGTGTGTTGAGCTGGAGGGCCAGGGTGTGGTGATGAAGGGACGTGGCTCAGATCCGGCATATACCATGTGGATTCTCAAGCCATACCGACAAATGGAACCATTAAGCATTGACATTCCTCTGTCTTTGTTCGAGACGCTAGGCTTTGGAGCTGACGTGTTTGTGCAGTACTTGGAGACCCTCCAGCAGGATGGCGTCACTGAGTTCAGCAACTTACCGCCACCACCCATGGCCATGTGTCGAATATGTGAGCGGCAGGTGCCCACGTGGGCGTTTGAAAGTCATTCACAGCTTTGTTTGATTGAACACAAGGCCGAGTCGCATCTGCAACAGACGCACGAAAACCTGTCGGATCATCGCGAGGCAGTGGCAGCTTTGCTGTACTACTCGCATGGCACCCCCTCAAACTCGAATTCGAACTCCAACTCCAATTCATCTTCCTCTGTAGCATCTCCAGCCGTATCTGGAGCCTCATCACCATCGCCGCCTCCTCCGGCACTCTATCGAGGTCTTCCGATTGCTCTGACTCCAGGAGAAGAGCACATTCCCGCCATATCTGGTGGCTCTGCATCGTCCTCTCCTCCCCGAAGTCCACGGCAAACGGCAGCATCGCTGGTTTTGACGAAAAAACGCATATTTCAAAAACCTGCGCCGAAAACGCCGACACGACAGATTCAACTGTTGCTCGAGCTCTGCGACACTGCTCTCGACATCAATGGGCCCGAGTCTGCTGTACACAGTCCCAACTCTGCGGCCAAGATCCATACTGTGCAAGAATGGCCCAGTGCAAGCTTCCGCAAAAATGTGGTGGACCCAGGTCTTAAGCTGCTATACGAGGACACCGAACGACTATGTCAGGAGAAGGTCGAGGCAACCATGCGTCTTGCCAACATTGTTACCTACTTTGGAAAAATTAAGGAGGAAGTGGATACAGCGGTGCACCAGGTTCTTGAGGAGACGCTGTACCAGTTGCGGTTACAACAGGACGCTAATGATGGAGTGGAGGCACCTGCGGAGGGACCGAAGAACGAGGTGGCTGTAAATGAATCTGCCATTGCATCTTCTTCGGATCTCGCTGTGGGTGATGTGGGCATTTCAACACCGGCCAACAGCGTCGCTGGCACGGAATCCGAAAGTGGTGGGCCAATTCCCGCTATGGCCACTGACAGCAAAGGAGATGTGCCAGTTCCTGAGCATAATGCCTCTTCATCGTCGTTATTCTCTTCCCACTATCTAGGAACAGATAGTCTACCCCATCTGCCTGCCCCCACATTCTCTCAGAGCCCCCAGGGCAGTCCCAATCTGTCCGATTCGTTCGATGGCATGCCTCCACCACCTCTACCATCTTCTTCATCACAATCGGAGAAGAACGTGACAGTTCAGATTGGAACCCCAGCACCCAAGACCCCATCTACGCCTCACGTGCCTGCCTTGTCCCTCTCTTCTTCGCATTCGGATCTTCGCAGCGGTGCTTCTTTGTCGTCAGACAACATTCTTGGAGTCAGCCCTACTAAGAAGGCTACTACCATGACTCCCAAGTCGTTCTTGGCCGACGATCTAAACGCAAACAAGCCTCCTACACCGTCACCTCATATATCTCGTCGCCCGTCTCACATTTCGCGGCAGAACATCAACAGGCCCCTCACGACTCTCAATACTAACCTGCCTGAGTTCTCTATGTCGGATCTGTCTCTTTCCGATGGGGAGAACCGGCCTCGAGCAACATCCTCTGCTGGCGGTCGTAGCAGCAACCTTGGTTCTCCGATGGCTGCACCTATCAGTGGTGGCGGCAACGGCCCACAGAGATCGCGGGTCCATTCGATCAACGTCGAGTGGACTCCTCTATCGTCGCCGTTACTGTTCCCCTATGAGCCTCAGATGGACGATGGCATTGCCCCCACACCCTCTGTTCCAGTAAAGCCGACGCAGCCGTCTATCAAGGATTACGAGATCATTAAGCCTATTTCCAAGGGTGCATTTGGGTCTGTCTATCTATCGAAAAAGAAGGCTACTGGCGAGTACTTTGCCATCAAGACATTGAAGAAGGCTGATATGATTGCAAAGAACCAAGTCATGAACGTCAAGGCCGAGCGAGCAATTCTCATGGCTCAGCAAGACTCTCCGTTTGTGGCAAAACTCTTCTTCACCTTCCAGAACCGAGATTATCTGTTTCTGGTTATGGAATACCTCTCTGGAGGAGACTGCGCTGCGCTGATCAAGATGCTGGGTGGTCTTCCTTCAGATTGGATCACAAAGTACATGGCTGAAGTTGTTGCTGGCGTTGAGGATCTCCATGGACGAGGAATCGTGCATCGAGATCTCAAGCCCGACAACCTTTTGCTTGATAGTGAGGGTCATATCAAGCTAACGGATTTCGGTCTCTCTCGAATGGGTTATGTGGGCAGATACACTAAGCCAGGAGCACCAAGTGGCACCGAAAGTGGCAGCACAACGGAGTCAGGGGCTCGTGGAAGTGTATCTTCCAACGACTCCCGTCGATCATCCAACTTCGACACCATTGACATGGAGCACTCATACTCTCTAGTACCCGGCTATTTTGATGTGGGCGACAGCGAGGATGAACGAAGTCGAAGTGTGGGCAGTGGTAGTATAAGGGACTTCCGAGAACGGTCCACTTCACGAGGAGCACCTCTTGCAATCGGACCCACCAGCCTCAGTCATCCACATCCTCCAGTCCGACAGGACTCGTTGCCTCTGTCAAACATGCCACTGCATGACTCCAACCGGAAGTTCGTGGGAACGCCTGATTATCTTGCACCTGAGACAATTGATGGTGTCGGACAAGATGAAACTTCAGACTGGTGGTCTGTAGGGTGCATCATGTTCGAGTTCATTTACGGCTACCCTCCTTTCCATGCATCTACACCCGAACTAGTGTTTGACAACATCCTCAACCGGCGAATTCAATGGCCAGATGAAGGCGAAGATGATCTCAACATTGACGACAACACCCGTGATCTGTTAGTCAAACTGTTGGAGCCGACTCCCTCTCGTCGTCTGGGTTACAATGGTGCGGAGGAGATCAAGAAGCACCCTTTCTTCCACCACGTGACTGACTGGAATGCTGTGTACCAGGAGGAAGCCAGCTTTGTTCCCATGGCCCAGTCGCCTGAGAACACCGACTACTTCGACAGTCGAGGTGCTCAGATGGAGGAGCTCAGTGTGGACGAAAATCTCGACGAAAGTGTCGACAGCGAAGACACTGACCGTGATAGTGTCTCCAGTCCATCGGAATTCCCCAAAATCATATCCTCAGCAAGGTCGGACTCCTCTTCACCCAGCCAGGTCACATCTTCCTCTGGTGTGCGCCGGGTGTCATCTACTGGTTCAGGTGGCCAAGGAGGAGGTGGAGGAGGAAGCGCAAATTCTAACTCAGCATCCAATTCCACCCGGAAAGTGCCTCTCCACATCCCTCCTCATGTTCGAGAACGAAGGTCTCGTCGTCTGTCCGAAACCTCGGACGACTTTGGTAATTTCTCGTTCAAGAACCTGCCTGTTCTCGACAAGGCCAACAAAGATATCATCAATCGACTGAAGGCCGAGACTCTACCCATCCCTGTGCCTCGCAAGGAGTCTGCCACTTCTGCCACTGGCTCTTCGGAGGACGGGTCTCCCAGCACTGGCCTAGGGCTGTCCAGTTCGCCTGCCACCAGTGCCACAACTTCGGGATCGTCACAGTTTCTCAACAAGCTGTCAGCATCTGGACTCAGTCCTAGCCCCCGTGGCTTAGGACTCCAACGACGGTTGTCTACCCTTTCCGACAGCCCCGAGTCGCCTATTCTGGCTCCTCCCAAGATGCGTCGACAACCGTCAGCGACATCCGCTGCCTCTGCAGTCTCGGAGTCTTCTCCCTATAATTCAGATGATGACAGGGAGAGGGCTCGGCTGAGGGTCCAGAAACGACGCCAGATGAGTCGGCGTTTCTCGTCGATCAGTCTCACCGAGTCCCCCAGCTTCAGACCTCTCTACGTTCTTGTGTGTGATCCCAACCCCGTGTGGAGATACTCCATATCCCACATTCTCAAGGAGCTCAACTGTCACATTGCCACTGTGAAAACAGGCTCTGAGGCGATTCGGAGGGGCACTTCGGATACTCGATTCGACTGTATTCTGACTGAATACAACCTTCCCAAGGTCAATGGAGAAGATGTGGCCAAGCTGATCCATTCCACTAACAATGCCAACACATCAACCCCAATTGTCGCAGTGACCTCATACCTGAAGGCTGCCTCAGAGACCGCTCTATTCTCTGCCGTGATTGAGAAGCCCGTTCGGCGGGATGTGCTGAGTGAGACGTTGCAGCGATTCTGCAATTGGAAGGAGCCTGACGAGTAAGGAATTGAGGAGGAATATATATGAGAGATGATTCTAGATAAGTAATTGCATTTTTATTTGAGTGTACAGTATATCGAATGTATTTGTATTTGTACTGTACAAGTACATACTGTACACTACATATTGTAATCTTGCAGGACAAAATGCATACTTGTACATTCAGGGATTGTGATCTCTTCGGAGCCGAAAATACCAGTGTTTCGTACGTGTACTCGTACGCACTGTACTGGGGGTACGTGTGCATCGTATGGCGGCTCAAATGTACTTGTACAATACATACTCTTACTTGTAGTGCTATTCGGTAGACAATAGGTGCGATGTCGTACAAGTATGTACTTTACCGGTATGTACTTAACTATATGATTACAACGGCAGGCTGACATAATGCGGTTTTTCATGCACTCTTGCTTCTCGTCTTGTTAAAACTTCATCGCACAGCCTCGCGGATCTACAAATGTAAGCACAGGGTTTTTAATGACAAAAGCCGAACCGAGGAGCCGTAATGCAGGATGACAAATAGTGCAGCAACTTGGTCAATTATTCGGTTGGCTCTAATGAAGCGACGCATCAGTAGTCCACGTGAGATACGGAACAAGCACGCCATATGCTTACGTGGGTGCATTGATGTACTTGCACATTTTTTGCAGTTTTTCATATTATGCTGCCTTTTGGTGATGGGGAAGCGGGGCGACGGAGATACATGTCAATACCTGTGAAGGGTAACGCATTTTTCCCTAAAAAAGGGTCAAGTCTAGTAAGAGACTCACATACCTGTCATCTGAACACGGTCAGGTCCATGGGGTTGAATCTGGGTGTGTGTGGACAGTGTAAACAGTGTAAACGTGACAGTCCCCCCCACCTCTACCCCACGCCGTTAGCACTTTAGAGCCTATTTCCCCACTGTAACCTTATGTCGGCTGAAAAAGCCGGTGCGAAAAGGTGAGGTCCGGAATGACGGAAAATCGATAGATAAGATATACAATTGGAGTCGTAGAGACTCTGAGCTGCTATACACAGAAACAAAAACAATAATTGCGTAGTCACTCAATGTAAAGCCTTTGATCGCGATCTCTCTCGCACGCCATGTGACGGCCAATAATGATTACGTTATTATCACGCTGCAAGGCAACATCCTCGGCTGAACTTTGACTTAGGAGATTTATTGCATATATTTATACTGTTACCAGGGTTGATGCCCCACAGCACCCCAAGACGATACTTCGCCAGTTTCACCTTTGGTATCAGCGCACTTACCACAACTATCTAACGACTTCCTTGCTCTTGAACACGTTCTATCGTTACACCCAGCACTCAGACACTATATTCACGTGTCAGATTAAATCTATACCAGCAGTAACGGCTTCTGATTGATTACAGAGATCCACAACCCCTACGCCTCTGCGCTCTCCATAAGTACCACCCACAACTAAGCCTTTCACAACATGTCTCTTCTTGAACGAGAGCTTCAAATTGAGGAGATTGATATCAATCTCTACCGGTCTGCCAAGGAGCTTTGGCGACCTATCGGTCAGCGAGGTATCTTTGGCGGCTCTGTCATTGCTCAGGCCCTGATGGCTGCTACCAAAACTGTGCCCCCAGAGTTCATTATCCATTCCATGCACTGCTACTTTGTGTTATCTGGAAACCCCGACCACCCCGTGCTCTACCACGTTGAGCGGGTCCGAGATGGCAGAAGCTTCGCTACCCGAACAGTCCAGGCCAAACAGCGGGGACGTGTGATCTTCACCACTACATGCTCTTTCCAGGTTGACAAGGGCAACGGAAACATGCATCATCAGAGCCGAATGTACGAGCGAGAGGTCAAGAGCAGTGGAAAGGCTTTTGATGGCGAACACGAGGCCACCAACGGAATTCCTGCTCCCGAGAATTGCGTCTCCTCGCTGGAGGTGTCCAAGTACCTCAACAAGCAGGGCGTGATCAGTGACGATATTCTCAAGAAGATGGTGGATCGATCAGTTGAGGATCCCATTGAAATTAGACTAGTGACCGGTCTTCTGAACAAGGACGATGGTCTGCTTCCTCATGAACGAAGAATCAAGTTCTGGGTTCGATGCAAACCTGTTATTGAGCGAGACGACGTTCAGTCGGTCGGTATTGCTTACCTCAGTGACTCTTTCCTGCTGGGAACAGCTATCCGAGTCCAGCCCCTCAATCCCGGTGCTGCCTCTATGGTTGTTTCCCTGGACCACACAATCTACTTTCATGGCAAGTTCCGAGCTGATGAATGGCTGCTGCACGTGATTGATTCCAACTGGAGTGGAAACGAGCGGGCACTGGTCCGAGGACGACTCTACAACCAACAGGGAGTCTTGGTCGCCACAGTGTTCCAGGAGGGTGTCATTCGATTGAAGGAGAAATACAAAGGCAAGGCTGTAGAGACCACAGATGACTATCTTAGCAGCGGAACGAGAACTGATGCTGAGAAGGAGGAGTCTAAGAAGAAGGGAGCCATGGCTGCTAAGAGTATTGACAGTAAGCTGTAAGCACAGGGAGACGATGATGATAGTGTTCGTAAGGGTATATATTTTATAGACATTCATGCAAATCATTACAGTACGTAGTATAGAGTACATTTTATGCTCTACAAATCGATAGGTACAGTACCTACAGCAGATCAATCAATGTGATGGCAAAAGCACCAAGTCATCCTTGTTTAAACCCCTCTCCACTGCCCTTTTCACCTCTCCGTTATCCTTTCTCGTCCACACTCTATCACTAGAGAGATTGGAAAAGTCGTCAATGGCCTCCCACGCCACCAACGAGTTGAAACTGCCTGTATCAGGGAAGTCACCAAACGTTACAGATGTGCAATTCTCAATGATGGGGCGTTTTGACGAACAGCTGACGAAAGTGGACACGGAGTCTGACTTGTGCATTCGGAACTGGTGACATGCCAGGACAAGGATTGAGTTGGTGACGCAATTAATGTACACTGGACCATTTACTCTGTAGAGGAAGATGATGCTATCTGAGATGTCGTCAATCTCTGCTGTCGAGTAGGTCGCTTGGTCCATCACAACAACTGACTTGGAAATGTTAAAAACCTTGACCTTCGTGACAGAGTGGTCATTAGTGGGCTTAGATACAAAGGTATCATTAAAGTCACTGACAATGTCGCAGGACTCCTCCTCTTGAGAAGTATCACCTTTTGTCAGCATGTGCTTGGTTGCCTTGGTATCACCTTTAAGGGTCAGCTTCCGGTGACTGAACTTGAACTTGGCTTTTGATTGGGTCGCATGGATCCGGATGAATGTGAGTAGGTCACGTAAGTCACCATTGTATGTGTCTTGATCTCTCACGGGCAAGTACATGAGGTTATGACGGCATTTAGATGCCAAAACATCTTGTCTCTCCAGTGCTTGAGGTGGTGCGATGGCTTTCGCGTCCAGGGACTGGCGGATATCTGAGTTAGCAATTGGAAACAAGCAGGGTATGAATCAGAGTTATACTCACCTTGGATTTCCTTCTTGAAGTCCACGTAAAACTCGTTTGTGTCAATCATGAATGCGTAGGAGGTCAGGATCTCATGCAGTACCGAACCTAGTTTTGTAGACGGACAGGGAATGCTGGAAGTAACAAATGAGTGATAGAATCAAGAGTTGTATACAAATACAGTAAGACTCTTGATTATATCATATGGGGCATGCATATTTACTCCAAATGCAATGTCCCCCACAAGACGTTCTTCTTGGACATCTCACCATCTCCAATTTTGTCTCTAAGCAGTATTTTAGGTTTCCATGCATTATTATCACCAATCTCAAATCAACCAGTTTTAGAACACACATCGACATGAGTAACCACGCCACTTTACTGCAACGGGAGGACCAGAAGACGTCATACTTCTTGAGCGACGAGATCAGAGCTCTGAAGCGAAGGCGATTGGACAAATCAGACCCTCCCAAGAATGGCCACAAGCCTGAGATTGACGAAACCAATGACAGTGGTGAAAACTCTGAAACAGCAGAACGTGAAGATGAGAAGACGACTCTAGGAGAGATTGAAAATGAGGGACACGACAACCCTGACGAAAACAATCCCTTTGCTCGACTGTTGGGTGGTAAGGAACCTTCCTCGGGTGTAAATCTGCGATGGAATATGTACCAGGAAGCTTGGGGTGCGCAAAAGGCCAAGATCGACGAATTGCTGGAGATGACCAACGGCAACATCTTGGAGGAAATTGTCGAGTACGTCAGTGAGTCAGATGCCGAGAACCAAATTCCTGCAGCCCTAGTTTTCCCCGGATCTAACATCGCCAACCATGTCCGTCTCTTTGGCCAGATCAGGGAGTGGCTGGGAGCTGTCAAGGGAGTTCATATGGTGACACTTCATGCAAGAACGTGCCCCAGTCTCAAAGCAGTTATTAAAAATATCGTCAGTGACCTGATTGAGTCCGAGGAAGTTGCAGAGGAGGTGGAGGTGAGAGAGGAGGATCTCAACTACGACCGAAGAGTGAAGTATGACTTTTCCATCCTGGCGGAGTGGTGTCGCAAGGTTGGTACTGATGCATCACAAAGGATTGTGTTGATTTTGGAGGATGTTGACTCGTTCGATGTCAAAGTGTTGTCAAACCTCGTACTCATGATGCACTCATACAAAGACGAGATTCCGTTCAGACTAGTATTTGGAATTGCGACGTCATTGGAGATTTTCGAACACAAAATGACCAAAACAAGTATCCGACATCTGCAGGGTAGGGTTTTCGATGCCCAAGCCACCTCCATGTTCCAGTCTCTGTTTGAAAACCACATGTTCAATCTCAACAATAAAAGCATCATTGTGGGCCCTACAATTCTCGAGGATATCCTGAAGCGTCAAAATGTGAGTACTGAGTCTATCGATGCATTCATTTCGTCTTTGAAGTATGCGTACATGTCGCACTATTATTCAAACCCATTCTCGATCTTTACCAGTCGCTTGCTCGATGCAGGTGACGAATACGAGCAGATTATTGACAGCAATCTTACTGGAGAACATATCGATGCTCTCAGAATGCTACCAAGCTTCAGAGCTCTGGCGGAGTCCAAAACTGATGCTTCAGAGATCGATGCTCTGCTCTCTGACGACTCGCACATCATGGACATTACGAAGCAGGCTGTACACGACTTCAAGGTAACGGCTCGACGGGTTGTTTCATTAATAAACCTCTTCGAGACCATTGAGAATGTTTTCGGCAAATTTCCGATGTCCTGGGGGAAAACAGAAATCTACATTCCATTGGTTCGAGGCGAACTGGGAGAATCTGACTTCTTCAAGGCAGTTTGTGAGTCTTTCAAAAGCCAGAGCGACGAGAAGATTCAGCATCTAGCCCAAGAACTCGCCAAGGACGACCTTTTCGATTGGTTGCATGATCCTGACACCATTCTGGATACCATAACAGAAGCTCTACACAACCTGAAACCCTTTAAACAGCATCTGTACCACGAGATTTTCGTCACAGATCTCGCCACACTCCAACAAAATGTGTTCGTTCCGTTCCAGCGACCAGCTATCGAAACTGCACTGGCCGACCCACGTCATTATCTCGGTATTGAAGACGATGACAACAAATTCAAGTTTGTGGACCCCAACATCTCTACCCTGTTCACACTTTATCGGGAATCAGGCATTTATATCAACATCTACGACTGGTACGTTGCTTTCAAAGAATGCATGCCACGGTCAGTCATTGAGACAGAACTGAAGAAGCAGGGACTGGTGCCTGAAGAAGGAGAAACTGTCGAAGATTGGGACAAACGAACACTATCGTGGTTTTACCAGGCTGCAGCTGAGCTAAAATTCATTGGCTGTGTCAGAGATACCAAACGAAAGGTCGAGAGTGTGGAGAAGTTGATCTGGAGAGGCCTCTGACATAAAAGCATTACCAACACATAGACTAATAAAAAAAGGCTGCCCTTCCTCACTCTCGCTACAACCCATCGTACAATATACATAATCTATCCTTGTTTTATTTATATATTCTATTCCTTGGTGGTCTTCTTGGGCCGCTGGCTGATGGTGAAATCGAGCTGAGACAGTGAGAAGATGGCCAGGAAAATGCTGCCGATAACGGTAGCGATGAAAATAGGCTTGATGGTGGCAGCAGAGCCGGGCAGAGTGTACTTGAGGAACACAATGCCACCTCGGTGCTGATCCACAAAGTTGACATGCCGCACCTGAATAGTGGGCCGGCCCTTTTTGTCGAGATAGCTAAAAGTCACTGACTCCTCCTTGGAGAGAGCAGGTTCCGATGTCACGACCTGGACGTTTCTATGTTAGTTAAAGACGACGGATATGAATATGGCATAGGTCCACCCATACAATATCGTATACTGTTGTTAATACTCACTCAGCTCCCTCAGGGAGAATGTAGTTGGACTCAATCTGTCGGTACTGTGCGTCAACAGGGCCGTTAAGCAGAGGAAGACCCACGACGTACTCGTCTGCTCCAGTGGTTCGCGACACGGAGGTCAGGGGCATCTCCCAGCCAATAGTGAAGTTGTAGTTCCATCCTCCGAACACGGGGTATCGGGGTCGCAGCTCTAAAAGAGAGACCTCCTTTCCTCCTCGGAAGTGACTGGTCGACACGTTACCAACCAGATCGGTGTAGTAGACATCATGGGCACCCAGAGGAAGAGTGAAGGGAAGTTCAATGATGGAAGCAGATGCGGACGAAGGCTTGCCGTGATGGGCGAAGAAGTCGGTTCGAGAGAAAGAGCCATCAAGCTTCGCACCGGCATTGGTCAGGTTGTAAGACTCCTCAATGGCGATGGAGTTGGAAACGTGGGAGATCCAGATGTCTCGCTTGAGAGAATCTACTCGAGGGATAGGCAGGGGGTAGTCGTATCGAAGAACCAGGGGCTCAACTTCGAAAGAGCCCATGGGGCCAAAGGGACCGTACTGGGCACCTCCCTCTGCCTCTGTGGATGGAGTTGAGTTTTCGTCCATGTTGATTTCCTGCATGTTCTGGGCCATGATCTTGACCCGGTTGGTCTGGCTCTTTGTGGGGTACAGCGAGTAGAAGGTCTTCAGACCGTCATAAACAAGATGCTGCTGTTCGCTCTGCTTGATGGTCTGCGGAACGGGCTGGAGCTGGTTGACGTAAGACAGGAACAACTGCAGCTGGACTTGAGAGCCGGGCTTGATGGGCTCGGGCAGAATAGCAGACCAATGCTCACCATGCTCATCTCGAGCCAGTCGAATGACCTTCAGAGGAGCCTCGTGGCTCGATTCCTTGATGTCTAGCTTGGCCAGATCATCCACAAAACCCGGTGGGATGGACACAATGTAGTCTGTCTCATCAGATGTTCCGTCGTTGTACACGTTGACGGCGATGAACTCACGCACGTAGCTCTTGCTGAGATCGACGGTTCGGAACAACTGTCGGTTTTCAAGCTGCTTGTCGGCAACCACTGAGCCAATTGTGGCCAGTAGAGTCACCACAGAAAGTCCAAACAGTTTCATCGTGTTCTGTTCTGTGTAGCGTCTCAGTCGTAAATGACACGCATATGCAATGGTCGAGGTCCCAAATAGAAATTAAGGTTACAAAGTGCGTGTTGGCTTAATAAGCTACATAAAAAACTACAAAGGTGAATTACATAATCTCAGATCGGTATAAGCAGTGTATAGGTACTACAAGTAGAGACCAAGAGCGTGTTTTTAGTCGGAAAAAAAATGTGACTACAAGAGAAAGACGTATATGACTCTCCTGATATTAACTTCATTAATTATATTACCACTGGAGATTTACGTGTTGTTTTTGATGCACAGGTTTGCCTCGTGTGTAATAACATCGCAGTGTTTGTTGTTATTGATCAAGTTCAGATGTGCCTCGCTGCATGCGGTGTATCGAGTTGAAAGGCAAATGGGAACTACAAGTACTGGTAGCTTCTTGAGATGTAATCATTATGAACCCCGTAAACACAGTCTCTAGTTTCCGTACTGTTTGTACTTATGTCTCCCAGGTTAGGGTTCACTAACTAAGTGCGATAGTGCACTACACCCAGACGCGTCCATGGGACATCACCACTTTAACATGACCTAACATGGAGAATGGGGAATACTTGACAGATGAGTTTTCGGACCCCGACGAGCATCTGGACATGTGTTCGACACGTCGCTTTTCGGATATTCTACGACCTGACAATCCACACCAGCCATTGAATGGGACAGCCAAACACAACATTACTGTGGTTGATCTACAACTGATACAACAGCAACAGACCCTATTTTATGACATCTTCAGCCGCGCATCGGAGCATTCTGATACCCTATCTGTGGTAACTCTTTATCTCGCCTATAACACCGTGTTGAAACAGTCGAACCTCCCTCAGGATGCGTGGGTAATCAGAACTCTGAGAAGAGTTTGTGCTCAGGAAGGAAGATCATGGGAGGAGAAGTTCCGCAACCTCAACGATACCTACATCAAATATGTTGAACGGCAAGAGCAGGAGGAGAAAAGGGCACGGGACGCTCTGTACGAGTCACAGGCTCTGGGCTTGAGAAGACGCAATCTGCTAATCAATACCTTTCACAAACTGAAAGCCGAATGCAAGTACAGACGCAAGCTGAGGGCCTTAGCACGCAAAATGGACACCTTAACGCTGAAGAAGCAGTCTCTCCAAACAATAAAAATCTTCAATGCGAAACTTCGACACCGGCATACTCTCTCCAAGATGTTCAGAGAACGAGAGCTGAAACGCGGGTTTCTCAGCATTATGAGAAACACGACACAAACGGTGCTTCAGGACAGTGAGGCAGCATACAACCTTTACGTGCTCAAGACATTGGAGGACACATTTGGGTGGTGGAAGGCCAAAACACAGACAGTGGTGAGAAACCAGCACATCGCGCTAGGGTTCTACAATGACATGCTGTTGAGCAGGTGTCTAAATGGTCTCAAACTGGGAGCTACCACTTCCAAGCTCATTAACGCACGCGATGGTGAGACCAAGAGGAAAGTATGGGAAGCGTGGAGGTGGAACGCTGCCAAGTCTAATTTCGAGTACCACGAGGCGACCAAGCATTCTGCGAGTGTAGTGCTGAATAAGCACTGGACCAAACTGGTATTAGCAAAGGCTAACATCGACAGGCACAATCTGAGTGCCCAGCGGTTTTACAAAGCAAATGCGTTCATCAAGTTCTTCCACATGTGGAGAAAGGCAACGAAGATGGTTACTCAGAAAGATGCTCTCGTTGCCAAGACCAACGAGACCCTTGCCAAAAACGTTTTGGATGCATGGCGTGCTTCTTTGTTGCTGAAACTTGAAGCGAAACGATTCCGGAAACACTCGCTGTTACACTTGGGACTGACAGCTTTTACGATCGGGCTCAAAACTCAGGCAGTACAACGAAGACGGGGTGACGATTTGAAGTACAGAATTCTCACAATGTGGAGGTTCAAATCACGTGCCAGACTCACCTCGCGGGTCAACAACGGAGTCATGGCAAAGACCATTCTGGTACACTGGAGACAAGTCACTGCCGAGAGGATTGACTCTCGTACAATGATGTTTCAGAAGAAAACAATGGAGCTGAACCAGAAGATTGCTCATCGTTTCCTGAACATCTGGAGAGACCACCTTGAGGATGTCGCTTTGGATATGTCCCGTGCCCACCAACATTATCGTAATGGTCTTTTGACTCTCGGCTTTAGCAAGATCAGCACAGTGTTCAACAAGATGCACGATATGTACTCTGAGGCTGAAGATCTACGCAACCGGAATGTCGGCAAGAGTTTTCTGAAATACTGGCGGACCAACATGGAGACAAAACGAAGTCGTCGTCATGAGGAAGAGGTTCGCGAGTTCCGTGCTCACCGAGACCACCAAATTGCGATAACAGCATTCTCCAGGTGGAGACTCGCCAAGAACAAGGTGGAGGAGGATATGGCTGTTGCCGAGGACCTTTTCATCGAGAAGGATATGTTGACCATGAAAGAGATATTTGATCATTGGAGATTCCTATCCGAGCAATCCAGAGGTCTGGTGGAAGATGCATCTGCCATCAACGACAAACGTCTTTTGAATGCGCACTTTTCTTCATGGCTGTTCAAGGCTGAGAGGGCTGACCTGTTCAGCAAGGCTGCCAACGACACACGAACGAAGAACCTCAAGAAGATCCAGAGACAACACGTGCGCAAATGGCGACTGCGAACGTTGCGCATGATCCAGAACCAACGAACAGCCGAGGACTTTGAGAAGAAGCGCGACTCTCGACTCGCGGAGCCTTACTTCAAAAAATGGCTAAATAAATGCAGAGAAAAGACTGGTTTTGGTCCCACCCTTTCAGATGAAGCAGTCAACTACCATGAAATTCGAGAAATGCATGGCTTTGAAACTCCTTTGCGGTCCAGCAGACGTCCGCCCACTTCTATTAGAATGAGCCGTTTGCGTCAGGACCCCAGCACTCCACGAACTCTTCTCGCACCCCTGTTACGAAAACAACTGGACAACGTGAATCAACAAACTATTTAATAATGTACATTAGCTATTTATCATCTACACTACACAGTAATTACATTTTATACTAACCAATCGTATTTCTATAACATGATTTTTTTAAAGCCATCTAAAAGCCAGCAGCGGGCTTGTAGATCTTGACGGCAGGGTTGTTGGGGTCCTTGACGAGAACGTACTTGCCGTCGTCCTTGGCGGTGGCAATGTTGACGACGGACTTGAAGATACCCCAACCGTTGTTAAGGTTGACATTGATCTGCTCAGCAAACTGCTTGGGCTCTCGGCTGACAACACCAATGATGTTGTGCTGGGTGTTGTCCTTAGGGGACACTCGGGAGGCGAAACCAATCTTCATCTGATCAACATCACCGAGAATGCTCTGCACAGTCCATCGAGAGATCTTGTTGAGGTTGTGCTTGAGTTCAGCGGCGATGATGGCACCTCGGCCGGTGTTGAACTTGTTCTTCCACTCGGAGGAGCCGTACTCGTTGAGAACACGCAGGTTGAGGGTAGTGCCGTCAGGTCCAAGAGCGTCGACCTCGGTTCGGAGGATGAGGTTAAGGGGTGCTCCCTCAGGGTCGTCCGAAAGGTTGAACTTCTTGTACTTGTAGGCGTGGCACAGGACGTTGGAGTCGTTGTTAGAGAAGGGGTTGGCCTTGTAGGAGACCTTGCTCTTGGGGTCCTCAGTAATAGCATTGGAGGCAAAGTTCTGGTTAATCAGAGTAGCCTCAAAGCCAAGGTTTGCGGAAGAGTTGATGTTGTCCTTGTCGGTGGAGTCAGCAGGAGGGTCAGCAGCGTTCTCGTCGACGGTGATGAAGTCGAGAGGACCACCCTCTCGCTTGTCAAAGAAGAGCTGCTCACCCTTCTTGGTGATGACAATATCCCAAGGAGCCACGGACTTGGTGGTGCACATGATCTGAGACAGAATGGTGTCAGTGATGAAGATTCGGTTGGCAGGGTCCTTGGCGAGCTCCTGCATGATGGGGTCCTCAGAGGTGGTGGTGTTGAACACGGTTCGGCCGAGGTGAGCGAGCTTGGTAATGTTGTTAGTACGGTCGAACTTTCGGTCGTAGGGGAACAGGTCTCCGTAGGTATCAATCTCCACTCCCTGGGCAACGTCGTAGCTGAGCTTCTGCATCTCGGAGTAAGTGATCTCCTGGATCTCGGTCCAGTCGTCGGTAATGTCGACGGAGGCGTTTCGGATTCGCTGGGGCTTGTCAAAGTCTCTCCATCCGAACTTGCTCTTACCAAATCGAGGGTTGGGGCCTCGCTGGCCACCAACGGGTCCCCGGCCGGGTTGATTCTGGAATCGGCCTCCTCGCTGGGAACCTCCTCGTCCAGCGAAAGAGCCACCTCGGGGAGCACCTCCTCGAGTCTTGAGAACGGTGGCAGTTCCTCGGGGCTTGTTGGCGTTCTTGGCGTTGTCAACCACGGAGAAAGATGACAGCTCCTCAGCATCCTCGTTGGTGAAGAAGGAAGCGGAAGAGGCTCCGTAGGCATGGTAGGGGTCTCGGAAGTTCTTGCCGAACTGGGTTCGCTTCTGGTCCTTACCGTCCTTGGTCTCAGCAGCCCAGTCAGCCACCTTACCGAGCTTGTCTCCCTTAGAGAAGGGGGCGTAAGGAACGTCGTCGAACTTGAGGTCCTCAGGGACGGTAGAAGGGGGGCCCCAAGGGGCGTTTGCGTCGAGAAGAGCGGGAAGTCGGAGAGCCATTATTGTCGTCTAGATGTGGATGTCCGGCTGTCTAGTTTCAATATCGTGGGTCGTGAGCTTAATTTCCAATTTTCACCTATGCCATGCTTAAATTTTTCCATGCGTGGATATTTCAGTCCCAAGAATATTAGAGTACGAGAGGGTGAAGACCTCCTACAATTCGTTGCAAGAGGGTGTCGCATCAAATAAGACCAGTAAAACTGTATCAAGAATGTCGAAAATGCTCACCTAGCTTTTCACTTTGTGAAAAGGCACGACCAGTAGCGTATTTGTGTCGAGACATCTCTAGTTGAGATTGCGAACATGCTCATGGGAGTTTGGGAGTTTGTTCAAGAACATCTTGTTTTCTCAGTAACTAGAAGATGTCGCCAAATAACACTATTGTGAGAGATTAGAAGAGTTGAGAAGAATACAAATATTATTATCACATCCGGGAAACTTCAACAATTACCAATATTACGAAGAGAAGGGCCTGCTCCTCTATTTGTGCAGCAACTCAGCCCCACTAACTTCAACGGCTTAGTAATCATCGACTTAATAAGCACCTCCCAATATCGATATCGTTGGAGTTAACACAACAGCACACAGTATCATCTACACCACACATCACAACGCAATGAACGGAATCAGTGTAGATATGAACCACCTGAAGAAGGGCGAGGTCAAGTGAGTACACCGCATTACAACTGGTACAGTTGTCCCTGCAATTGACCCCTTCAAGACCCCTTACTAACACAGCCTCGGAACCTCCATGTATGTATCACCATTTCGCCACCAACACCATCTAATGATACCCCATCCGCAATCGCACAGAAACTAACAACAGTATGGCCGTCAAGTTCAAGGACGGAGTCGTGCTTGGCGCAGACAGGTGAGTATCAACCAGGATGACCGCATTCGCCACCCGTCGGGACCCATCAAATGTTAGAACAATCCCACTAACACAGTCGAACAACCACAGGAGCTTTCATTGCCAACCGAGTCACCGACAAGCTTACTCAAGTCCACGATAAGATCTGGTGCTGCCGATCTGGCTCCGCCGCAGACACACAGGCCGTGGCAGACATTGTCACTTATCATCTGCAATCATACGCCGCCCAGAACGACAAGGACCCCTCTACGAAGGTGGCGGCCTCAATGTTCCAGGAGCTGTGCTACAACAACAAGGATAACCTCACTGCAGGTATCATTGTGGCTGGCTACGATGACAAGAACGGAGGTGAGGTGTACAGCATACCTCTTGGTGGTTCGTTGCACAAGCAGGACTACGCCATTGCCGGTAGTGGATCCACATACATTTATGGTCTTTGTCAAAAGAACTTCAAGCAGGACATGACCAAGGACGAGTGTGTTCTGTTCATCAAGAACTGTGAGTATTCCCCCGAAACAAGTATACCTGAGATATCCCGGTATTGTTACTAACATAGCGCTTGCCCAGGCCATTAAGTGGGACGGTTCGTCTGGAGGAGTCATTCGAATTTGCATTCTCACCAAGGATGGAGCTGAGCGACAGATCTTCTTCCCCGACGAGTATGAGGCTGATTACTGATTCTATAGGTTTTGGCATGTATGGAAAGAATAATAATATACAAGTGAAGTTATTCACAGGCGAAATTGTATTTAACGTATAAATAAGGACATTGCAAGTCCTAAATGTCAAAGTCCACATCGTCGTCCACATCTGACTTTCTGCTCTTCTTCTTCTTCTTCTTCTTCTTTTCTTTCTTGTCTTTTTTATCCTTGTCCTTCTTGTCCTTCTTATCTTTCTTCTTATCTTTCTTGCCTTCGCTCTTTTCCCCAGGCATGCTTCCCAAGAGGTCGTCGAGGGTGGAGAACCCTTCCTTTTTCACTTGGGGAACGGGGGACTGAGAGGGTGCTTCCACTTCACTATCAGCATGTTCAGTCTTTATCACAGGTTCCTCGATATCAGAGTCAAAGTCGAAATCATAGTCGTCATTTGGTTCAGTCTTGGGATGAGGGGTGTCTTCAACATTGCGCGCACCAAAGTCGTACTCGTCATATGGCGAGGGCTCAGGCTTGACAGCGAAATCACTGTCTGAGTTACCAAGTGCTGACTCCTTATCTGGCTCTAATTTGACTTGAGGCTCCGAATCTCCATCAACTTGGATTTCATAGTCATCAGAATCCTCGTCAACTTCAATTTTGTCGTCATCGGAATCGTTGCCATCGCCATCGCTGTTAAGCGTCTCCCACCAAGGAACTACTTCATCTGACCCAGCTGAACCATCATCAGCGACCTCAGCATCCTCCGCAGCCTCAGCACTCGCGTTCTCACTAGCAGGGTCATCGTCATCATTAAGAGTCTGGTCCCACCATGGTACCGTCTCATATTCGGAGTTGCTGTCATGTTCACTGGCAAAGGCAGAAAACTGACCTTCGTTTTTGATGGTTTCGAGTTTGACTTCGCCGTGGGCATGGCCGCTCGAAATGTCATCCAACAAGCTCAGATACTCTTCAAGACAAAAGATCATTCCTCCCTTATGTGCCAACTCAAACTGCACCCTGCATCGATCTAGCAGTTCCTTTGAGGTAGCTGACAAAACTCCTTGTTTCTCGATATTGTAATAGACACATCTGAGCAATACGATACCCCGAAGATACATTAGCGACGAGTCCTCCGAGAAGGGCGGGATCAGCATGTCCTCATCCAAACGGGTAAGAAGGTCTTCAGGCGTACCATTGAACTTGAGGTGTACAAGGGCCAAGTTTCGTAAGAAGTCATCACTTCTGGAGATCAAGTGCCGTATATCTCGCCCCAAGAGACTGAACTCATTGAGTTGTCGATTGTGAAACTTCAAATATGACATCTCCAGCATGAGAAAATTCAAGAAATTAGTGCAAGCGGATAGATTGTGAGGCGGTTCCTTGGTCTCGACAAGAATCTTGATACCTGGGCCCAAAAGACTACCGCGATGGAAACTGCCATTACGAATAGCCAACGCAAACGCTTTCGACGCGGTCTTCCAGTTCTTGCGCAAAATTGAGGTTTGAAGGATGACAGCCGTTGGTGTAAGTCCGGTCATCGCAAACCGCGGGGACGTTCTAGTGGCCTTGAATTCCTTCCGAGGTACTAACCTCAGGCCATCCACACGGCTGGCGTTTCGATTTAAGAACTTGCGCACATGCTTGCGCGTCTTTCTGTTGTTGATGGCGCTCTGTAGCATAGGGCTGTTGCGTTTCATGATGAACGGCTGGAGAGGGTTGGGCAGCATGTCACACCCCATTTCGGATGCCAAAATTGTCCGAATCGCTTGGCGTGACGCCACCTTGCCATGAAACAACTGACTTCTGAATAAGTTTTCATACCGATCAGCATTTTGTTCAACTTCGGCTTTGATTCCCTCCTTCAACACCTGTCCGTCCTCGTCGTATATCCGCCCTGTGCCGATTCCTTCATAGGTGCCCGCATCTGGGCCCGCTTTGATCAGAGCCTTCTTCTGATACAAGACAGTGTCGTAATGATGCTTGTCTACCTTGAGTGGCGGCAGACCTTCTGATGCCCTTTCATTTGTCGATTCAATTCTCTCCGGCAGGAGCTCCTGGCCGCTCCTCACACGCTCCAGTTGTTGTCTCTCGAGAGCATCAAGGAACCTGCTGCATGTTTTAGTAAGGTGCTCGGTAGAAACTCTGTTATGATGTTGGAGCATTTGATCCGTTACTATCCAGATGAAACGGCGAGTTTGTCCTAAAAACGAGGACGCTGCTGGACTGATGAGCGAGGAGGTGACCAATATGTCAGGTATGCAACAGGCTGCATGTGAAGTCAAAATATTTATTTACACTATGGACGTTCTGTAATTACAGATCTTACACTGCGAGTAATTACAGCAGTACACTTAATATGTGTGTATCAAGGCAGAGTCCATGAAGAACCATCTTACGGCGTGGTTTCCATTGTTCCACCGCATGATTTTTTTGTACCGCAGGTTCTCACCATAAGACTTCAACAAGTGCACAAAAACACGAACTCAAAACGCGCCAGACCAACGTTTATACAGTAGAAGTCGATGGTCTGTTCTACGTACAGTACTGTACATACTGTGCGATACACGAGGAGTAAACGCACATATTTGCTGAGATTCTGACATTATTACTGTATAGCGGCTATTCAAACTCCTTGGGGGAAGGTGGGAAACCTCCAATGCACTCGGCTTCTACTCATGGTGTGCACAGTCTGTGATTAAACTACTACAACTCTTGCTATCTATCGAGTTCTCACCAAAATCAAATAATTTACTGCTATGGATATCTATCTCCATAACCCCGAATAAAAAACGAATGTCACACGGTTGTGACGGCCAAGAGGCGGGATGAACTTGGGCATTAAGCCAGCATTGCGAATAAGTTCAAATAGCTGTGGCTGCCACCGCTATGAGAAGAAGACAGCCTTGGGGTCGGTGGGCCGACCATCGGCTCCAATGCCGTTATCTCGAAACCGCTCTTTTGTATATTTGGCTCGGGCCTCGTCAAAAGTCATGCCGGGGTTTCTCTTCATGATCTTCTGGATGGCCTTCTTGGACACCTGGTCCAAACCAGCTCTCGAATCTCCCGCAGAAATGTTTTCGTTGAGATCGAAATAGTCCGACGTGAGTCCCGACTCGAGATCATCTCTGAATGAGCTTCCTTCACTCCACCCCAGTCGTGTGTAAATCTCTGAGGGGTGCTGGACAATGGGAAGCCACATGCGTCGCGTGAGGTACAGACCAATAGAAGCACCTACCATGAGAAGGAGGAGAAATATCTCAAACCCCCATGGAATGTCCATATCCCAATTGCTGCCCGCTTCTGTGTTTGTGTCTGACATGGTGTAAATACCGCAGGTGAATTTTTGACGTGTTAGGAGTGTTGCAGAACGTATAAACGTATGGGTAGACGATAATCAGCCACTTGAAGTGCCCCTTTTCGCGTCCAAAAGCACCACAGCGAAGGGAGTTCGCGTTATTGAAATGGTGTATGAGTGTGCGTGTGCAACCCTGAATACAAAAACATACTTTTGACCTGCAGCAGATAAGTCTAATTATGGCAATATAACCCCAACCCTAATCACCCTGAATTGGCCACCGCCACCAGAACAGTACATACTACAGCAGGGGGCGAACAAGCGACCATTACCCGTAGCTACAAGGGCCGGTGGCCTGCTCTGCTCGTACTCGCCATATTATGTATCATATCATAGGGTTCTAAAGCTGACTAATACTGGAGATAAATGGTTTCTATTTTCGATGGTTTTGATTGGCTACTGGCACTACTGTGGGCAAACATCTGAGCTACAAGTCCATACAATACGGCTGTCGGTATAAGTTGTCGCATGAGATGATATGAAATTCACGTCGATATTTAGTTACGGTTAACCCCTGGACTTGGGTAGATGATCTATTAGGGAGGCGACAGCCTTGTATTCACCAAACTCGCGCAAAGTCTGAATTTATTTGACTGAACTAACTGAATAAGTAATGATAGGCGTTATTGTCATTATTACTAGGCCAGAAGAGTTCCCTAGACAGATTTCCAAGTGGCTGTTTAACTAGAGTCACTCAGTCAAAGTGAAAAAAAACAAACCCAACTCATTCCAGCAGTACAGAGCTATCAACAAGCGCTGTGAACACCATAATAATATTTGGACGCCATTGATAATGTCGTAGAAAACGACGGATTTTTTGTTTCATACCTCTATCACGTGTCTTTCTATCCATCGTTTATCTTCTCTACCTTCTTTTCTCGCTCAACTTGGAAAGGCTGTGATAAAGAGACAAGCGATAGTGATAACGATGTTTGAAACTATAGGGACACAGAAATAGATGTCTTGTTAAAAACTATTTTTACGTACTGCTGGGCCTAGTACCTTCACGTTAACACACGATCCTCTTCATCCCTTCACTGCAGACACTTCTGACTCTGTGTAGCGACAGCAAAGGACAATCCGTAAAACGTTCCAACAATAAAAACATCTGGAACGGTAGAGCACGATTCCAGATGTTTCAAGCTCACATATCTACACTTCTTCTGGCCTCTTGGTGGTGTCATTGTGAAGCAACAAGAAGGGGAGACATATGGGTCGTGTAAACAGCCTCCCAGTAGGATGTCCAAAGTCACAGCAATCAACCCCAAAACTCGCCAGAGATTTTTCCAGGTGTATTAATTCCACATCACACTACTTTCCAGGCTTGAAGGTCCGGTAAAAGGATCATAAAGTCTACCGTATCTGACATCGGCATATATTTTAGTTAATGTATCAACGAGTCTCTTCGCCAGGTTCATGAGGATGTTGAAGAAAATAGGTCCATGGCACTCCTAGGATATAGTGAAAGATTCATAAGTTGACTGAAGATATCACAGGTAAAGTACCACTTACTTAAAATATCTGACTCTCAGGTATTCTATATAATTCTCTTCACGCTCTACAACTAGGACGAACGACTTCTACCATAAACCATCTACAAGTAGTAAACATGCAACACAACTTCAATTTGTATTATGAATGGGACTCAATGGTCCGAATGTACTATCCCCGGAGGTTCAGCTTATTGCTTACATCATCTTTTCTGTAAACTAAAGAGTTCAGCTGCGACTACGTCCTCCTCAAAAGGTTCAACTACATCATTTCTGTTCAGCTCTGACTCTCGTTGGTATAGCAACTGGCTAGTAACATGGCTCTGGCTCGATGCGGTTCGGACTGGCTCTTTGCTCTGACGGGTTGGCATCTTGAGGACAAACGCTTTGCTCAATGGTGGCCTTTGCAGACACTGGTGCTCAGTCGGAACAGGCTGAAAGTATGTCAGCTGTTCTTTTAACTGTGATTCTAAGTGTGTTGATGTGTTGATCCAGATGGAGAAGACATATGACTGTTCAGACAACAGTCCAGCTCCTCCAAAACATCCAGGAGTTGTTATTCATGCAGGGAGTCGCACTCTTGGGTGCTACAGTACCTAAACTGTCGGAGATCCCATGGACAATGTTTCGTGTCCGTATTAGCTTCATTTGTCTGTACTACAAGTAGTACCTCGATGAGAGGCGTGAGTTTGTATTGGTTCTACGTATACCAATGTCCTGTAAAACCCGAGTATATTAGACTTGTAGTCACGCTCGTTGAAAAGGAGTCCCAGGTATCGCCAATGTACATTCTACTGTAACGTTTCTCGATAGTTACCAGCAAAAGGAAAATGAGACCAGTAAAAAAAGGATTGTGTTCATAGTTCCTATTATTTGGCATTAAATCACAGTTGATTATGCTACAGTAGGACAATGAACAATAATTCCCCACATGGCACTCGGTCCACCAGTCGTAAAAGGAAACAACATCCTACAGCATGTACAGAATGTACTCCACTCTTATTCTGACGACATCCTCTCTCCCATGAGCCTCTCAACGAGAGGAATTGTTTTAGTGGCTCCATGGGAAGCCACCTACTCATTCTCTATATGAAAATGTCATTCTCGCAGCTTCGAAGTTTGGCCAGTGCAAGCCTCGGGAAAATCTCGAAAATCCATTGTCGAGACTTCCAGAATGATTATGGTAGAGCTGCCAGAAGCATTAGAGCCACCAGGGTGTTGGCAATGGACTCAAATACTACCAATACCGTGTGCCCCTAAGACCCAAACCACATTTTGACAACTTCCATGTACAAGTAAGTATGAGCTCCGGGGCCCTTGAGGCCGATAGCCATGAACAGTTGATTGGACTTGAAGTTTTAGCGTGGTAAATGAGGATTATTACAGAAAATCGAATTGTATTTGCCACTTAGTTCCTATACTCCAAATAGATTGACGCGATAGGAGCTGACACCCATGAAATCGGTGATTGGGGAATTTAGAGTTTTCCATAGCGACATATTCAATGCAGGTGGATCTAATCATTCTATCTATTATTGGAACTAAAATGAGAAAGTTGTTTAAATGTTCTGCATGAGAGTAAAAGAGGAATAAAAGATATGATATTGTTGAGCAGACTCCAAAGTGTCTTCCCTCGGTAGTAGTTTATCAATCTAGAATGTTTTGAGACGTTATTTCTCATTATCATGGTGTGTGTAAGTGATGGACCCTGTACATCCCAAAAAGTTACATCAAAGAATAGTAGATCTACTTGTAGGTAATTTCTTACATTGATTGCAAGTAAGTTATCTATCTGGCTTAGCATTCAGTGAACGGTAAACGTAGACAGACACTCAGAAGTGACCGTCAGTTCGATACAGTATAGGAACAGGAGAGTGGTGAAATTCTGTACTACGACAAGTCATTATCGTTCGTTTACGATTATCTAGTCTGCATCGATCTCCTGTACGATTGTATTGGCCAGATATGTTAATGAATTCAATAGATGGATCCATACATCTAAGTCACACTATCCAATATTGCTAAAATTGGATCGACATTTGATTTTTTGTAGATTCCAAAAAGAGAGAGGTGCAAATACGATGTAATGATCTCAAGAGCGTCAAAGGGTCTTTTAACTACTTGTACAGTATTACTTACAAAAATATGCAGGAAAGCTATGAATTTTATTAACATATATAAAGTCTTAAATAAATAATAGAGAATGACGGTAAAAGTAAAGCTAAGGCCTTCAAAGGGCTAACAGCTGACTTATTAGGTATAGAAATATTCTCCTCCATTAGACACAATAAGTAGTTCAGATAATGGAAAAAAACAAGAAATGTGATCGTTGCAATCAGGGCAAAAGAGTTCACAGATATGACAACTTCTCCAGTTGTGCTCATAAACAGACAATTCGAGACCTTTTCGGTCTCAGAATGGCTGACTACAGACTACAGTAGAGAATTAGTGCTATTAGATAGGTAATTTATGACTGAATCGGACTTTTCAAGCGTTCCATAAAGGTTCAAGAAGCTGAACACGTCCACCCTTGGGTCAGATTTGATGAGCTACTACGCGAGCCTTCGCTTCGTTTCGTTAGGACAATGAAGTAGCTATGGAATAAAGTGATAGCCACAAAAGGGAGATCATATACAATTGACCTCATCATACTGAATGTATCATCATTATTTTCTCTTATTGGTTTCTGTCGTTGCAAAACACAACACTGCTGTACTTGCTCGTAGGGGTGTTGCATTGGTAAGCCCAATATGGCATTGCTATAAGAAAGCCACACATGATGTACTACTTACGCGATGTCACAAGATACACGATCAATTTGAATAATTCACGTGATTGACTTCACACTCCCCCCACCAGATCACGTGCTCTCTCTTCCATTCTCTCTCACTGTCTGACACACCTCCATCGCCATTAACGTGATTAACGTTGATGTAATCTAAGTTCATGTCGCTTGGGCTTAATTATTATGCAGAACGTGTCATATTAACAAGAGCTTCACCACGACACACTCCGCTCGAGCATAGTACATCACAAAATGCACTTTTCCACCGTGATTGTCGCAGCGCTCACGCTACTGGTGGTCAATGCCGCCTCCAACGACACGCTGCTGTGGGGCCCGTACCGACCCAACCTGTATTTCGGTGTCAAGCCCAAGCTCCGAGAATCACTGCTCTCTGGTCTCATGTGGTTCAATGCAGACTCTTTTAACCACATCCACACCATTCGGCATGAGTGCGAGCAGGGCGACAACATGGCTTCATTCGGCTGGCACGAGTACGACTCTCGCCTGGGAGGCCGACAGTTGATTGAAGATGTTAACCATGATGTAGACATCACCACAGAGTTTGTCACCTCTGAGGATGGAGAGTCCTGGGGTGTTCGAGTGAGCGGCAAGCGACGACAGAAGAAGGATGGAATCACTTCCCTGGTGTTCTACTCTGGTCTTGAGGGCAAGGGCGACCTGAATGGTCCTACTCCTTCTGCCAAGGGATACAAGGATATTGTGGAGCTTGAAGGTAACTCCCCTGATCTGGGCCAATTCACCGTCACCATCACTGAGAAGGGAAAGAAGAACGTCCATCCTGATGAGGACCACCCCATTGCCGAGAAGATGATCATGGATAACCTTCAGCATGCTTCTCTCAAGGTCCCCACTGGCAATGTTTGGAAGGCCAAGGGAGTCTTTTTGACCCTTCTGCAGGAGCGAATTGCCAGACTGTCCGAGAAGTACCCCGAGACCGATCAGGTTCCCGCCGCCTGGGTTCTGCAGGTTGAGGACCAGGGCATGAAGGGCAACCTGCACTTCGTCCAGTTGACCTTTGAGGGAGATTTTGAGTTCGATGTTCTCTACAACACCAAGGGAGCCATGCTTCAATTGAACTCCGAAAACCTCAGTGAAGAGATTTCCCGAAACTCTGAGATTTTCAACACTAAGTTCGACTCCATTTTCCCCGTTAACGCTCCTTTCGACACCCCCAAGCATGCTATCTTCGCCAAGAACATGTTTTCTAACCTCCTTGGAGGAGTCGGCCACTTTTCTGGCTCTTCTCTGGTTAACCGAAAGGCTTCTGAGGAGTACGACGAGGACGAGGAACGGTTCTGGGAGGGAGCTACCCACTCTTCTTCTGCTGTTGGTGAAGAGGAAGGCCCCTTCGAGCTCCTGACTACAGTCCCGTCTCGACCTTTCTTCCCTCGAGGATTCTACTGGGACGAGGGCTTCCATCTCATTCCAGTTCTCGAATACGACTCCGATGTCGCTCTTAACATCTTGGACTCTTGGATGAACCTCATGGATGAAGATGGCTGGATCGCCCGAGAGCAAATTCTCGGCCCTGAGGCTCGATCCAAGGTGCCTGCCGAGTTTCAGGTTCAGTTCCCCCATTACGCCAACCCTCCTACTCTGCTGCTGCTGATTTCCCGAGCCATTGAGAAGTTCGAGAGCCACCAGCGAGGTGAGACTGCCCGACAGGTGCGAGATCAGTACGCCACCGAATACTCTCTCGGTGACTCTCTCATTTCTTCCCCCGAGAAGTTTGCTGCTTTCCTTGAGAAGCTCTACCCCAAGCTACAACTGCACTTTGACTGGTTCCGCACCACCCAGAAGGGAGAGGTCAAGGAGTGGGACCGAGAGGCCTTTTCCAAGCGAGAGGGATACCGATGGAGAGGTCGAACTAAGACCCACTGTCTGACTTCGGGCCTAGATGACTACCCTCGAGCTGAGACTCCCCATGCTGGTGAGCTCCACGTCGACCTTCTCTCTTGGATCGGTCTTATGGCCCGATCTCTCAAGGATGTCGCCCAATTCCTGGATAAGCCTGCTGATGTGAAGAAGTACGCCAAAATTGAGAATGCCATTGTCCAAAACCTTGACGACCTTCACTGGAGTGAAGATGAGCAGGCCTACTGTGACGCCACCATTGACGACTACGAGGAGAACGCCCACGTGTGCCACAAGGGCTACGTTTCTCTGTCTCCCTTCTTCCTCAAGCATATTAACCCCAAGTCCGAGAAGCTCCCTGCTGTTCTTGATCTGATCTCGGATCCCAACGAGCTTTGGAGTGACTACGGACTGCGATCCTTGTCCAAATCCTCTCCCTTGTTCGGTACCAATGAGAACTACTGGCGAGGGCCTATCTGGATGAACATCAACTATCTTGTTCTTGATGCACTGAAGCACTACGGAGAGAACCCTGAGGTTGATCCTAAGGTGCGAAAGCAGGCTGCCGACATCTACTACAAACTGCGACAGAACACCGTTAAGAACGTCCACAAGCAGTGGAAGAAGACTGGCTACGGCTGGGAGCAGTACAACGAGGAGACCGGTGCTGCCCAGGGAGTGAAGCATTTTACTGGATGGACTTCTCTGGTTGTCAGCATTATGGGTATGCCCGAGAAGTTGGATGTCTGACTAAATAGCACATTGAACGAGGAGTTGTGAAGAGCAGATGAATAAATATATATATAGAATACATGATACATTAAATGAATGGGATATCCCGAGATCTTGTAGACAGTGTATCTTTTGCTGTTGCTGTGAGAGGTAGCTACTGTGGCCCTGAACAGGGAGATCTCACAATACGAGAGGAAATAGCAACACCGGTGTTATTTTGGTGCCGATGTAAGCCTTTGTCACATACAAACTTGGTGTCAAATCAGGTGGTGCGCTAGTGCAGATATACGAGGCTCGACGAGAATTCTTTCACATCACCGGTACTTTGCTCTTTTCAAGTCACCAAAGCTCATCGACGCAATACTACCAATACCAACACCCAGACTCGATCATACAGTTGCACAAGGACAAACATAGCTATTCAACAACTGTTTACAAACCAGCAGCAACATCTATCTGGAACAATTGAGCAACCTGGATAACAAACAACACATCATAACAGTTCTCATACTCGACAACAGTTTGTGCAACAGGTTCGACAACACAACCACAAGACGATCCACTCCAAGGCTAACACTGGTTTAATCATTTGTGGGTGTATAACACAGACGTAGACACAGACGCAGACACAGACACAGTTTCTTCTTTTTTTTCTTTCTCACAGTTTGTTTACTCCACTTGGGGTCTGATTAATAATATATTACAAGATGTCTTTTACTGTCTGTGTATGAATAAGCGACACAGATATATAAAAATACACACTCGATTGGCTTCTGGATCGTCGTTTAATCCAGGATGGCCGAAACGTGATGTTGTGTGCTTCCGTTGTAGGCAGCAAACTGGGCAAAGATGATGAGATCTTCGACGATTGTTCCAAGGGAACCAATGAGCCAGGGCATGTACTTGACAACGTAGTCCCACTCGGTAGAGAAGAGTAGGATGTAGCCGGCATAGGTGAGGTTACCAAGGAGCGAGAAGATGAAGAACAGCAGAGAGAGACCCTCGACGGACTTTCGTCGGGTGTTTCGGATGATCTGGGGGATTCGGGCCAGCAGATAGAGAGCGGCAGACAGGTATCCTAGAATCTCGGCACCAACGGGCATAGGGGGGTCTTCGGCAGGGGGCTCTCCGCTGTCGTTGGAGAGGAAGTAGCCGACAGTTCCGGCAGCAAAGACCAGAACCACGGGGACACCGTATCGGACCCATCGGCTCTCGGTGGAGGTGTTCTCGACGATGGGTTGCAGAACGGCATCGCTACCCCGTCGGTTAAGCAGAGGCTCGGTCTCGTTCTCGTTCTCCGCTGGTGGTGGGGGCTTGTAGTAGGTGTAATAGACGTAGGAGGCAATGATCAAGCCGTCGGCGAAGCAGAACCATACCGCCAGGAAGACCACATTGGATCGCAAACCCGCCCACAGGGCTCCTGCGAGGTTGGTGATATCTCCCACCAGCCAGACAAGAATAAATCCAATCGCAATGCCTTCAGCGGACTGCAGGCGCCATTGCTCGATGAGTTGGGGCAGAAGGACAACGATCCAGCATGCCAGCGACGTGGAGCCGCAGATTCCGGCCAGTTGTGTTCGTAGAGTCGACATATCGTCCTGTTGGAGCGGTGGTGAAGTCAACTGCGAGACGAGCAACACCAAAAGATAACCTTATAACCCAAGTATGAAAACGGGAGATGATGCCGGTTGGAGTCACTACGCAGGGATACGGTGATTACACCAGGTATGTAAGGGGGGTAGTTCAAGTAGAGACCAAAAACCAAACTTCACTGGGTGAACCGCGATCCTCTTTAGCCACCAAACTGCATTCCAAATCTCGATAAGAGGGTACACTTTTGTTGTATGCTCAATCTACAAAACCTTACAGTTTGTGAAAATGTTTTCAATAGCATACAGAGTTCGACAGATGACCAGAAGAACGGTTTTGCGAGAATGTAATGGATCGTTGAAGCGTGGTTTTGCCACGTGACTTAGTTCCACCATTTCCGAAAAACATATATAATCACCGTACGTGATTGTTCAGTTTATATCCGCCCATGTACACAGGTACTTGTACGTTTTTCTCCTTCACCGCATCTCCCCTTGTGTCCTTGTGTGGTGATTTGACTCCTGTCGCCGCGGTAGTATAAAAAACCGGAAGACTCTCAACTCCCTATATTGTGGAGCTATAGTAAGCATAAAACGCTCTCAGATAGCCGAAAAAGCATGTCTCAGACTGTATATAGACTTATGGCCTCTCAGAATCGAAATATATCTCGGGTCAGGCTTTGTGAGGAGGGGGGGACACCTCGGGTAATACAAATTCAAATCCACACAAAGTTCCGGGGTGACAGTTACATACCTACATTGGAAGGGTATATATGAGATGGAGGGGCAATTTTCGAGTGTCAGGTGGTAAATTGTCGACTTATTTGTGTCCAAAAGCTCCTCAAAAGGCACTATCCGACCAAACACCGCGTTCTGAGGCAATTTGGCCGTGAGTCGTTATCTGAAAAGAAGGTTGATGGGGATGACCGACCTTACCTTGTTGGGAGCGCAAAAAATAAATAAAAATAAATAATTTTTTAATGAGAGAGGAAAAGGGGAAGGTTTTTTTCATCGGTGATTTCAGTATCGGAAGGATTATATTTATGTGGTTGTATTTTCTGACTCTCATCAGCTCTGTGTCTGTGCCTGTGCCTGTGCCTGTGTTTTTCGCGGTCCATTACTGCGGTTTAGAATCCACGTGACCACAACCTTGAACCAGCAAGCGATGCACTTAGATACACCTAAATTAATTGGACATGCACACCTCATCATGGACACCGACACCGGGTGCATATTTGAAGTAATGAAATGAAAAGTCTCTATAAAGTCGAATAAATTACAAACAATTGGGAAGGAGCGATAAATGGCATTTGGATCGGTGAAAAACCGTAGACGCACTTCTGTACGGCGGTTAATGACTTCAATTGTTGGGTTACGGCTCAAGCGCAGCCTGATGGACTTGTCCTTGTACTTTCTAACAGAGACAGGGGGACATGAGAGCGAAGAAGAGCTAGGAGAAGTTGATGGGCTAGACTATAAGCACACAAGCTCAGCTGGAGATAATATCATATATACGAACAGGTGCTTGTACTTGTACTGGTACAAGTATGTAGTGAGTGCAACACATGAAGCTGGTGAGTCCTAGAAAGTGCTGGAGAGTGGATATGATGAGCAACAATGACAGTTCAGAAACATAGCGACTTATATTTCGTGTTGTTTACTTGGCAGTATCTTGGCAGGAGACGGGAAGTTCAAGACGACTCGACCTTTACTCCCCAAATGTAACTTGTACCGATGGATAACAAAGGAGGCGCTTGACTAATATGATGGCTTCTATTGTCACATGAGTAGCGGGGAATCTCAAAGCGACTTTTATTCCTTTTCTATGAGTATAATCTCTTGAGGTTCGACTTTATGAGTTTGCGATCAGTGATGTACTCTTTCCAGCAGAAGTCGGAGCTGAGATTTGTGACCGATGTGGAAGGTGAGAGAGATCGAGATCAAGATCGCGATCAAAGTCAACAACCAAGCAGATTGTGAATCCTGTCTCATTCTTGCAAATTCCCTTTTACAATATTAAATGTGTTTGTTGTATGTATATAGCGTACAGCTATGGCTCTAACATGTTGTCTCAAGCATGAGCAAAGACAAGAGGGGACGAGCAGAGATGATAAAATTATAGATGTGCTAATAATTTCCGCTTGAAGAGAATACTCCCGCTCCCAAACAAGAATCCCCGGTCGGTCAGAACTATAGCGGTATCGATGTAACATGGCTTCCGGAAAGCCTGTCATAGCTCATATATATTGTTAGCAGGACTGGAAGTGGCGCATAAAAAGGTATCAGCTGGTAGTTTAGTCTACTCTGTGCGTATGGAATACTGTGCGTATGGAATACTATGCTCTGCACATCTTCCAAGAGCTCTGTGTGCTAATGATTGTATCTCAATCGGGTATTGCCGAGGATTGCGCTGTATTTGGAATAGACCCATACGGGAAATCAACATTAATAACTCCTCCTTCTCTTAGTATCACACACAAACACACACATTCCTCTAGAAGATCTGTTATATCATCTAACCACTGCTTAACCCCGGTCTTTTGTTCGGTGTTACTGGAAGGGAACTCATGTGGGGAAGGGGCCAATCTATTATTTAGGAGACAATAAAATGTGGAGAGACTTGCCTTCCTTTTATTCCCGGTACTAATTCAAGTAGACTGCAATAAATCCTTTTGTTTGTGTGGATTTATTTATATATTTATGGATAATTTTTTTTTACTGGGTCAATTTAGCATTTCCAAAGTAGGTATTTGAGAGACCCTTATACAAATGCTTGTAAAAGTGCAACGAGAGTTGTGTTTGTCGAAGATGGGGATCATAGGCACTAATTTGGCGCCCAATATTACAAAGGTCTCTGTACTTGTGTAACGAACACCCGACCCAAGTTGAGAAACCCGAAAGCAGTTTCTTCTGCATCTGTTTTTATCTCAACTGTTCACAGGAGCTATTGAATATCCTCTGAAAGTCCTCAGAAGCATTTGCGAAGCTGAACAGTGATCATGAAGTCTACATATCAAATATTTTTCTTGAAGAAGAGAGGATCCCAGGGACACAGTCATGGTGCTGGAGTCACTTTACTGCTGTTAGCTTTAAAGATGTTCTTTTATGACGAAGCCGGAGCAGCCAAAATCTGCCAATACAAGTTCTGGTATAGTACATACGTAGTTGCATTTATGTTCATGTCAGTTGACAGTGACAGACTTGAACTGTGCTCGTCTCGGACTTAACAAGTACAATTATGTTGTACTGACCAACCATATAATCCGGAACCGAAGGATATCCACAGCGGCTGTTTCATCTCTTCATATAGCAACGGTATCGAGTTTGTATCTAACGGATGGATAACCGTTGTTTTGTTTTTCTGCACATCTGATTCAATTGGAGTCAGATACTGTGCCAGTGGTGAATTATTTGCTTTGCCTGTTCTATTATTGGCACGGTTGTGAAACCTGAAACACCGCATAAACATAGTAGCAGTTATTCGTTTGAAAATCATAATAAATAGGAAGTGTCGATAGTCAATAAGCAGTGATAACGCGACATCGGAGGACTATGTTATTGGTGTTGTAGGGAACATGATCCTCGTAAAAGACTTCTTATTGCTGGCACGAAGTTTAGTTCGGGAAGTTGAGAAGGTCTCCAACAATCGCATACTGTAGTCCTGGCTAGATCAAACCCGCATTCTTCTATTGTTTTTCTTCCATTTTTTCTTCCATTAAGTGCCTGTTTTGGAAGAAAAAGAAAAGTAAGGGTACTCGGAGACAGCCAAGCAAAAGCAACGACTATGAGAGATTCAACATGCGCCTCCATGTACAACACGCATAGTGCATGATACACTACAGGGAAACGGCAAAAAGCTATAACTTTCAGATTATGGCGATTTGCAAAAGCAACCACCGTCCCAATTGGTCAAGCACCGTCCATTTTGAGCCATAATTGACATGGCTGCTTGAGATCCGATGCAAATTTCCCCTGGCTGGCTATTTCTCATTGAATACAAGCACATATCACTTGGATGCACAGTAGAACATGCTCTAATGAGACAGTCTCACCCATACGACTCTGGTCTTGGTCCGGTAATTAGATGTAACCCTGCGGCTATTACTTGTCCTGTACAAGTGTGTACGTACAGTTACAAATGTGCATGGCATCAATGACAGAGAGTGACAGAGACGAGAGAAGAAAAAAGGAATTACTGGATGAGACAAATGTTGATATAGGGACCGATCATGAGACAATTTATTGTCAGGTCTAAGAATAGATTCTACCAGGATATACAATTGCGACTGGTAAGAGATTTCGAGAGTGAACCAATGGACGGCAGGCCAATTTCCCAGCTGCCTTGGTATCCATCGAAAGCGCTCTTCCGCATCCACCGTAGCTGTTCCCGTGCAGTAGTGCCGTTATGTGTTCGTCAGCACACTTGTTATGAATACTCTACGTACAGTAGCACATGGGATTTGATTCTAGTTTAGCCCCAGATGTAGGGAGGAGCTGTAGCAACCTCGTAAAAACATAATAATTGCCGCGACGACTAGCTCTACCAATGTGAAACTAATGGCAGGAACAACTGCCCATCTTTCAAAGGTCCATGCCGGATCGCAGACGAGACGCGTCTGATATCTTCATCATATGTAACACCCGCCGAGAAAGTTTCGCAGCAGGATGTATAGTCGTTTGAGACGGGCATTTGGACTTGGTTGGTTTTGGATTCTCTTTCTTGGCCCGTATCCCGGCTGCTGCTTACCCGCAAACGGCTCGGGAGAGCTATGCAACTAAAAAAACCCACTATCTATGCAGGCACTTATTCCCTTGCGTCCGCAAAGGTCGAAGGCGGACTGAATTTTGGGCCTATAGGTTCTTTGTTTCTGGCGGAAACGGTATCCGAAAAGTCCGATCCTGGAGCCGATATATAGTGTCCCTCTATAGCCCTACAAGTGCAGTAGTATCGCCCCTCTCCCTCCAATCCATTGTTCTGCAATAACTTGAATATTTCTTCAGTTTCTCCCTCATTATTCTACCAGGTGCGAAATCAAACCAATCGATCGACATCAGGGAGGGCATTGGCAACGCCCAAAGACGACGATGTTAGACATTGCCGTACACTGTACCGTGGTTTAATTTAATACAGTTTGATTGGAGTTTACTTAGCTCTTACCAGTACTACTCAACCACCGGATAAGTAAACGCCACGGGAGTAAAACGGGCCACATCTCTTCCTAGCGCCGTTCAAGACGTCAGTGTCCATTGTCATTCTACTTGGCTGTTGTGCATCCACCTACCTTATTCGGATCGGTATGCACCTAGCTGAACTAGTGGGATGGATTCCAGAAGGACCCACTAATGACATGTGTGTGTAAAGTGGGCCTTTTCCAAATGACAGCTTCACAAAGACAGACGTCCGATTCCCCCGAGACCACTTAACAACAGAAAAGAAAGTCAGTGTCTTTGACAAGACCTCGGACAAGGCCTTGACAGGGACCTCGGCACCTGGATTATAGAGATGTCGGACACAAAGGTCCGAGAGATTGGCTTTTGAGGAATGGAGCTGTTGTTGCCAGTGCCGTACCATGGTCATGGGTGTCGATGGTACCAGGGACCAATCAAGTCCAAGTGCTGCTTCAATATCGCTATCGATGTACTTGTCCCGGTACGGTACTGTGCAATACAACAGTGTACATGGTGAGGTTGAACCGTCTTGTTCACATGTCCACTGTATGATATCCGTGACCAAACCAAAGAGACTTGTTCAATGATGGAGGAGCCTGTTGATATCGAATTCCTACACGGGCTATCAATTCCTACACGGGCTATCAATTCCTACACGGGCTATCAATTCCTACACGGGCTATCAATTCCTACACGGACTACTGTGCAGTGCAAGTAGTTAGCCCACATTTTGGGTCCCCATGCCACTACAGGTACATCGTCAAGCGTCCAATATGATTTTAGCAGGGGCTCAAATTAACCTTACCTCTCAGCCGAAAGAAATACGAAAGAATACGAACATTTGCTCACAGGCGATCCACTCCGACACCCGCAGTTGTCATCGGCAGTGGAGATTCCTTGTCTGGGGAGCGTTGTCAGGGGTGTTGGTCCGATTTATGCCTGCCTATTTGGGAGGAGTGGGGGAGGAGGAGAAGATACTTGAGGTGGGCAAACTCAAGCAGCTGCTTATTTGGCTTAAACATCGCTTCAGACTGTGATGATGCACCCCTGGTGCCCACTCAAACGAGTTGACGTGTGACATAATATCCGGTAGCTCGCTGCCTATGGGTATTTGTAGCTACTTGTAGTGGACGCTAGTGGCATGACTTGCAAGCGCTTATATTTGTTCCAGGGATATAATGAAAAGGCTGTAGAACGGACCGCAGGAAGTTTGGCCAGAGAAATGACGTACACTACTAAACTGTAGAGGACACAATCCAACCATCCAAGTGCTGGGTGAAACACACTAAAGACTCGACTGACACACAGCGGCGGAATCTCCACGTCATTCCGGAGACTCCTACCGCCCTGTACATATCAGTAGTCACTCGTTTTTCCTTTCTCTAACATCATCACCATGTCTTACAACGCACTGCCGTGTGACGTGACAGAATCCCGTCATGCAATCAAATGTCAGAGCTGCTACAAGTAGATGACTGTCACACCATGTACTGTGCTGCATTGAACCGACTGTCTGACTGACAGCTACGAAACAGCCGCAATGGCGAGTTATAAACTAAACCCCCATGGTCAACACACGATCAATAGATTGATCACTGCTGCATATATCAACAGGTGCAGATGAAACAAGTTAACCAGGGTTTAATTAGCAACAATACGAGCACGGTAGGAGTACTGTAGTACTTATATCGCTCAAAGACTGTCAGGGTGCTGCTACTGTGCTGTAGCATCATGAACCAACGCAAAGGGTAGGTGTAGCCGGATACTTGACATAATCTTACTGCTCATACGGTACGAGCAGTCTAAATATCTTTGTATCGTACAAGTAGCCTTTCCCCCCACCAAACGGATTTTTTGTGTCTTTTTTGTGTCTTTTTTGAATTTTTTGAATTTTTTTTTTATTCTCTTGTGTGTTTTTGGCAGCCTCGTGTCAGATGCAGCCCAGCCCATTATTGTGTGTGTTATTTCTCTTAATATTAATTTAGTTAAGGGATCCCCCCCCAAACCACACGTCTTTTTGTCACACATGTTTGGCTGGTCACGTGACATGATTAGCTATTTTTCCACGGAGAATCCACGGGAAGTTATTCTTGCATTTTTGGTCGCTACAGCGCTTTTTGAGCTTTTCCAATTGGATTTTCCGCCCTTGGAGGGGAGGGGGATTTATTACTGTAGCACACAGCACAGTAGTAGCTACAGTAGAGTTGTTTCCGTACTTTGTCAAACAAAGTTCGGCCCCACATCTTACGTCTACAGGGTCGTCTTATTTAGTCTTAAAGGCGATACAAGAAAAAGCCTGCAAAGTGCGGGATGCACCTTATTCCCGCATGTGAAGGTGGGAGGTGCGCTCACAGTTTGAGAGCTGGACCACCTCCGCGGGAGACAACAGGGGCGGGGGTGGGTTTATTTTAGCATTGTCCGGGATCGGAGAGCGTCTGTGTAGTTGCCCCAACGCAAGGCAAGAAGACGAAGTAGAACAAAACACGCCAATCGCCGCGCTTTTGACTCGTTGCTGTCTAACCTAACCGACAGATCTTCGATACGTTCGGCTGCGGCACAAAGACGAAGACGCCATTGTAGATCGCTCACACAAAGCGGCTATATGAAAGTCTCATGCACAAGCGACATAAACGCAAGTGGCCATGGCTAGCGAGTGGGAAAGTACAAAAACACAAAATGGCAGACGCAGAGGAACAAGCATAGTATACAGTTGGCGAACCTTCGGGGGGAAAAAAGAGCAACATTCCGACAAGAACAAGAAGAAAGGGTAGAAAGTGTAAAAAAGTGAAAAAGAGACGAGAAACGAGCCAAAAGGGCAAAAGGGCAGAAAGGACAGAAAGGACAGAAAGGGCAAAATCACAAATGGGCAGATGAGCAGATGGGCAAATGGGCAAAAAGGAATAAGGACAACGGGGCAACAGGGCAACAGGGCAACAGGGCAACAGGGCAACAGGGCAACAGGGCAAACTGGAAAGTTTTCATACAGCACCGTAATTTGTACAAGTATAAGAAAGTAGTTTGCAACTTGTAACTCTGTCTCTCTCCCATTCACACTGCTCCAGCTCGAAAACCAGGAAGCAAAAAAAAAAAAAAAAAAAAAAAAAAACAATAAAAAAACCAAAACTGTAATGAACCGTCTGTCAAAAAAATCCTTCTATGCTTTGCGGCGCGACCAGGTGCGTCGTAGCAGTAGGGCTCACTACGAGCCAAGAGAGTGGGAAGAGGGGTGAGGCAAAAAGAGAAGCCTACGTGAGTGACTTTTTGGCAAGCATTAGGAGACCCACAGGTTCCGGAGAGCTTAGTCATCGATAATGTTGATTCTCGCTACAAGACAGTGACGGTTTCACGGCTAGCGACAGATCGATTGACTGCTTGACTGCCTGACTGCCTGACTGCCTGACTGCCTGACCGCTTGACTGCTTGACCGCTTGACTGTTTGACTGCCTGACCGCCTGACTGCTTGGCTACTGGGTTAATTCTTGGCCACCTGCGTCTTGGCTTGTTGACACCCTGTCTGGCTGTCCAACCATGTTAGTGCCAAACCCTCTCTAGTGTCGTGTCTGTGGTGTCTAGGGCTGCCTCATGTGTAACCAGTGCTGTATATCTATGGGGAATGGGGAGCTTGTGACGATTATCTTGCCAATTTTTCCGAGATATGAGAGACAAGTGTGTCTTCGTTTCTGAAGTCGTGGTGTTGTTAGCTCCTCCCAGCGATCCTACACTGAGGAGGGCGGTGACAATTCCATGAATGGGGGCTTCTTAAACACAGGAGTGAAGAAGATGGCACGGCGACGATACCATCCACCTCCCTTCATGTCAACAGAGACGTAAACATCCCTCTGTGCATTGTCTCAGCACCAGCGACCGTCTAAAACTGGACTTGCTTTCTTATTCTTAGCAACAGTAGCATTACCCTCCGATCCTCTCCGATCTGTACGACCGAATAGTGTGTGGCCCCAAGTGCGTGTGGAGGAGACGCTACACAGGCATGATGACTTTGACAAGTTACCTCGTCGTGACCGTGTATTGTCGACAACCGTGTGTTGATTACAACCCGGGGATTGTCAAGTGGCTGTCTGTGCACATTCCCCACCCAGTCGCCAAGTCAATGGAGATAAAGGGGTCATCACCAGAGACAGCTGTGAGTATGAGAGTGAGCAATTTGATCGGTGGACAGTTGATGGCTGGGTAGTTGATAGACGGGCCGTCCAGGGACAGATGATCGGAAGGACTTCTCACGGATGATTGACTGGTTAACGGCTGAAAAGTCGTTGGGCTAGTTGATGTGTCCCAGAAAAAATCTGTACTTCACAGATGATGATATTCCGAGTCTGCCTGGCGACTACTTTCACGAGTGTTCGTGATGATATTGTCTGTCAGATGAAGTACATGAAAAGATGAAGCCCTAGTCTACTTGTACAAGTACTTGTACAATATAAATGCTCCTCTCGGAGCCACACACCCCAGACAGTCCACCATCACCAGCTATTTAGACGTTGTATACACCAGACTAAACGAAAGCACTTGTCCAATCACAGAAGACACCACTAACTATCGATAGATACAATACTTGTAAATGCAAGTGTGTATACAAGTTTGTTACTGACTGTGATATTAGCATGGACTCGATTAATTGAACTCTTGGATCTCTCCAATGTCTACTGTATCAGGGAAGCCGAAAAAAGCCTGGAGGACCCCAGAGACACTCCACCATTGCAATTACTGACCAATGTAGTTGCTGTACAGACACTGCTTCTTCAAGCACTAGACTGGTGAAGCACCAATCGGACCACTGTTACTTCACTACCGCTCTTGTGCTTCTCAACTTCTTGAGTCTCTCGGGTATTATCACCAATCGGACATTGACAAACGACACATCATCACACTAAACGAGCACTTGTTCAACGACCAAGTCCACCAAGTCCCATATGACATCTACAAGAAAAATTCTCGTTGTTCACGCAGCCACTTGTCGTGCATCTACACATATGGAGAGTGGCTCTCGGGCTGTTTCATAAAGTGCTGTACTACAAGTACATGCGGTCACGGACGTCGATATGGTCTGATACGAGGCATGGTGTCGAAGGCTGGACCGAATGACACCGCGCCCACACCATTTTAGTGTGAGCAGCAGTCTCAGACCCTCCTAACGCGATTCTATGATCAGCACAAGGTCAAGCAGGCGTCTTGTGTAAAAAAATTTACAGCCCGTTACACTTGAGTTAGTCGTCCGGGGAGGATTGTGTAGTAGGGCACAATCCAAGTACAGTCCAAGTACCATTACGTGTAGAAGTTGAGTGTGGATTTCTATTTTTCAGTTTCTGCCCACCTCCCCTTTTTCACTCTTTTTCGGTTTTTCCTCTGTCACATTGTCCCGGGAACCAAGCCGTAGTTGGCACAGGAAATGTGACGACCCGTCCGGCGGCATATCTCATGGATCTTGGTTGCCTGCGTAGATCTGCGTTTGTGTTTTTTTGCAGACCCAGTATTTTTTGCGATTCCTGTCGATTTTGCGCTTTTCCCAAGCACCTCTGTTTGCCTCCCTTTGTGCCGCCCCTTAGACATGACACACAAAAGCAAATAGTGGTTCGAACAAGTCGGCAAAAAACCAGAATGACTCCGATCCCCCAATCATTACCGCGTCGAGAGCTGTCACACCACAGATACATCCTCTTCCCAACCATCTCTGCTGCCCTGGAGTTTCGGCCCCTCCCCATTTGCTCCAACCTTGCATTTTTGAATGTACCTGTGTAGATCAGTTTGAGAGGGGTTTGAGGCGCAGCGACAACGGTACAGTACAGTAGAGTGCAGCAGCAGTTTCTGTACCGAAGAGTGCAGGGAGTGCATATTGGCAAGAGAGGCCTGCTGGGGGGGTCTGAGTCTGGATTGTGGGAGTGTCTGTTATGCTCCACTCCATAGTTTTGCTCAGTCCACGGCGCGTTTCCCGAAAATCCGTGGAATTATTATCATCACACTATAGATGAACGGTTGTGTTGGGGGTGTTTTACGACGGCACTCCACCACCACCACCGCGTAGTTCTTTTTTTTTCTTTCTTTTTTTTTGGAGCAGTCCTCCGCCGACTATTACGATACTAGTTGCGCTCTCCGTCAGTAAACCCTGACCCCACCTGGCACCTTATTTGCCCGAAGGGAAAAAGTGCCAGTTTCATATATCACTTTGCTTTTTCTTGTCATACTACATTACAATAGGGATTGTTCATCGCTATACGTGTGTAGCCATCGAAGTACAAGTAGTCTTCGGAACAGGTCTTGTGCATAGAAGGCTGACAGAAGAGTTGAACTGGAGGGCCAAAAACGTAAAACATCATTGGTTGGGCAAGAAGATAAAACAAATGCAGACTAGTGGTCCAACAACACGTCTAAGTCGCTAGACCAGTGGACATTTATGGGCCAGTGCGGTTTACTTACAAACCAGATTGAGTTGTGCCCACAAAAATGCGGTTAAGGGCGTTTTTGCTACTGGACTTCGCGCTTGAGAGGCACAAAAAGTGACTAAAACATAAAAAAGGGTCCTAACTACTGTACTGTGTTAATGGTATATACAAGGATGTATTGTACAGGCATGCGAGTGGCATTTCCTCTCTGCATTCAAGTCGGCCTGCTGGAGCATGTCCAAGGTTTCTAACGAGAGAGAGAGAGAGAGAGAGAGACGCGAACTGAGAGTCTGAGTATTAAGTATGTGAGAAGAGGTGGAGGATGAGACATTGATTGTCAGTTGCGAGTTTTTATTGCGAAAATCGCCAAAATTCTGGGGAAATCAGCTAAACTCGAAACAATGCAAATAATGGCTCTTCTTTTCTCAAACTATTCCGAAATTCCATCCAACTCCATCTACAAGAACTTGTCGCTTGTAACCATTCGCCATCCGTCGTGGCTTCGCTTATGATGGACTGCATCGTCTACATGTGGATGGATGCACAACTTAATGTGAGTTTTTTTTACCTCCAGCTGGCGACAAAAGCGAAAAAGAGCCGACTCCCAAGCAATGGAGATGCAAGAGCACTCGCGAGAAAGAGGGGACACCTATACGGCTTGGTGGAGATGATGAGTAGATGCTTGCAAAGATGCGCCTCTCATGTGCCACCGGAAACAGTGCAAGGTGGGAAACGGCGACCCACGGGGGGGTGGAGGAGATGTCACGTGAGCGGAGCTTGTCGGGAGGTATCGGCAGTTAGAATGAGAGGGGTACTTCTACCGAGAGTTGTTCTTCGTTGTTGTTTTACGGTTTTTTTTTTTTTTTTTTTTTTTTTTCCCTGTGCTGGTCGCGAAATTTATTCTTATGCGAAAACAAACAAAAACGAAAAAGGAGGAGGACCCAGGGGGACACCACGAACAGGCCCTGGCTCTACTCTTAGTAAGCGTTATGGCTAAAAGCTAGTGCTCCAACCTTATGTGGGGTTTCCGTTTCTAGCTTTTCACATTTGAAACGTTAAACAAGATTTCTGGCTCCGTCCGTATGACTTTGTGTTTTTGAAAGTAGCCGGCAACTTTGTGTTTTTGCACCTCATCACGAGAAACAAAGAGGGTGGAAAAACGCAAAGTGGTGCTTATAGAGAGCCTAAAATGACACACCAAGACACTCGACCACCTTTTGGATATAAAGAGGCTTAGAGACCCAAATTACAAGGGCTGAGTGGCACTTTTGCGTCACTATTACTTGACGACTTCTTCCCCGACACACTCTCAGATTCCAACAAGGGCTCCTACGAAACGACCTCTGCCACAGGTGGCCTCCTTTTCAAGATACTCTCGATAATTATCCCAAAGGGCCATTGCCCACCAGGTGAGTACGGTGACAAAGTGATGATGATATGAGGGATAGGACTTTGGCGGACCCGACCAGCCCTGAAAACGTGATACTGGATACAGATAGGCCGACAGAACGACAGACAGCGGACAGACAAACAGATCGGCAGGCAGTCAGACAGACAGACAGAGATACAGACAGAGATACAGAGCGGGAAACAGATAGGGAGACAGACAGGCTGACAGACGGATAGATGGACAGACAGGCAGTCATTCCATCCTCTACACAAGCCCCCACCAGACAGCTATGATCTGACACCGCGTACAGCACCCCCTTGCTCATCGGCACAGCAGATCGCAAGGTAGATCCATATCCAGGGTCGTGGTTCTCAAAGCAATTGAGCGGTTAGGACCACTTTCGATACTTTTGTGTGTGGAGAGGCCATCAGTTAGACGTTTCTTTTTCGCCTACATCTTGCCTCCGTGTACTTCACAATAGTGACTGTTTATGCAACTTCCGCACATTTCTGCACCGCTCCCTCTACATTTGGTACTGTCACCCAACACCCACCCACCAGAGAGCAGAGTTTGATGTTCACCGCACAGATGCGCAACGGGAGGGCAGAGTGATCAGCGGATTGTATCTGCAGGAAATACCTCTCAGGGTGAAAAGACTATGTTTGCGAATGCAGGGTAAGAGTTGGGTGAGGGCAACTAAGGTGAGGAAACAGGACAGGAGCATATGTCTTAGTCAGCTGCAGCATCCAGGTCCCAAGAGTGCAAAATAAGGTTGCATGTTTCCTTGGCGTCTGCTCAGCACATGCGTACCGCCGAAACTATGCACCTACGCGCGCGAGGCAGTCGGGACGAAAGACCGGAACAGGCAACTTAGTCGGAGGAAGGAATCGGTGCGGCAGCAAGTGCGGTTATGCGATCCCTCCGCCTCCTCCACCCCTTGGCTGTCATGATCTGGTGGGGTCGCCTGCGTCTACTGTTTGTTTGTTTGTTCATTATTTGTTCTCTAGCAATATGTGCCAGGCTCTGATATTATCGTGTCAGGGTCCGAGTTCCATCTTGCTACTGTCTGTGGTTGTTGTGGTTGGTTACGAAATGGATCCACTTTTCAGGGGCGTGTCTACCTCTATTTTTGTTCAACGTCTTGTCTTGTTCATGTGGTTTTTTTTTCGCCTGTGCATTTTTCCCAAATCTTTGTCAGTCCTGAGCCGGCCATTTTACTGTTTTCGATTTTTTTCCGCTTGCGGCTAGCTCGATACTTCTCCGTTGCACCGTTTCTGCAAGCCCTGTCGCTACATACAGATATTCATAGCGGGGAAAAAGCCGAAGAGACAACAAGTGGGCCCTATTGTACTCTGTGTGTACCCTAACCCCGACCCGTACCGCCATTTACCAGAAATCAAGTTTACGCATGCGGCCCGGATACGTCTTGCTCGGCAACAACTTGTCACTTGAAGTTGGCCCTCTAGGTTTGGCACTAGGACCTCCAGTGGCACCTTCAGGTCGGCAGTGAATTGTGGGCTCTCCCCCCCTCCCGAGAAGCTGCCGGGGGTTCTGCGAGCGTGATATACCTGGGTGATGTACCGGGTGGGACTCGGCTGAGTTCTAGGCATACATTTAAAAGTGCAAGAAGCTTCGCGGACATCCGGCTATGCAGTGGATACGGTAAGGGTGCATGCATCTGGATTTGGCAAGTCCAGATCAGGGAGGGGTGGAAGGAAAAACAACAAGCGTACCAACACAGACACAGATGGAGGCAAGCAAAAATACCCGTGACGCACAGACACGATGTTATCTGCTTTTTTGTCACATTCACACAAAAGTCCCCGACAACAAACTAACCATTAGTACCCATGACGCCCCGGCTACCTCTGCCAATCCAACCACAGAGTATCAACCCGCCGCCACCGCAGTCGCCCCAAGCTAAAAGAGAAGACCTCATTGATGCTGCTGACCATCACGGTCGAGATGACCTGACGTCACTCAAACGGCGCCGTCTCGAAACGGTGGGGTCACATTCACCCGTCCCCCGACCCTCCTCGGCACATACACATACCCAGTTGTCGCCCAACGGCCAGCAGCAGCCACCGTCGCCTTACCACTACCCTTACTCGCATACAACAAACTCCACTCATCATCTTCAGCATCAGTCAGCCCAATTGCATCAGCCCCCGCCGCCGCAACTGCAACAGCAGCATCCACCGCCACCACCGCCACCTTCCCTCCACGACTATCATTACACACATGGCCCTCCAATCTCGCCAAACATGACGCAGGCACCTCCTGCTGTCCAGACGCCAACACAGACACCCCTGGGCTTGCATCAACCCCATGGCGGCATTCATGGGCCTCCCCCTCCCCCTCCCCCACCACAAACCCTGATCTACCCTCACCAGCAGTACTTTTCGCCGTATGGTGTTGGTGATATGCGGTACCCCACGCCGCCGCAGCCCATGGCTCATGCCCATGGTCCCTCTGGCCCCATGCCTCCCATGGGCCCACCACACTCGCATCTGCAGCACCACCACATTCCTCCACCCCCGCCACATCTGATGGGCCACCAAATGCAGCTTGGAGTGGCTGTGCCTGGCCCGTCGTTTGCTCTGCGACGTCCCATTCCGGCACGCCAGCGGACCTCTATTGCATGCCGGTACTGTCGGCGGCGTAAGATCCGGTGCTCGGGCTTCGACCCCGAGAATCCAGACTCACGTTGCTCCAACTGCATTCGCTTCAACCAGGAGTGTGTGTTTATCCCCGTGAGCTCCATGGCTTCCACGGACAAAAAGAGCGGTAGCGCCGATGGGGCTAGTGCCGATGGAGTGGGCGCTGGGGGATACGACCGGCTGTCACCAACGCTGTCAGACTCTGACAAGCGAGAGTGGAAGCCTCAGCCGCACCCCACGTCGCCGACCGAGATTCGCAACGCTATTTCGCCTGCCATATCTCCGTCTCCGCCTACTGCAGCAGCAGCATCTTCGGCTGCGGCAGCAGCATCTTCTGCGTCAACGTCGCCAACGTCGGCTACAAGCTCCACGGCACCCACCCGTAGCAAGTTAAGCATCCAAAACTTGCTAGGCTGATTACTAACCTGTACCATTATTTAATGTAAACTATGTATCATATTGCGACTTGTGTAGCTGGTATCATGGAAACTGATGTTGATGTTGAGTGAACATGAAATATTATTTACATTTAGCAGAGCGCCAGGAGTTCCGTAGTGCGTTGGCAACCATGGCTGCTTCGGCCCTGCAACCTGCTAGCATTGATGGCCGCCCCGGTTCCAGATGCAACGAGAGCGCGACCTCAGACACCCGCCAATGTTTGACCTATTTTTGTTGCCTTTCTTTGTCGTATTTTCGCTTGTCGGCGCAACCCTACGTTGTATGATAATATAGGATAAGTGTTTCTATTGTGAAGTGTTCGAGGAGTTAGAATTTGTGGACACAATTAATAATACGAGTGGTCTAGACAAATACGAGCCCAGGGTGCTCTTGTTTCCCCCTTGTCATGTGAAGGTGTCGTATTAAACCGTCAGGTGAAAGGGTGGAGGAGCTGTCTTTCGTTAGCCTGAGGGTGGTTTGGAGCTAGCTCTTGGTGCGGCACGTTTGGAAAGCGTCTTGTAGTTTCGAGTTTCGACCACAGGCATCTCCGTGGTCCAGTGAGCACCGGACCCACCCGATATTGGCGGGTTTTAGCACAGCAATAACCTACAGGGGTGTTTTGCTTTTCCGGCTTCTTTTGTCACTAGTAGCGCGCCCGGAGGTGTTAAACTAGTGCAGCGACCATCATCCCTAATTAACCAACATTGTGCCAAGGTATAGGGGCTAAAAGGTGCAATTGAAGAGCCATAGGTGAGTGATAGCTCGATACTACCGTGGTTGGTAGCTGCCACGACGATATGGCTGCTTTTCCACTAGTGGCCGACAAGCTCCTCACGGTGGTGTCACTGTCACCACACATGCAGCTATTTCTCTAGCCAGATCTACTCCATCTGCCCCTTGGCCCAAATATGCTTAGTGTCGCTGCCCCCTTGTTGTCCCTTAGGCAACTCTAGCCTCAGCACATTAGCACATGCCCGTGCTACTTGTACGTCTAGGGGCGACAGCTAGATTAGCTAGACAAAAGGCCGCTTTTAGCAGAGCCACCTGTATCACAAAGGGTCTTGGAGGTTGTGCAGAGCCTTATCTGGTAGGTTCTTGGCTACGGACCGAGAGCGATTCTGGACACACTTGCGATGATAATCGAAAGTTGGGGTGTTGTGCAGTCCGTGCACTTGTGACGCACACAACTGTGAGAGCAGACAACACGCACTGCTGCTGTATTATTACTGTACTTACATTAGTGTGCAGCAGCATCATCTTTGACATTGGTCGAGGCATTAATAGCCGATGCGACACCCTCCTGTCAGCTGTCAAGTGGGAGATCCACACGTCAGGCTAGTCAGTAGCGTGTGGCGGCCAGATGGCTGCATCCCAGCCGTTTCAGAAGCCCGGTCCGCGGGGATGATGGAACAGGGTCTACGCGGAAGAGCCGGGAAAAGAGACGGTACTGTACACGGCACATCGGAAGCACTAAGCCGCTTCGAAATGGCAGAAAACGACACGGCTACTTAGTGTAGTTTGAGATTCACCTCGTGCTGTGCTGTTCCCCGCGATATGCTTTCCATTCCTCCATTGTTTTGACTGCCTTGTGCCAATTTTCGTTGGACTCGTGCAGCTGTCGTTTTAGCACGGCAACCTCACTATCGTGATCGACTTCAGGTAGCGTGAACCGTTGCGACAGGGCATCTCGGAGTGAAGACAGGTTATCAGCCATAGTGGCTGCTAGTTCATTAAGGTCATCGGTCCGGTTGAGTGAAAATGTGCCTCCATGCTGTAATTCGGACACGGACAATTGGACGATGGAGTTGAGATCGTCTTCCGTCGGGGCCTTGTATTCTCCTGGTTGGGTCTCAAGTGCATTCCGTTTCAGCATGTCAATGTCGTCGATAGTTTTGTAGATGAGCGACAGCAGCATTTTGTTGTCTCTGATGAGCTCATTATCAAGCTGTCTGACGTCTGGTGATGGTGGTGTAAATGTCACCAGCGAATCAGAAGAGATTGCTGTCCCTTTTCGGGCCAGTTCTCGCATTCGCTCCAGTCGAACGTCCCGTTTGCGCATTTCAACCATACTCTGCTGCTTGAATCTGTCGACGGCCATTTTTGCACGCGTAAGACTGCCTCTCTCGTTCTTAGCTGCGGCTTCCAGCCTCGCAATTTCTCTTTTGGCGTTCTGTAACGCGTTCTCCTCGTGAGCTAGACGCGTGTGAAGATCGTGATTTTTGCGATGCAGGGCCCTTATTTCGTTGCGTAGACGGTCATTGTCGTGCTCCAGATCCGCCACTCGCCTCAGCCGGTTCTCTTCGGCCTTGGAGTCCTTTTCCAGAGACTGTAGCAGCGAGTAAATGGTGTTGATCACCAGCATGTCGTTCTCCTCCACATTTTCGAGCGGCGTTTTGGAAACGGTTGCAAACTTGAGTCGGTCACTGAGAAGGTAGCCCTTGGATACCAGCGTATGATTGATGAATTCCGCGGCCGCTTCCATCGTCTTGGTGTAGTGCGATGTGCTGATTTTTCAGAGTCGCGTTTCCCTCGCGTTTTACATGCACCAGGCTAGATAGATAAGGGAGGAGCTACAGTAGGGTCCATTGTACAAAGCGAAGCACTGAATGGGAGATATAGAAGAGAGAATAGATGATTGCAAATATATCCAACAGTTAGTGCGGAATGGCTTACCTTCTTTAGAAATAATATCGCATAAAAACTCTTGGTTGGGATTGCTCTGAAGACCAGTTTAAGACATTTTTTTTTTTAAACTGCAGTGTCTAACCAATATAACTAATTAGTTGGAATATGCAGACCAATTATTGCAGGAAAAAATTCAGAAAAAACCTAACCAATTGAGCCGATATATAACCAATTGAGCCGATATATAGCCCATGAGCCGATATGAGCCGATATATAACCAATGAGCCGAAATATAACCAATGAAGACACCCAGCACTTGTTTTCTCAGACCACGGCGTTTCTTGACATCAAACCCCAATGCGACGATGTTCCTAAGCAACCACAATGATGATCTTTCCTCTAAGAACAGGGGACAAACCAATGTGGTTGGTTCAAATGTACGAATAGCCAGATCGATGCATTGACTAATATTTCTTTTAACGGCAGTCGTCTACGTCCGTTACATTCTCTCTACATGTAGCATTAATACAGTACAAGTAAGATGGGTGTAGAGCTGCAATACCATACGAGAAATACTCTACTTGGGTCTCCGGGATCCGACGGCACTCAATCTGTGTCTGACATTTTTAATTGTTCGTCACACCTTGTAAAACGCAGTGCGCATCAACGCCTCCTCTCCCCCTTCCATGCAGGTTTGTGCACCTTGCTTTGACAACACCCACTCCCCCCCATCCAACATTGCATCGTCTTCAAGAGGAAAAATCCCAGGACAAGTGACACTCGAGACCCTGGTTCAAAACACTCATGTCATACTACAGAACCACACGGTGATGTGCATGTACAAGGTCCTCCCACTCCACCATTGCTGGGGTGAGACAGTGGCTGTAACCTCGCGTCTGGGCTTGTGGTGGCCCCAGTGACTCCGTGTGAGACACCCTACCGGGACGGATAACGCTCACTTTTGCACGACGCTCTTTAACTACGCCTACTCTACATGGCCCGGCTAATGTTGCACTTCAGAGTTCGCGCATCGCCTACGGTACGGTACAGTACGAGCACTTCTAGGGTGCATTGCAGAGCCTGAACTTGCGGACCCACGGAATGGTGTCCGTCGATCCCGTCTATCGCAGCTTCCCCGCCGTTAACTCTCGCTGATTTGCCCCCTTGCTACTGTAAATCGCAAACTGTGGGGTCAAGAACGAGACAGAGCGGGGTGGTGATACATGTACCTGTATTTGCACTGGTATTGGCACTCACGCTTGCACTTGCACTTGTAGCATAATACAACGGCCAGTTGCAACTATCACATGCGAGACACTACGGCCAAGAGCTCTCCCTCCACCTGAAACCCCCAGCAGATGCTTCCCACATGTCACATGCGGGGAACCGCAAGGAACACGGGCTCAACAAAACCACCGGGCCTGTACAAGAGGGCCGACACCGACACACACAAGCAGAAAACAGCCCTGTTGCGTCCCACACAAAAGCACAAGCTCTTCCCACACAGAGACAATGTTTCAGTTTTGCAACCTTGGCAAAAAAGGTTGCAGATTGCCAAAAAAAAACCAAACTAAGTGCCTATTGACCGCCCCCTCGTAAATCATAAATGCCATCTTACAAGCAGCCAGCAGAAAGGAGAAGGCTGAACGCGAACAGGTGATGGCAGCAGACGACGGGGGGAAAAACACAAAGCGAGACGAAAAACCTACGAACAAGCGAAGCGCATGGAGGCATTACAACTTATGAGAGACATGCTCCCACCGGCAGCATCAACCTGCATGGGCACAAAGACCGTTATAATAAGTTATTTATGGTGATGATAAAATGATCGGATGGTGGATGGCGCTGGATATACGAGCGTGAGCACGTCTACTCGTACAGGGGCAGGTGTGTATAATTGCTGGTCCGTCACATGCGCACTCTGTCAAGCGAAGAAATGTGACCCAAATTGCTTGATCCATGGACACATGGAAAAATAACGCCCGCTGCAGCACATAGTCTCTAGAACACAGTCTCTCCTTCCTCCTCGTCCCCACAAAACATTACCCCACCCAAGCTCTCCGCCCCATAATGTACATCCCCGCGTTTTTCTCGTTTTCTTCTCCGTCTCTCTGTCTATTCAACCTGGTGATGATCGAAAAAGCCCTCAACAACACTGGCTGCAGGACCCAAGGCAGCCACTAGCGGAGTGGTTTGCCCGCTCGCCGCAGGTGAGAACTGAGGAATCACAGCAGGCATTGTTGGGGGCGCAAATGTAGACCCTGTAGCAGTAGGAAGACCTCCAATGCCACCCATTCCCATTCCAGCACCTCCGCCGTTATCCTTGGGCTTGTATTCCAGCGAAATGGCAATCTCCTTAGTCAACTTGGTCAGGGTTCCCAGAGCTGCAGACGCATTGCCCAGAATCGGTAGATCGTCCATGGCCTGTCTTGTAGCGGCCAACATGGCAATCACCACCTTGAGGAAGTACGATGTCGTGTCCAGGAACTGCTGTCGCGGCGGGAAATCGCCTCTGGCCACTCGGTCAAGCCGCTGACGTACTTGGCGAGTCGCGTCTGCTCCTGCCACACACGTGGACGTGAGCTCCTTCACCAGGATGGTCACGTGAGGCGAAATGGTGCCTCCAGCGTGTGCAGACGCAGCTGCGCTCTTGGAGATGAACTCCGTCAGCTGTCCCAGCACGTTTTGAGCGCAGTTGGTCGCACTGATGAGCTTCTCGTACAGCGCTCGGTCTGCGGGAGACACGGTGCTGAACTTGTCGGGCTCATTAGGCGGAAACAGGGTATGCCACGCGTTATGGACTTCGGATAAGGATCCAAATGTCGACAGAAGCATCAGGCGCGTGTACCGAATGTCTGCCGATGCAAACAAGGCAATGTTGGAATGCAACAGCGCCAGAATGCGCCGCAGAGAGCCCACGCAGAGCCCCGCCCTTTCCACGACGGCAGATTCCACTGTAGCGTCCTGTACCGTCTCTTCATATCTCTCCAGTGCCGCCAGTAGTGCCTCCTGTTGTTGCTGGCACGTGCCATGTAGATTGGCCGCTTTCGCCACCAGTTTTCTATCTTTGCAAAAGCCGCTGTATGTTTTGATGGCTGGCAGGATCTCAGAAAAGGCAAAGAGGATTTTTCGACACGCCTCGATCGTGTTGTTTTTGCGTTCCTCGGGAAGCGTGGACAGCCGCTTGAAGTAGGCTCCCGTGGACGAGCCTTGACCTTGGACGGGATCTCCAATGGCTGAGTCATGTGACGCCCCACGAGCATGTGACGTGGTGGATCGGTATTTTTTGACAATGACGCCCATTCGTTTGGCCTGTCGGGACGAAATGGGGTCATCTTCGAGGGGTGTCACTGGAGGCGTGGTGTGCACTGACGGAGCTTGTGCTTGTGTTGGTGTTGGTGTTGGTGGCACTTGTTGTGGTGTCTGTGTCTGTATCTGTGGCAACTGCTGCTGTGGCAACTGCTGCTGTGGAGGTGGTTGTATTCGTTTACTCCTCAGCCACTCCTTGACTTCTTCAACCCAATCTAGCACTCCCTCGGCTTGTGGGTCGACACATGGAGGAGGGGGGTCCACGAACGGGTTGCCATCAATCTCCATGAGCCGCAGTTCTGCCATGTCCGCGATGAACGATGGCACATGGCGCAGCTTGTTGTGTGAAAACGACAAGACCATGAGATTGGTGAGCCGCAGCATGCCCTCCGGGAAAGCCTCCACCTGGTTGTAGGAGACATCGAGGATTTCGAGCGTCGTCAGCCGAGTCACAACCGCAGGGACGTTGTGTAGAGCATTGTTACTCAGATCCAAGTACCGCAATTGCGTCATATGGCCCATGAGCGGAGGTAGGTCTGTGAGCATATTGCCCGTGAGAGACAGCTTGCGGACCCGCAACAGCAGCTCTGCCACGCCATCACTCACCTCCGTCAGTCCCATATGATTGAGCTCCACGCCGCGCTCTTCATCTCCTCCAGCCTCCTCCACCTTGCGTTGCACGTCTTGAATCAAGTCCATCGAGGTTGGTGAGAACAGGTAGAACGGTCGTATATTGGCGGACCCGATAGAGTTCTCCTGCAGCTGGGAGAAGAGGGATGATGATGCCATGTGTGGATGTGTGGATGTGGGGGTCTGGTGGACTCCTAGGGCGTACGTGGCACTGGTATTTATGTTTTTCCCTGGCTTATGTGGTTTTGTACCTCTTTGGAATGTGGCCCAATTCGTTTCTACGTGCGGCGGCCCCGAAAATGTGCCGCAAAAGGCCATGAACGGTTGGAGGGGTAGAATATTTGCAGCTGCAACCTTGTAAGGAGCGGTCATATGCAGTGCACGATACAGGATGGAACATGGCAAGAAATAGGAGAGCGAGTACGGATAGACAATGGGAAAAAATCAAATAAAAAATGGAGTAAATTTGGTACCAATGTTAGCTTTTTTCTCTTTTTTTCCCGAATTAATTCGAATTGTTGCAAGTGTTTTTGTGTTGTTGCATTCTTGAAATTACGTCCGTCCTTATTTCCTAATAGTTCAAGGGAATATACAGTAATAACAATAATAATGAAAATGGGGAATCACAACTGAAATTAACACCACCAGTCAAAACGGTGTAGCGGTTGGCGGTTGAGCGGGGACTGTAACATCGTAAGTTGTACGGTACAAGTTATTTATTGGTACTGTAGACATATTTTCGGTACAGTACCGGTGGTTCATGTTGAAATCAGCCACCCGCAGATCTGGTGGTCATGTACATATATATACTTACTGTAGACGAATTCCTGTTGGTATCGTCGACATTTCCTGTCTGCTATACTACGACAAGTTACAATAAACAGACGTGATAGTCACATCAGATGATAACAACGACGTAGGGCGTTGCAGTATCACCGATCGATTTATCCTTCATGTCTACGTTGGAGTGGTCTCTTGCACTCTACAAACTCCATCAGCGATGATGAGTTTTGTACAGTGGTTTTCTCAACCTGGGCTTCTCAATCTCCGAGAGCCTTGTCAAGACGTTTGGTGTACTGCCGTTCGAACGCCCTTTTGGGCTGTCTCGAGTATGCAAATCAATCTCCTCGCGAGTAGCAGACTCTCGGAATGTCTTAAACTCCACCATTCGATCGCTAGACTCGTGCAAGAACCACTCGGGAAGCCACTGAGGAGTCTTCTTGTAAACATTTCTTTTTGTTGACATAGAGACCCCTTTAGAGGTGGATTTATCAAGTGAAAGAGCAACAATAGGGTCCCAAGCGCCAAAATAGGGGAAACAATGCGCGTGTAATCATACGATAACTACTGTACTTGATCCCACAAGCCTGTTTCTATGATTTACAAGTGAGATAGTGGTAGTTGTACGGGAGGGGGGGGGGGGTCAGAAACAGATGGCGTTTGTATGATAGGCGCCGTGGTATAGAGTCAGTGACTGTCTAAATGAGGGTAAAACACCATCAGGATCTTCATTGCGACACACGATCAACCAGAATCCACGTTTCATCGGCACAAACACGGCTGATAGCAGAGGATAGACACAAGCACAAGCGGGCAGGCGATAATCCCACTACCCGGGGCTAGAGACACGCTAAAACCAATTCAACGAGAGTCTATAGACATATTGGTGTAGTCAGTCACAGCGCCTCCGCATGTTTTCTTTTGCAGACCAGGTATCGTTTGTACTAACACCCACCCACTGCTTCCGACCCTAACCCCCTTGTCTGCCGAAATAGCTGCTGAAATAGTGCCCAACGTCAAAATTAACAAATGCAGGGCTTGCGACCGGCATGACGTCCGGGCCGGTGTTAATGCTGTATGTCAACCAGGGGGAGAGCCGGTCCAACTATACATGTCACCAGCACCATCACCTCATTCCGACGGTCTCCTTAGACTTGAAGATCCGATCCGTGAGCAGTCACGAGTGAGGGAGTCCAGCTTGCCTCGACCATGTAGCAAAAAGAAACCGGGAAAAAAGAAACCGGGCAAAAAGAAACAGTGCCACTGGTTTCTCGCTCGCAAAAGAAATCCGGCACTGCACAAAAAGGAAACCGATCTTCTATCTGGTCGGACGAATGCGGAAAAAAAAGCAACTGTTCCCGCAGTCTGGTGAGTATGGGCAGAGTATAAATATCCGAACCGTGTATCTGGAAGCAGCTTAATAAGCTGATAGATAGCAGAGATTGATGCAGAAGGTGTTGGTTCTTTGATTTCATTTTGCTTGTCCCCTCTCAATTGTGATTCTGCTTAACCAATGTTTCCACTGACTGACTTACATTACATAAGCAGTCACCAATTTACATTGTACTTAGCTAACCCAAACGGGCGCCGAGACACCAAAATGGAAGACCCCCCTCCCTCCTCCTCCCGCACTGAGTTTGAATGTCTTGTCTGGTGAGGGAAAAAAAGCAGTTCCGTACAGCACAAGCAGGCAAAAAAAAAGCACTGTGTGTGAGCTTCTTGTGCATAGGGTCTCTTGTTCGGGCTGAATCCAGACTTGTGTTTGGAACCAAGAGCTCCGACTCGCTTGTGAAAGGTCCTGCTGTGAAGCCGTAGCCTGCGGAGTTCTCGGGGAATTGGCACCCACAATGGTCGTCTGGTCGATAGACAGGACTCAACAAGTACAACGAAGATCATTCTGCAACCGCTGCTTGGCGGCGACAGTCTCGAACGTATGTATGTTCAAGTACGATCCCGACTGCACAAGGTATGGCCTGACTTGATTTAGATCGGCCTCACCTTACATGGAGCATGGTCGATCATCGCTTGTCTTGACCCCTCAAAGATCGTCGTCCCTACATTATAGACTTGGAGAGCCTGTGGAACATGGGGAAGCGCTGGGGGGGCACTGACACAGTTTGGAGCTGTACAGTTCCCCGGGTTCTCCGGGGTCAGGTACCAGACGAAGACAAAAGGAACCCCGCCATGGAAACCTCCACCATCATCCTGCCCCTCCCCCTCCCCCACCATGCCCCAGCTTCTTTGTGACGCCTGTCTCACCTCGTGAACCCCTAGATTATCGCTCTCACCCGCCGCCCAGCTGCACCAGAGGGTACCAGTAGGGGAGAGGCAGGTTTCAAATGCATATCCTGTCTCACGTTAGCGGACCAAATGAGCCGTAGATCTGCATCCGCATCAGCATGGATGGTTCCGCGGTTCAGGAGCAACTAGCGTTGGTTGGTGCGCTGGTTGCAAAGTTGCCAGGATGTGCAACACACTGCCGCCAGCTTGCATCTCCGTTTCCCGCAAGCTTAACCCAAACCGAAAAATCCCGAGCCAAGAGAGAGAAGGCCCCCCCCTTCAGTGGTTGCCCAAAGCTGTCTGAACCTATACAAGAAGTACCTTCCCGCTCGTGCACCATTCTACAGTCGCTGAAAAACACTCTGAGACTCGTCTGTTACAAACTCTCGCCACCTTGCTATCTTTAGCACAGGTGAAACTCGAGACATTCATACAAGTCAAATAGTGGCGATACACTGGTGATACGGAACCGATAGCATCGCAACTTCACCGAAAGCTTTACCCTTCGATTGTCTTACCGACGTAACAAGTACATAATACAAGTGCCGGTACAGTCCCTGTATGATAATGCCCTGGCAGAAGTATGACTCCAACATAGTACATCCAGTAGACTATGTTTGCGGTCATTACAGTAGCTTCAATAGATAAGAGACATCGGGATGTATATTAGCTCTTGAACTCGTATCACGGACCATACGGCACTCTCCTACAACTCTTGTACAATTACATTATGTTCATTATCTATCGTCCATTCGAAAACCTGCTGGTTGGATTTCAAATATAACCCCAATGCTGAGCTCCAGAGATTAAATGACTCATGGAAAACAGTCGCCACAGGCATACACGAGTGAGGTGTATCTCTCCGCGCTCTCTCGTTCTCTTGCCGTATGTCGTTTCACCCTCGTCTTAGTGTCTTAACACTCGTTAATCGCCTTCAACCGTGAAATGGCCTTGGGGTGCTTCTGGGCAGCAGCCTTGAAATACCACTTCTTGGCCTCGTTCAGATCCTTATGCACACCAATACCCACCTCACAGAAGTATCCCAAAGCGTACTCGGCCTTGACCAGACCCTTCTCGGCCGCCTTTCGAGCCCAAAGATACGCCTCCGTATCACTCTGCTGTAGAATACCATCGCTGCCGGTCAGGTACCAGCCCGACAGAGCCAGTTCAGACTCGGGCTCGCCCTTCTGAGCTGCATAGGAGTACCAAGCAATGGACTTTTTGGCGTTGACATCACAGCCTAGAGTTCCATACTCGTAGCAGCAGCCCAGACGAAACTGAGAAGGAGGATAACCGAGCTTGCCTGCAGCCATGAAAAGCGATAGTGCTCGAGTCTCGTCCTTACGAACCACAGATCGCCCATCGGCCGAAATCGCACTCATCTCATAAGTGGGACGCTCATATAGAAGAGCCAATTCATGAAGGGCATGTGGGTTCTCTGAATCAGCCTTGGCAGCAGCCTCTTCCAACAACGCAACAGCCTCCTGAATATTCTTCTGCTCCCCTAGAGTGCCGTGAAGGTGAGTCATGCCAAGCTTGTAGAGAGCCTTTGTGTCACCCAGATCAGCAGCCCGTTTGTACCACAGAACAGCCTTTCGAGCATCTCGTCGGGTTCCAATACCCAGCTCGAAACACACTCCGACTCTGTAAGAGGCCTCAGGATGACTCAGACCGGCTGCCTTGTTATACAGATCGAACGCTCGCTCTTTGTCTGAGCTCTGGACTCCATACTCAAACAGAGCAGGCGCATAGTTGACGGCAGCCAGCTTCTTGACAATCTTCAGACCCTGCGTTGTCCAGTAGTCTCTATTTTTCTTGGCTGTTTTCGAGTCGATGGGGTTTCCGTTCTGGGCCTTGTCTGCCAGTTGAGCTGCAGCCTTGAACATTGCCTGTGCGTACTCAAGCTGGGCATGATTGTCGTCTGGGTTCGCCATAGCACGCTGTTTTTTGGCCTCCAAAGACGCATGCGTGAATGTGAGACTACTGGGGCTCGGGAATTCACTAGTCTTTGCTTCTGAGCCTCGTCGGTCGTCACCACCACCTCCACGAGGATCTTGTCGTCGGTCATCTGAACCTCTTCTGTCATCACCTCTTCGTCCGTCATGGTTGCCTGTCTTGATGGGATAGGGCGCGTTGGGATGTGAAAAAGACGCCTTTGTGGGCGAGGGGTGCGATAACTGCGCTGCCGCTTGTGCTGGTGATGATGTGTTGATATGCATCGGGGGCTTCACAGGCACTGCTGCAGGAACGTCCAGTGCGTACTTGCTGTTCTGAGGCTGAGGAACCGGAGGAGGAGCATGTGTAGGCAGCTGAGTACGCTCTTCGTCGTAGGGATTCTCTTCCTTGTAGCTGTCAACGTACTGGTGAGGAATGGGGTTGACGGGGTTCTCGGGTTGAGGATAATGCGACATTCGCACGTAGATTTTGCGCTCGATTTCCGCCCCTCGGTTGTCGCTGTGGTTTGTGTTTGTGTTGTACGAGTTTGACGCTGCTGCCGACGTGAACTGAAAGCCAGGGTTCGAGTCATGGGAATCACGCGACTCGGTGTTTGTAGGCGAAAACGTGTTGTTGCTGCCTCTGTCGTTGCTGCCTCTGTCGTTGCTGCCTCTGTCGCTGCCACGGTTGTAGTCGTTGCTGCTGTGGTTGTAGTCGTTGCTGCCGCGGTTGTAGTCGTGCAGATCGGGCGTGCTACGAGACGCCTGCTGCGGGATGGACGGTTTTACCACGGAGCTCTGCCCAGACGCAGGCGCAGGAACCTTGGCCTTGGGGAGAGGGTAGGGCAGATGCTGGGCCTGGGGCGAGTTCCGTTTGGCCACTGTGGCTGCATACGACTGCACGGGAGGCCCCGGGTTCTGCAATGGGCTCTTGGATCGCACACTAAGATTGTTGATGCCTGCAGTGAGGTCCGGCTCCGACTGCGAAAACGCATTTTGTTGCGGCTGCTGGTAACTGTTGTTGGGATGATGCTGATACTCGTCCTGTCGAGGAGGATACGACTGTGGCTGGCCTCCGTTGTTAGCCGGCTGATCGTACTGGTGATCGCTGTAACCGTGGTTGTCGTATCCTTCGTCGTTGTAACCTCCGTGGTTGTTATAACCCTGGTCGTATCCTTGGTTATCGTATCCCTGGTCGTAGCCCTGATCGTAGTTCTGGTTATCGTAGCCCTGGTCGTAGTGCTTCTGGGCGGGAGGTGGGGCGTGAGCTTGCTTGTGATGCTGCTGGGGAGGAGGAGCATGCTGAGGAGGCGCTCTGTAACCCTGGGGGCCGCGTTGGGGAGGTGGTGGTTGCTGGTAGTGTCCATGTCCGTGATTCTGAGGTGGTGGGGGAGCATTCTGGTAGCCTTGGTTGTAGTTCTGGTCATACCCCTGAGCCCCTCCGTACTGGTCGTAGCCCTGGTCATAGCCCTGGTTGTATCCTCCTCCGTATTGATCGTAGCCCTGATCGTACCCTTGATCATAGCCCTGATCGTAGTATTGCTGCTGTGGAGGCGGCTGCACGGGCTTGGGGGGCGGTTGGAACTGCTTGGCCGGTTTGTATCGTTGACGAGGCCCCGGGCCTCCGTGGGATTGCGCTCCGGGAAGTCCGCCAGGTCCCGGAGGTCCAGGAGGAGCAAACCGCTGGGGAGGCCCCGGTCTACCGCGTCGCGGCACGCCATACGACCGGCCGTAGTTCATGCCGGGCTGGTTGTACTGCTGAACAGAGGCCATGGGGGCGTCTCCAGGCCCATCGCGACGTTTCAGCCGGTCTTTGGCAGGTAGGGCTCGTGAGATGCCGTCCATGGTGTGGTGGATGAGAGGTGGTGGTATAGAGTTGGATGGGAGTATGTGGAATGTGGGTTAGGAAAGAGCACGCTACAAGTGCCAAGAGATTGTACCCGTGTACAAGTACGTGGAGTCTACTGAATGGTGATGCAAAGAAAGAGGTGTGTTTGTACGGTAGATCTGACTGGTCAGACATTTTTTCTTTTCAGCACTCCGATTGGCCAACCAATGTACCTACTCGTGATCGGTGCTTCTTTTTTTTTTTTTTACCGCCGTCGCTCGGATATGAAATGAAATTGTTGCTGATTTGGGACAAGTCACGTGGCAAACGCGTCAAGCCCATACAGCAGGTGGGGGACTTGTACTTGTACTTCATCGAAGGAGTCAAAGAGACTGGAAACCGATCCCTTACGAGCTGGAAATTGGCTGCTTCATCCACTCACAAAACCCTCGTATCGACCTCATCGACGATCCATCGGAAACCAGACACAAAGGTGCAACAAGTACCACCCCCCTGTCTCGCTCAGAGGTTATATGCTGGAGATCTGTGGAGACGAGGAGAATGGGCCACAGGCGGGGGAAACGGTTCTGCTCTCAAGACTCCGACTAGACGCGTTGGTCCGTTGTTTTTGCACCGTCCAGAATGTTTTTTTCTGTGCTAAGCAGCACTAATAGACCAACTTGTTAGCGGGGCATGTTTTTTTTTTTTTTTTTTTTTTTTTCTGCATGTTAACCAACTGTTACTGTAGCGGGGTCAATTAACTGCCCAACTACAAGCATTGGTTTTTTTTGAGTTCCTACTAACACACCAGGTTCCCGAAAATATCCATCATCTAGCCACCTATTGGCTTATGGATACCGTTGGTCAAAACACCATCCTTCGTTTGATACAAACGGTGTTGTGTCTGGCTCCAAATAATACTCTGAATTTGCTCTACAGTACACATGAAAACATCGCCAGTGGTCGGAAATAGAACTCTATGCTTCGTAGAGTTCTCGGTAACCCACATTTCGGACCAGTCCTCACATCGTTCTCAACTAACGCTTTTTTTTCTGGACGCATTTCGGTCCCATTATAGCGGCTACTTGGCTGCTAAACAGGTGGGGGTCTGCCAATGTCCACGGACTTTTTCACCTTGGAATTGCTTCTTTTAGCGCTAACATTCGTACCACTGCCTTTCATGCTCATGCAATATCAGTGCAAGTACAGTACCATACACGGATGGTGAGACAAATGGGTCCAGAGACCCGAAAAATAAGAAGCAGAGAGCAAAGGACCTCCTACTTGTGTACACTTGTTGTTTTTTCATCGAGATATCATCAGCGATTGGTGCCCACATTTTTGTTCATGATATATCCATGGAATGTTGAACAAACTTCAACGACACTCCATGGCACATTGCAAAAAGCACCTCTTACGACACACGGACTCCTGGTGAAAATAAAATAAAAAATGACATCCAAAATGCAGAGTGAAAATGGTGCATGCAATTGTGTTGTCTGACGTCTGGCGATTTTTGCAAGACGCCAGACAGAATTAATTTTTGTTGTGAGGGTCACGTGCTACATGGAAATTAAGCTTCCGCTTACCGCGTTTTCACCCCGCTCCTATATACATGAATGAGTTATAAGACTCATCGGAGATCCATATAACGATGAATACGGCAGTGAAGCAAGTCATGGGACAAATTTACGTCTAGTAGAGGCGGAAACGGCATTTAAATGCTTCTTTATGGGTCACCACCATGCGTCTGTGGCATTTAGCAATCTTGGGGATCTACACCTTGGTATTTTTTTTTGTCTTGAGCTGAAACACGAGGAAGTCTCGTACATACAGCACTGTACCTGAAGTACTTGTTGCGATCGACAATCGAGCCGACACCCCTTCACCCGTGCATTTTTTTTATCATAAAATCATTTTTATCTCTTTTTATCTCTTTTTATCTCTTTTTATCTCTTTTTATCTCCTGGGATCCCACCTCCATCCCATCCATAATCGATACAAACCCCGACCACGAACCTAAGTAAACCCACCACTGCTGTACAGTATGGAATGTCTCAGTGGTGTGTCATTAGTACCGAATGCACGTAGGTTTGTGTACAGTCAATGTCTCTACACACTCATTATCTCTGTCTCTCTTCCCATGTACCATGTCTACCCCACAGATGCAGAAGGTGTCTTTGTATAAGCGAGACAGGGCGAGTGAAAGAAGCAGAAGCATTTGGACCTATGGTATGGGGGGGACTATTTTTAGAACTCGGCGGGAACGGCTGATATAGGCGTCCGGTGAGTTTGCGCTCGCGTTTGCGCAAGGTCTAAAGTGGTCTCTATTATTCCCTTTCACGGGCCTATTCGGGCTCATTTTTCAACGCTACTCGTACTGTACAATGTACTCGTACTCGTACTCGTGCAGCACGCAAGACTTCTTTTTTTAATGTTTGAAGAGGAGCTACCCGCCACATTACACAAACCCAACCCTTCTTCCCATTGTGCGCTCTGTCACTCCCACCAAAAAGGGTCGTCAAAACTTTGGTGCAGAATGTCTGAATATTACGTCTGAGACAAGAGCTTGGTACATGTAGTGTATGTACTGTACTGGGTTAAGATTACGGTTTTGATTTATGAAGCTGGGACAAGATCGTCGCGATGACAAGTTTGCATGAGGCAGGGATTCAGAATTTGTAAGCTTTCGTAAGCAACGGTGCGGCTGCCCGTCGCTGGCCCCGATTGCGAGTTTCGATGAGGCGAAAAACACGCTTAATTTCGGGCGCTTGTGGCGCGTTCCAGCGCTCTTTTCTGTTCCAAGATGTCAACTTATTGGATTTCTTTTGAATTTCCTCATGATTAACATTATTTATCAATTGTCCCACCTCCGATCCTCTCCGACGCAATACTCGATGATGTGAAAAAGATGAAAATAAAATAAAATAAATATAAGAGAGAGAGAGCGAGACAATCGGAGGCAAAGGCGGGTGTCTGATCGATTCCCACCGACCCACGTACTTGAAATTCTATCGGTTGCAGGGTTTGGCGCGATTGACAAGCATTCTATGGAATAACTAAATTAATAAAACTACGGTATAGTATGTACGTACATGTAGATTTGAAATATTTAAACAAAATATATATATATATATATATATATTTAATTTTATTCATTTGATCTGCGTAAGTAATAATCACAGTAAATTTATTTAATTAAAGCGGACGCAATCAAACAACATCAAGTAAACGGGGGTCCACCGCCCACCGCCGCCAACTACAACTAGCGTCAATTACACTTCTCCAATCATCTCCCGTTTTAATTGTTTCCCCGCTAGTTCCACATGTACGCCTGTCTTGATGCATGGCACCATTGTGTGGCCGATTCCCGTAGCTTTTAGCCGAAAAAGCAACGTTATCAAAACAAAATCTCAAACAACGGCTTAATCCGTGCTTTAGATTCAAGATCTGCCAGACAGACAAGGAGCAAATTAGGGTTGTGATGCAGCAGGGTTTATACTTTAAGCCTCCCTGCGCTGCACGCTAAAATGGTGCTGAGAGAACCAACCAAAAAACCCAGAGAAAATGCAAAAGGGATGGGGGGAAAATAACCGAGAGCATAGGGAAAAAATACAACCCGGACACGGACACGGAAATAACTTTGTCCGAACTGTCGTCGAACAAACTACAGGAGACCCTGCGACAGGGTGTAGTTTCAGGTTGAGAAATACGGCGACATAGTGCAGCATGTATGAGCACAGTACACTGGTAGCTGGTTGCACTGTAGCCACACGTACCGTACTACTTGTACTAATATATACTCAAAGATATAACCATGTTCCTTTAGTCTACATCATCTTGCAACCCCATTTACGCACCTCTCATTAGGTGCAGCAGCGTCCTAGTAAACATTGGTCAAATGCTAGACACCCGATGCGGGCATTGTTTCATTACAAGTAATATTCCCCATTGGGCCGTTGTTTGCAGGTTGGTCCACCGTTGGAAACACCCGACTCCCCGTCAATGCAATGGAGGTGTATGAATCCTGTAACCTTCTCCAACCCCCAGAGTGATCTTCACATTCCGAGACAAATCTCAGTATCAGATTAGTGGGGTGCAATGACCAGGTCTGGACCTACAGACAGACATTGACGTTGAATCGGTAGAGAGCGAAACGGCCTTTGTTCTGTGAATGTCTCTGATTTGTCTTAGTGGTTAGAAGGAGGGGGGGTTGTAGAATATCCACTCTGTAAAATTCCCTTCCGCATACCCTCGTGGTCTTTGTCCTGTCTTATCGTTTAACTCATCGCGCTCTGCATTGCTCAACCAGGGTGGGCACCTGACAAAGCTGACACTGGATGTACTGGAATCCTTCAATGTTCGATGCACATGGAGAACAATGGCTTTTCAAACAATAACCAGACGGACTTTGGGCTGGTCAATGGTGTCCTTGTCCCCTTGTTTTAAGACTGAATGCAGCAGCGACCCGCGCGAAAATCGCCCGAACTCAAGAATCGACAGCGAAAAATGAAAGAAAAAAAAAATAATCTCGGCTAGCTTTGTTTACAGCGCCAGATCAGATTGATGGCTTTTTTGCTTGTCTTCGCAAGTGGTCTGTTTTATCACCTAATCGCGACGACTCCAACGCACGGACTTGACTGCATTCTACTTTTACGCCGTTAAAACAGTAGTGTAGCACAAAGAAGAAGCGAAAGGTCGGCAAATGAACCCATTGAGCAACACTAGAGGTACGGGTACCCCACCATGACCACCCTGCATCGACTTACAGCCTCGTTTTCGTCGTTTTCAAATTTTTGAACCTGATCTGAGTTCTGGAGCCGAAAGCAACAACCTGTTTCAGGACTGCAGGGGTAGCATCTAGAACTTAGTGTGAGGGATGGACTGTCTATTCTACTTGTAGCTGGACTAGCATGGCTGCTTGAAGATCCATGTGAGGTTTCTTCTTCGACCTGGGTGCTTCCGAAAGAGGAAGTCTGCATTGTGGGCCAAGCGATCGCATACTACAAGTAGGGAGTCTGAGCGGATTTCCGGTAACAAAGTGAACAGGGGTGTTCCATGTGTTCAAGTACAGTACCAGATAGTCTCTCCGTAAAGACTCTCAAGCCTCCCCCGCCCCCTAATGAGCACTAGAGAACTTCTACATCAAGCGGCAACTGAAAAGTAGATTGAGGAAGCAATTGTCGATTATTCAATCGAGGAACAACTGTCGCAGTCATGCGGACGCATAGACAAAAAAGAAAAGTGTCAACTCACGCTTGTTCCAGAAGTCTTTCTGGGAATGAATGGGTCCCGCAGTACAGACCAGGTTGAGATAATTATGGAACATATCAGGATGATAGGTCGACGGTCCAGGGACATGAGGATACATTTACTAGAACGACCCTCAGTTTGTTGATGCTGATTTTTATTTTGTTTTTGCAACTGTGGAACACTTAGTTTGAAGTTATCTGTAGGGTGGCGTTGTTTAGAACCCGTCTTGCTACAAGCCACTGAAAAAAAGCGAAGGGTAGTGTCTGTTTATTCTGTAGTAGTTTGAATCTGCTTACTTCTTTCGGTCATCTTTCGGTGCTTGTAGCTCCTCTGTTTCAACTTCCAGAGCCGTCTGAGTGAGTGTGAAGGAAACATGAAATGTTGGTGTGTGGTTCTTGAGAGGTGATACGAAGGGGTAGATGGTCGTTTTACAGCACTGAAAATGGTTCTTTTCATCTCCTGGTGTTCTTAATGGGTCTCTATCTGCGATATTATTTGAGAAATGCGCTATGCATCACCATATGTCATTATCACCAATATAATGAACCATAGAAGTGGCAATACGACAGTGAAGAGGATGAGATGTTGATCGTTCGTCTTTTTAGACGACTGGGATTGTTTATATCTACTCTTCAACTTATCCAACTCCAATATCCTGGCTTGGATAATTTATCTCCATTTTTATGTACTAATTGGAAATTAAATTCCCGAAAATAATGAGGAAATATTGGAAGAAAGGCAATAAAGACTTAAGTAATATATCAATGGCGCCATTATCTTTGAATACAAGCCAATTTTCATGGTCTCTATCTATCTGAGCTCGGAAGAAACATCATTGATCCTCAATATTAGTTGGTGCTTTTTGAGAGTCTGCCGATAAAACACTCCCAAGAGCCCATGCTGTTGGTATATGGCCATTGGTTATTCATATCCGCCACCTGGCTATACTTTTTAGCCAGTCTACCACGTATTTTCCCCTTAGCCGAGTTCATACAAGGGTGTAGCGCTCTGAACTTTTTTTCTCGACGAAATGGTAGAAAATGTGGTTCCACTTCGCGGACTGGAGTTCCGGAGCAACTACGTCACGGTCTATACAAGATTCAGATACCTACTTGTAGCATTACTTGGTCTTTTGATGTGCTGTCGGTCAGTTCCCGAATACGACATGGATCTTATGTAGATGGATGATGGCGCTAGAGTTGGAATGAGATAGGCAAATGATGGATGGAAACACATTTTAGGAGAAGGAGAAGTTAACAATTTTGATCCACTCAGTGGATGCAATCTTTGATTGCCTTCCAGCTCTGTTCCAAAGCGGTCTAGAAAACCTACTACTTGTAGTAGCCGTGCTGTGTGTTATGTTTTGGAATCCTTCTGATATGGAAGTTAATTCAAGTCTTGTATAGAAAAGGGGCTGTTAATTAGTTGAAGTGCGTAGGTGGCTGTCAACGGAGCTTGAAGAAACACTATTACCAATACCTGGCGCCATGCTGTTGCAATTATTCTTGGAGAATCTTCCCCTATGCTTGTAATGCACATGTTGTTGGCAAGTTCAGATGCCCACCGAAATGATACCCAGTGCCTTGCCCACCAGATTGAATAGATGGGTACATTGGCGATGTTACGCCAGCCGGCAGGGAGCATTGACCTTTGTTTTTATTGCGCATGATAGTCGTCCCGTATGTGCAGTACTCGTACATCCATGTAGGGAGGTTGGTGCCGTGTGTGTTGGTTTTTCTGATTCCCCTATGCAAAAATAAAACTTGTCCAGTACTACGACTGCAAACGCGATAAGCAAGAAAAGACAATCTGGTGGCTGTGCACGTTGCTTAGATTGTGTATTCTAACTACTTGCTCTGGTTCAAGTAGATTCCTCCCGTAAAATGTTTATGAATATCACCGCGTTTAACTCCGGTCCACGTTTTGGTGAGCAAAAGTCAACGTCACAGCAAGCACCGAAAATCCCATCATTCAACGGCACACGTTCATCCAACAATGAAACTGAATCTGATACGCACTGGTACCTTCTTCCAGAGGGCCAGTTTTGTTCGAAACTGCTACAGGTAGGTCGGTCCCTGCATTAGTAACACAAATGTGTCTTGGAAAAAGGGAAAGAACAGAAATATACAAGAACAAGAACAAGTAAAAGTCGAGTAGACTCCAACCCTGCCTGGTTAGAGTTAGTTGGAGTCGGTTACCGAAGCGCTTGGTCCTGCCATAGGGTGTAGCATGGCTTAGATGTGTTGTTCTAGGGACCCACCGGCGCTGTCCTTGTGTGCAAGTACCGGTATCGCACAAGCGCCGGGCTTTCTTTTGACCGCGTAAATGGCTCATGTACGAACGGCTCAACCCGTTGATGCAGGTTGAACCCTGTCATCTATTGGGTTGGGCACAAACTCATCTGTTGATCCTTTTTGTTGGGGTCCAAGTCTTGTATATGAGGAGGTTGCGGTTGGTAGCTCCAGGTCAGTAGCTCCAGGTCGCTGCTCAAGCCACTCTTGAGTCCTTTTGGCCTTTCTCTGGCTTGTTTTCATGCAGCAGAGCCTTGTATGACTATCCTCCACCCAACTCATCTTTTGGTAATGTAGGTGGATCCGATGAGACACCAGAGAAAAAAAGCTGAGACCAGACGAGATTAATATCAGATAAAATCAGATAAAATCGAAGGAAATCGAGAGACCTCCAGCTTAATAGTGCAGGAGCTATCGGAGGCTGCTCGACAAGTCCTCGACAACTTCTGGCAAAGGTTTCGGCTCCTCCGGCTGCCCCTTGTATCCGCGCGACCGCCTACAATCGCCAGGATTGCTTTTTCCAGCATTTCTTTTTTCGAGTTTATCTCGGCTCATGCTACGACAATCTCCGTATTGCATTTTAAGGGCCCCTAAAACGGCTTTTTTCAAGGAACGGCGCGAGAGATTAACATTCGGAAGTCACCGAGTCCGTGGAGCTCATCAAACTATCACGCAAAAAAAAAAAAAAAAAAAAAAAAAAAAGACATGGTAAAAGTATCTTGAAAATCCTAAAGAAATCTGTCGAGTGGTTCGAAAAGCGAATCTAAAAAGGTGGTTAAAAAAAAACAGTGGTGATCGACAATCCATTGCAACGGGTGTTCTTTACGAGACCTACTGACGGCGTACATTTACTTGATGGACTTGTTTATGCAAGGTGAGGGGATAAAAAGAAAATGGATGGACATGGTGCCGGGGTAATCGCCAGTAAGATGGTGGTCTGAAACACGAGAGAAAATCAGACGATTCCACTCACCCACAGTTTTACAAGTGCAGTATGTACTGTACATGTATAATTTGTTTTTAGACACTGTGACTGATAGTTGGCTTGTCAACCACCATGGTGGGTAAGAGAGAGCAAGCAAGCAATCATATGAAAGCAATACAAATAATGGTGCAGTACCCATATTTGTAGTGGCAACGTCTGTGCAGACAAACTTGTCGAAGACTTTCGTTTATTGACTGATATTACATCCTAGACTGCTGGCTCACTTAAAAGCGTTTCATCTGGAAAGCCCGTTCATCCCGGTTCTAACCAAGTGTACTCAACTCCTTCAATCTCATGCAACACCATCTTAGTCGGTCGAATATTTCCACAACATCAGTGCTACAACAATCGAGACTTGATCGCAGTAATGAGCTCGCTTCGGAGGATACATTGATACCAGATTCTGTAGGTTAGGGGCAGACGGTTCGGAGCAATTCACCGGAAACGACAGAGAGAGAACGGCAAACCAAGCTGTTAACACGGTATAAATGAACACTTTCTATGTTAAACGATATCTTCAATCTCAGCGGGAACATCGCCCAACCGGGGGATAATGCTTACTGTTCTTGCTCCGAGATCCGACATGATCCCCTACAGTATGTACATGTACTTGCCCCAGCAAGAGCAAACCAATATACAGTGTTGTCACAATCCCCATCTTCTAATCTCAACTTACCTTCATCTGGTTGACTCTTCATCCCTATATATGACTACGATACCCGGTTACACACATCACTATCACCTGTCTTACGCTTCTATACAACAGCACTTTACACTCCACGATAAATAAAGCTGATGATGCAACATGGACGTGGCTATTTGAATCAGGACATTAACAGCTTTCAAACGATACCATCTTTGCCAACTGTAGTATCCACCTCCGTTCCTCTGGGCTCTGGACAAGTTGTCTGGCTCCCTCCAGTATGTACTGTACACCCATCTTGCTCCACAGCCAAACAAAAACTAGCCAAAACACGGAGGAAAATCAATCAGCCAGCTCCAACTAGAAAAATATGTGGTCATGTGACACTTTCTTTGGATCTTCTAGCTAGTACAAGTACTGTCCTGGCTTTGTATCTCTCCTGCCCTCAACATCGCCACTGAACGTTGTATGTACGTCTCAGATGCAGGTCACTGCACGATGTTGGAAAAAAGTTGACTACAATTCTGCTCTCCACACAACAGCAAAAAGACCATGTTACGGGTGCTGAATGGCGTTCGGAGTGTCGTTAGGGGGCTTCATGGCCCTCTACAAACTCCTAGTAATGTTACTCGGCCGTCAAAATTCCGCTTAACGGGCTATACAAGTCTCCAGCGTTTTGCCAGCACCATCACAACAGCAGACAAGTTATTACGCCGTGGCGACTTCAATCCGTCGAATCTAGCATCTCTATCGCCTCGAGAGGCCTTCACACACACACCCATTTTCTACCCCGACGAAGTGAAGTCGTTTTACGACAGTATTGAGTTCCAGGGTCTGGAAGAGGAATTCCTGGATAGGATCCGAGAAGAACCTGACATTTCCAAACGACTAGGAAAACTGATGGCCTTTCTACGGAACCAGATTATCCAGGGCCACGCAGTACAGGAGAGCCATCTTCTGGAGTGGTTCAAAAAATACGTGCGAATCGAAGACGGAAAGATCAAGCCTCTGTATTCGAAAGGAAACAATGATCTGCAAGAGAGTGAGGTGCGGGAGCTGCTGAACCATGTGGTCAATCGAACCCAGAAGCCTTCGGTCGAGTTTCTCAAGTGGTTGGCTCAGGAAGACTCCATTTTGTGTGAGCATCATTTGTTTCGATCGTATATCAAGGATCTGTTGATTTCTCGAGGTTTCTCTGTTGAGCGTCGGGGCAAGATCGATCTGCGACACCCCGAGGAGCTGTATCCCGATGCTCGAATGATCACTCGAAAGATCATCTGCCATCTGGGTCCCACTAACAGTGGTAAGACATACCGAGCCCTTGAGCGTCTGAAGAAGGCCAAAAGCGGCTATTATGCTGGTCCTTTACGATTGCTAGCCCGTGAGACCTACGACAGAATTAAGGACGAGGGTCTGCCCATCAACTTGAAGACAGGAGAGGAGGTTATCAACTGTGAAGATGAGTTTGGACGGCCTGCTCCTCTGACAGCTGGAACCATCGAGATGATCGACACGAACCAGCTCATGGAGGTGTGTGTGATTGACGAAATTCAGATGCTCAACGACCAGTCTCGAGGATGGGCCTGGTTGAACGCTGTGCTTGGAGTTCAGGCTAAGGAAGTGCATCTGTGTGGAGAAGAGAGTGTGGTCAACATGATTGAGAAGATTGTGGCAAAGACTGGAGACACGCTGGAAATCAACAGATACGAGCGACTGGGCACTCTTGAGATGGAAAGGCGACCTCTCAAGAGTCTTAAAGAAGTCAGAGCAGGAGACTGTGTGGTTGCCTTCTCGAGAAAGAAGGTGTTTGAGTTCCGACAGGAAATCGAGGCCACTACAGGCAAGAAATGTTCCATCATCTATGGAGCTCTGCCCCCGGAGACCCGAGTCACACAAAGTAGAGACTTCAACTCTGGTGTCAACGAGGTGCTCGTGGCCACTGACGCCGTGGGAATGGGTCTCAACCTGTCCATCAACCGAATCATTTTTGCTGCTATTCGCAAGTACGACGGACTCGGAGACTTCAATCTTCTGGAACCTCCGCAAACCAAACAGATTGCAGGTAGAGCCGGCCGATACAAGGTGCCAGGGAGTGACAAGGTTGGCAGTGTGGGTCTGGTGACCTCCATGTCTAACCAGCAGTCTAAGTACGTTGCCGAGTGTCTGGCAGCACCCACTATCATGCTATCTACGCTTTATGTGAAACCCCATGATGATCTGTTTGCTCCTCTCGTGTCTGGTGTCAAGGGACTGGCTAAACTTATGGCTAGGATGAACCAGCTCACAGATCTGTCTGTTGACTACCGACTGCCTTCGTTTGAATCCCAGCTGGAGCTCTCAGAGGCGTGCTTCCAGGGTCTGTCTCTTGACCAGGCCCTCAACATTTCCGGACTGCCGTTTGGAAACGCAAAGTACTGTGAAGCCCAGGTTCTGGCTATGACACGAGCCATGGCTCTCGGGACGGTGTACACTACTGCCCAGCTCGCTCTGCCAGCTCTTCAGGAATACTTCCTGGCTCCGGTGGCTGTCGAACGACTGAAGATCATGGAAGACTTGCATAAAATGATCTCCGCCTACCGATGGCTCCAGAACCGCTACCCCCAGACGTTTGTGGACATTGAGGGAGTCACCAACCTGCGTCTGCAGGTCGAAGAGGTCATCAACAGTATTCTCCAGAGCTCTCCCAAGAAGGGCTCCAAGAAGAGATGATTGTATATACCATGAGGAATTTAGTGGAGGATTATGTATATAGCGCGCTATCGTAGCAATTATTATTTAATTACAAGTACAAGAACAATTGGTATCTTTGAATGTAACACGATAATATCACACACCCTTCGGAGTGGTAAATACAGTACAGTCTACGATAACATGGTTTCATCTCATAATCATAATCTATCAATAATTTACATCAGTTTACAGTGTGCGTGTTAGCGTTGGTTTATGCGTCATGGGCCAGTCCGGCTGAAGCCCCACCAAAGAAACGACCTACGACTGCCAGAAGTCGCACCCGGGCGGGAACTTGCCATTATATGTGGCGGGAGCGGACTTGAGTGGGTAAAACAGGTCATTGTCCATATCCATGTGGCTCATGTGGCCAAGGTCGACCCGGGGAGTGGGAGTTTCCGACTTGGTGGGCATCATTCGACCTCCGGGGGTACCAGGGTGATTGTTCCACGACGAGTCCGTGAGAGTACGAGTCATGGGAGGAGCAGCCTCAAAGGGCGCGTCCAGCACGTCGTACGACATACCCACAGCCGACATGGACCGAGTCATAGGGTAATAGTAATCCGACGACGAACCCACGCCCTGGCCAGGGGTAGCCGGAGTGGGAATAGGGGCCGCCACAGGGATGGACGAGGCAGAGTTGGGAGGTCCCTGCACACCACCCTGAGCGCTTGTGGAACCAACGCTCTGTACGCCCTGAGGCAGCGAGGAACCGGGCGAAACATCAGAGACGGGAGAATCCATACCACCTACCCGTCGGAACACCACCTGGGCACTAAAGGCATCCTCAGCCTTTGCAAATTCCCACAGAAGCACACCGTGAGGACGGCTCTGGATCTCGTCGGTGCAGGAGACGTCGAACTGAGCAGCATCACCGGGCAGACAGTATATGACCTGTTGCATGGTGATGCCACCGATGGCAGCGGTGGCTACCTCCTGGCTGGAAGTGGTGGAGCTGTCACTGATACCAGCGACAAAGGCAGACCAGAAATCGCCAGCCATGGGCAACAACAACCGCTCCTTGGGTGTGCCACTGTTGTCGTGCTGGGGAGCTGCGGGCACCAGGTTTCGGAGCTGCAGAATCTCGTGGCCCAGCGTCCACACCCGGGTCTCGCACATCCAAAACCGCGATGAAGGAGGAGTCTCGAAATGTGGCGGCGACACCACAAACTGACTCTGGGTCTTGAGCTCGGGAGTGTTGCCAGTGGAGGAAGAGTGCTCAGGGAGGTACAGAGCGGCCTTGGCGTGGATGACGGGCACGCCGGTCTGTGCAAAGTACATCGAGTCAGGGAACTGCTGCTGCACGGTGGCCAATCCCTTGGGTCTCAGAGGAGTGGACATTGGCTGTCGCATCGACTGGCAGTACACGTGGGGAGCCTCGTCCTCATGCCACAGACAAAAGTGGTGGGGAGAGAAGCTGGGGGTGGGGGGCGACATGAAGAGAGGTCGACCGGGTCCACCACTGTGCATGCCGTGTGAGCCACCAGAGGAACCTCCCAGCACTGCAGGCGAAGAAGGGGGTCGCTGGATGGCGTATCCGAGCTGTCTGTGGCTTCGGGGAGTAGAGTGACATGCGGGAGGAGGCGAGATGGTGTTGGGTTGCTGCTGCTGCTGGGAAACAGGCTGGGCCAGAGGCTTGGCGGTGGTTCGAATCACCTTCTCGGAAACAACAATATCGCCATTGGGGTTGGAGCCCTCATCCCCAAGCAGCAGCGACATGAAATGCTTGTCGTCCTTGAGCAGGTTCTTGAGGACCTGAATGTGCGACGAAACCTGCTTTCGAGTTCGTTGCTTGCCAGTCTTCTTAAAAATGTACTCGGAAATGAGCTCGTTTCGGCCGCAAGTTCGTCCGTTGATGACAATCTTTCGACGACCAACACAAGGGATCACTTTGAGCGCCTCCATGAAGGCCTGCTCGACGTCGGTGGACCAGATGGAAGGGTTCACGTCGCCTCGCTCCTTCTTCTGCCGCTTCAGGTACTTTGTGTAAGCCTCCCAGTTGGTGAGAGCGGGCATGGAAGTGGGGGACTGGTTGGCGTCGTCGGTTTTAGAGTCGGGGCTGGACGAGGCCGAGTTGGTCTGCGAGTTGGAGTGCGAATTGGAGCCTGAGAGGTCCTCCTCGACCTTGACACTGGGCGATCCGGGCACGGTGGGGAGCATGGACCGGAAGGAAGTGTCTGTGAAGGGGTCCGACTTGAGCGGCGTGGCGGGCTCGGACTTGACCGGTGCAGCGGGCACCACGTCGAGCTTGAACTCAGCGTACATGGGCTTGTTGTTGTGAGTATTAGTGTGTTGCTGTTGTTGGAGCTGCTGGTGCTGTTGAGGTTCTGCGTCCTGGAACGAAAACTGGCCCGAAGGGAAGGCCGAGTTGACGGGGAAGGAGGAGAAGGAGTCGACGCACGAGTTGGCCCGTCGCATGCCGGGATGCTGGGGCATCATGCCGCCGTTGTTGTTGCCGTTGTTGTTGCCGTTGTTGTTGCTGCTACTGCAGTGGTTGAGAGTGACGTTGGGGCCTCCGTCCACACGGCCTCGTTTGATACGTTCCGAGTCCGGAGGAGTATTGAGCGCAAATGCCGATGGCAGCAAGTCGGAGCCATTGGCAGACGTGGGGCAGGCAATGGCGATGCTGTGGCTTCGTTTTAACGGCGTTACTGGTTGTGTCAGCATGTTGTGTGTATGGTTGTGGTGTTACAAAGAGTGTGCCTGGTTGCGGGTGTGGTTTTTTGTCTCTCTTGGTTGTGTCTGTGTGGCTGTGCTTTGTGTATATAGCCTGACGGTTTGCGATGGAGCGAGATTGAAACGCTGAGGGTGTCCTGAGTTCTTGTCTGTGTAACGAATGAGTGTGAGGGTCCTCTCGATGACTGAATTTCACCACTTTTGCAGCTCTCAACTTTTATGAGGGAAGACACCAAGGGCACCCTCAGACACTTATACCAAAGCCAACTAAGGGATGACCCAGGTGCATGACTGTGCGTCTATTGGAAATAGAGTTGCTAAGGGGTGGCGGGCCGGTCGAGATGCGTGTTTTGTGGTGCTGATAGTGGTGCTATTCGCGATATGAACGTGTCAAAATACTCGGCTAGACGTGCTCTTGAAGCCAGTGTTTTTGAATCCTGAAAATAGCCATTACCTCATCTCTCGACACGACCCCACTCCAAACACGACTCTGGAAACCCACGCGAAAATAAAAGCCTATTTTCAAACCTTATTATTATTGCTCGGACATTGGGGCGTTGAACCACTAAGGAGACGTGATCTCTCGGTGGATATCGTGTATATCGGCGTTTCTCATTGGTATTCGTCAATTGTTGTCCACATCGGACTCATAGGCGCGAGTCGGTGTCTTTTTCACGCTCCACGCGTCCACGCGCGTGTCCAGGGTTCCCGCACAAACCTCCAAAAACTAAAACTCAGAGTTTGCTAATCAAGGGAGCGGAAGACATCTGATCCGATGTATGGAGGGTAAGACGATGGGAGGGGGGTTGGTTTGGTTATGTGATTGGAGAACCGCATTCGCACCAACTTCCTGTCTCCACAAATCCTCCTATTTTCTTGTACGAGCATCTCTGAATGCTACGAGTACGGTACGTGCACTCGAAGTTCACCACTCGCACTTCAACTTTTCATCTCTCTCTCTCTCTTTCCAACTTCCGAAAGGATAGACTTCGACTCGGCTGCGGGAGCAGCTCAATCAATCCAGTAAACGACCTGGAAAATCATGGTCTGTGTTTGCATCTTGGAGTTTCTGATAGCATGATAGCGTTTGGTTCGAGCTCTACGAGTACAGAAGAAGGTACTGGAGCTACTGGTACGGTAGTGTACTCGAGCTCATACCCAGTTCCCCGACTCCAAACACACCACTCTATACCCCCGTGACCAGCCCCGACGCCATAGCGGCTCTTGTACACTCATAACTGACGTTTAGACCTTTTTGAGCCCAGCCATTATTTTTAGTGCAATCGGATATTATCACCTCCGCGCCGCAGCTCAACCTTGTTTGCAAGCGAGGTACAGCGTTTCATAATAACATCACATCGACTGATGGAAGGTCCACAGAAGAATTGTGGGCCAGTGGACTTGGATAATTAATATCTTTGGTCATGTCCAAAAAGGGTCTCTGTGGCAACTATCACCCTGTGGTCCTCTCGACTGTGATATTGTTGTACATCTGAAACATGGCCGTGTGTACCCTACACTATACTCGTTCAAGTGCTCGTACAACCATGTCGTTTCAGAGCCACATTTGAGTCTTTTTTTTCCCCCGTGACGCCATGTCTCCCCCACCCGATCGCGCCGCTCAAATCGGCCATCACGTGACCGGATCCGGGGACTGGCTGGATTTCTCTCCATCTGTTATTGCTCCATCGCCAAAAGGTTTGAACGCTACGCCCAATAGCGTTCCAATAGCGTTCCGAAACGCGCTCCGTCACGCCCCCAAACGCGTGCAGTATAGTTGCCTCAGTACAGCGTCGGTCACGTGAGCGGAGACCGACAGAAAGAAAGGACACAAACAAGGGGTGAATGTGCATCGAGCGAAACAGGAGGGTAATCTTTTGCTCCAAGGGCGAGCAAGGAGAGAGAAAAGCAACGACTCAGATATGGATATGATATGTCTAACTTTTTGCACTGTAGAGCACTGTATAATGCGATATTAAACGGGATGGAACGGGGTGGAACGGCGCTGACGAGTACGAGTATATAATTAGAACCGTACTGTACTTGCTTTCACCAGCCCTGATAATATCTCCGTGAACGACAGGCGATGATATTATATTATATATGTATATATATATATATATATACATTCAGCACGAATATGGTAATAATTGACCAGCCCGATGTTGTAAGTGCGAGTATACACTCTGGTAGTTGTGCAAGTACAATACGAGGGCGAGTATACATACTGGTAGAGGTACGTACGATACAGTCTCAGTCTCGGTTTCTTGATTTTCTCAGTTTTTGGTACAGTACTGGTAATTACTCATATTGATACTGTACTCCTCCGTCACCTGTAACATCTTGTCATCTACAATACGGAAGACCATGATAAAGTGCACCCCTTTTCTCCTTGACTGTGGCTATGATACAAGTACAGAATGACATGACTCGTAGTCAACCTATATACGATGTAAAATAGTTGTTTGCACAACCATCTCCACGTCCGCCTCCAATGTGGGGCGCATTATCTTATGACAAAAGTCGTTGTTCGCCCATGTCTAGAACCAATCTGACTTCTCCTTGTCTCCTCTTGTTCTCACCACTCGATCAACAGGGCATATGCAGATACAGGGGTATCCGCATGAGGGAGGTAGTGGTTCACGGCGCCAGACGCGTACCACACGTATCAAAGTACAAGGAGCACTACAAAGTAGTCCGTGCGCGTGAGTTGGCGGTGCGAGTACTGTAGTCGTGTTCTCGTGCCTGGTTTGATAGACGCGTTGCCGCTGCAGTTATAGTCAAGCCTGTGCGGAACAGTGTACATGTACTGTTTTGTGAATTGGTCAATTTGGCCCGGTATTTCCACATTTCCACATTGTGAGACACAACAGAGCGATTATTGCGACCATAGCTCATGCTCGCCCCCAATCCCGCCATTTATTTCCCCTCCATGCCCCATTACCCTTGGTTGTCGCCTCCGAGATCAATCGCATTTAGAGCTCTGAGCCTGGTGGTGCTAGAGCTAGGGGAGTCTCGAGTCTGAGACGCGCCATGTTGGGAGCTCCGACGTGTAAAAGCATTCGTATGAGCAAAAGCACCGGTGTGTAATGAATCACGTGAATAGCCGCCGTTTCTGATTGCTGAAACGAGTACCTGGTGCAATGGTGTTCGTACTGGTACTGCTTGTAGTATCGTAGTTCATACATTGACAACCAACTTCAAGAGCGCGTCGGACGCAATGCCTACTTGTAGTTCCATGCATTGCAGTTACGTGTAACGCTCTCAATGCGTTAGCTACTTGTTGCGGCATGCGTTAGCTACTTGTTGCGGCATACGTTAGCTACTTGTCGCGGCAGTGCGAGCGCAGGTAGTGTCGGTACTTGTGCAGGTTCCGTTGCCGTTGGTGTTTGGTTGTGGAGTTGTGGAGGAGGGGGAGGTTGATAGAGTAGTCTTCAGTATTTTTTTTATAGTAATAGTACATACAGTACATACAGTACAGACAGTATATTTTTATTTTATTTTCTGCATATTTTTTAGAGTACATACTGTATGTATTAACAAACATATCAAGTAAAAGTGTCTTTAGTTGACACATTTGTTTAAAATTGACCCTCGGAGTTGACTCTCTAACTCGGTGAATAATGGTCAGAATGGCTTGTAATTTGAAACACGGATTTCTTACCACCATGCTATCCGATTAAACACTCTCCATTGTTCATTAAGCCTCCCAGGTCCCTTTGGAGATGTCCCTGGTGGTGGCACCGCTGCACCTACTTGTAGTCCGGACGACCGAATAGCAGAAGGGACAAATTTTAGTCATTTGTCTCATTTTTCGAAAATGGAAAAAAATGGAAGAGACAACAGACCCTCATATATTACACATTTACATCATTCTACTTGAAGTTGTACAAGTATATCCCATGTGTGGATTCAAGTCAAGCCCTTTTTTTCCTCTCAGATTCCCAGATTCCCTATTATCTATCCTTGTACGGGCTAAAGGAAGTGCATATACGGGGATGGGCCTGAAGAGTATCCAGAAACTTGTCTGAAGGCCAAAATGAGAAATAAAACATCTCAAAGCAAACAACCGAGTCCCATAATCCAGTATATAACTGGTGCCTGAAGAAATTCCCACGTTTAGTACCAGTTATACGTCTCCTCCTTTGTCGTTATAGAGCAACCGAGTCTCAACCTAAAGTGTCTATCTTTTGGTGATGTTGAGCTGGTGGAGCAAGTAACGGGATACTTGTAGCTATATATATATATATATATATATATATATATATATAGGAGATATGAGCTGAGAGGTACTTGTGAAGATAGGAGACCAATGTGACTAAAAGTACTTGTAATCGGAAAGTTGTCGTTACCGACTTTTAACGGATATACTATATATATATATTTCTGCATATTATATTAGGAACCACCTCCCTCTGTTCGCCACTCAACCCAACTACAGTTACAGTAGCCATAACCACACTGAGCAACCTACTGTATTCTAGCAAGCACGAGTATCAGTATAGTATCGTAGCAGTATAGTACACAGACCCGTTATTTGTACGTTGCAAACCACGACATTGGAACCTGCGCGGAAGATAGTCGCCACCTCTCCGCTACTTGTTTTTCCATCCACCAAAAAACTGTTCTTTCTGTTTCCCCCACACCAGTTGCCATCGCCCCCACAAACTCTAACCGTCATCAGCGTACATAATCTGCACCCAATCTGTGTCGGCAACTGTCTCATCTTGTTACCATTTCAACCGCTACCCACCATGTTAACGACGCTCAAAAACATCAAAAAGACGTCGTCATTCACCGCGCGAATGGCCCCGGACGCTCTATTCCCCACGCTCCAGAGCGTCAAAGAGGCACCCGAAGAATTGCTCAGAAAAGATCGATACCTGAAATCCGGCAACTTCACTTGGGTGTACCCTGAGCAACGCCCCGAATACAAGATGCTGGCCGTCTCACCACCCGCAGTGCACGACATTGGCCTGGAGGCCGCGGAGGCTACGTCAGACTACTTCAAGGACATTGTGATGGGCAAGAAGTACGTGGAAGACCCGTTCCCGTACGCCCAGGCTTACGCCGGGTGGCAATTCGGCGAATGGGCCGGCCAATTGGGTGATGGACGAGCCCTGTCATTGTTTGAGACCCACAACCCAGTCACAGGCAAGCGCTATGAACTGCAGCTAAAGGGATCGGGTCTAACTCCATACTCCCGATTCGCAGACGGAAAGGCTGTTCTACGATCTTCCATTCGAGAGTTTTTAGGATCAGAGTACGTCAACGCCCTGGGAATCCCCACAACTAGAGCTCTGTCACTGGCCGAGCTGCCTGGCACGACTGCCCGAAGAGGACGAGGTAAGGAACCCTGTGCAGTGATTTGTCGGTTTGCCGAGTCGTGGGTCCGAGTCGGTACCTTTGACCTGCTCCGAAACCGAGGCGACCGACCAGGTGTAAAACAATTGGCTGACTACGTGGTCGATGACGTTTTTGGTGGCGAAGACAAGCTGCTGAACAATGATCACACTAGAGACGCCATTGCCAAGTCTGCCATTCCTTACAAACACAACAACCGCTACGTCAAGCTCTACCGTGAAATTGTTACTCGAAACGCGTACATGTGTGCTCTATGGCAAGTCTTTGGCTACCTGAACGGTGTTGTGAACTCAGACAACACGTCAGTCTACGGCCTGACAATTGACTACGGCCCATATGCGTTCATGGATGCGTTTGACCCCAACTACACGCCTAACCATGACGACGGCCTACTTCGGTACTCATACAAGAATGTTCCCACTGCCGTCTGGTGGAACATGGTGCGTCTCGGAGAAGATCTGGCGGAGCTGCTGGGTGTGGCTGAGGGCACCGATCTCGAGAACCTCACAAAGTCGGAGAAGAACGAGCTTCTGGACACTGCCGAGGCTGTTATAACCTCGGCCGGTGAAGAGTACAAGGCTGTGTTCCTGTACACATACAAGAAGTTTATCTCCAAGCGGTATGGGCTTCTGGAGCAGCGTGACTCCGACTTTGATGAGCTCATGACCCCTACCCTGAATATGCTCGAGGATTCTGCTCTGGACTACCATCGATTCTTCCGACTATTGGGCGACCTGCCTTTCTTCACAGGTGAGAACGCCTCCAAGTCCGAGCCAGCCGACTTTGCTCCCGACGTGGAGCAGTTCATCAGCCCTGAAAAGAACATCAATGCTATCAAGACTCCATCTCAGACTCGAACTGAGCTATCACAGTTCCTAGCCGACTTCAAGAAGCGTCTTGCGGCTGAAAACAACACGGACGATGCTGCACGAAAGGTGCGGTCACGTGAGATTAACCCAAAGTTTGTTCTTCGTTCGTGGGTGATGCAGGAGGTAGTTGAGGATGCTCACAAGGGCGACTACGACAAGCTGGAGCGGGTGCTGAACATGGCATTGCATCCTTTCCAGGAGACCTGGGACGAGGACTGGGATGACGAGGAGGCCCGGTTCTGCGGCCATGTTCCCAAGTACTGTGATTCCATTCAGCAGACTTGCAGTAGTTAGAGATAACCGGGTTGGGTATATCTTAATAAGAAAACATATCACGATAATGTACTGTATAGTTGTCACGTGAGCGATCGCGTAGGAATAAATTACATGTACATATACTAGTTAGGCTGCGTGGTCGAGTTTTGGGAAAGCACCTTCAGCTCTCAACACGACTGTGTGTCGTTCTCGAGAAATATAGCCCTTAAGTCGATCGTGATAGATCATGTTGGAAACGGTAGCCTCCAAAAAGTCAGGCGATACATCAACGCCAACCAGTTTGGCAGCAGCCTGGTAGTCGTCAATGGTGATTCGTGTGGCCTTATCCTTGGCAAGAAACACCCGGTAGAAGAGCTTTTCAAACACAAAGACCCGCATCTTCTCCACTGCCAGATACAAGTACTTCTTCACGAACAGGGACCTTCTTTGAGTCACAGCTTTATCGAACGACAGCACGTCGCCTCGTAGTAGAGCCGTGAGCATCTGATGGTAGACGGTATGTAGTCTAGGAAACTTTTCCCACACTGCCTTGGAAGGTACCTGGTTGGTCATGAGAAACTGTACTGGGATGAGATGTAACAGAATGAGCTCCTGGTTATCTGTGGATTTGTAAAAGCACTGGTTGAGTGCCTGGGTGAGCCAGTTTTGCGCCTGTTCGACATCATCATCCATCAGACTTAAGACTCCTCGATAGTACGAGTAAGTGCAGGTGTGAGATCTGGGGTAGGAGGCCAAGGGAGGTAGATCACGAGACATGGATTCCACCACCTTGATGACCGACTTGCTCATATTTCGTTTTCTGAGCAAAAAGTATAGCTTGCAGAGCTCGCCAACAAAGAAGTAGGTTCCCCATTTTTTCGATTTCTGCAAGCTGGGATGCCGGTCGTTCAGACACAGTGTAAGGGTTCGGTTGACCACTCGTGACGATGATTCCAGTTGTGTGAGAATCTCGTTTTTTGCCTCCTTGTCCTGGATCTCCTTCAGCGCTCTTCGTCCGATACCTCGAAGATGTGTGCTTGCTGCGTACAGTATAGGTAGGATCCACACATCTTCCTTCTCAGAAACTCGATTGAGCTCGGACAAAAACGCCTGGTGAGCCTGTAGTCGCTCCAGTGGAGTCGAGGAATCGTTGCAGGCCAGGACGTGCGCCTCGACAACTGGCTGCCATACCTGGTTTGTGATTCCTGCCGCCACGGCGAGGGCGTTTGTTTGCGGGGCAGTGGGATTTGTGTCTGGATTGACGGCCAGGAGGTGCGCCAATTGCAGTCCGTTGCGTGAGTTGATGGCGGCGTTCAAATTTCGCACGTAGGTCGCCATTTTGACGATGCTGTGACGTTGTCGTAGCAGTCAATGTGCGTAGCAGACAGATGTAGGTGTAATAAAATTAAGGTTTCTATACTTTGTTGGCATTTGTTAAGGGGTAAACAGTTTAGTTGAGATGTTCTTGTAGCGTTCGAAACGAGCTAGTAAGACTGTAAAAGGGCAGAAAAAAGATACGGAAACATGATATATGATGATGCTAACAGTAATCGGCAGACGGTATGTCTCTGTCTAGAATATTACCGTTTCTACGAGCTTGGCACCTCAAACCACCTTGATCTGGTGATGCTGGACATTTCTCCCATTTTTCGCCAAATAGCATTTCTGAGGGAATTATCAAACCCGCACAGTCTTAGCGATCAAAATTTATACCCATTTTGTCCCCTTAGCATCTCCGTCCCATTATTCATCGCCATCCTCCTCTCAAACATCCCACTCAGCGTAGGTCACGTGCGATAAATTAAGCTCTACATGCATATGAGAAAAATATATTTTTCTTCCGGGAAGAAAAGATAACGGACGGACTCATACAAGATACCACAGTACAACGCAACACCATGGGACTGGCTGGAGTGTCGAAGAAGATCAAATACGGCAAGGACCCGCGAAACCTCGGGTGGTCCAACAACACGGAGCGGTTCGGCCACAAACACATGAGTAAGCTCGGATGGAAGGACGGAGAGGGTCTGGGCCATGAGGACCGAAAGGCGCAGAGTATCACGCAAAACATCAAGATTGTGCTCAAGGACGACAACGTGGGGCTTGGTGCCGGTCTGGCCAAGGCTGATAAGGACGAGGCCTTTGGTCTGATGGATTTCCAGAAGCTGCTGGGTAAGCTGAACGGACGGGCTCAGGAAATTGAAGCTGAGGTTGAGCGACAGCAGAAGGACGTTCTACGAGGCAAGTTTGGCATGGTTTTTGTGTCCGGCGGTCTTCTCCAGGGAACGATCGAGGAGTTCAACAAGAAGCGAGGGTCCGAGGCTGTGGAGGAGTCTGACAGTGATTCTGAAGAGTCCGAAAGCGAGTCTGACGACGACAAGAAGAGCAGAAAGAGCAGCAAGAAGGAAAAGAAGGATAAGAAGAGCAAAAAGCGAAAGGCTGATGATGACTCTGATGAGGAGGAGAAGAAGAGCAAGAAGAGCAAGAAGGACAAGAAGGAAAAGAAGGAAAAGAAGGAAAAGAAGGAAAAGAAGGAAAAGAAGGAAAAGAAGGAAAAGAAAGAGAAAAAGGATAAGAAAGAGAAAAAGGATAAGAAAGAGAAAAAGGACAAAAAGTCCGAGTCTCCTACTCCTCACGATGGTATGGAGAAACCCTCTGCATCTTCCACCTCTGCTCTACGAGGACGAATGGCTGGACGAGCCAAGTTCATTCGATCCAAGCGAATGGCCGTCATGGACGAAAAGAGTCTCAACGAGATTTTCATGGTCAAGAACTGATCCAACCAAAAATATAGATGCTAACTGATTGAGAGTGAACGTGCATAAGATGGGAAGAGGGTAGTTCGATGAGAGGCGTAGTTTGTTTACATACCCAAAATTGAATACTAATTGATACAGCTATGAAAAATTCATGAGTCAGATCAAAGTCCTAATTTTATTATTTTAATTCAGACTATTTTTCTGTTAAATCACACAAAATCGGCTCAAAATATTTTTAATGGAAATCAAATCTAAATTTAAATAAAGTTGAAGCTTGAGGAATTTAATTGTGGTAATTTGGCATAAATTCTCCCAATCGGGAAAATCCCAATCAGGAAGGTGATTGCTGATTAAGCAATGTGAGATACAAGTAAATGAGGGAAAATGACCATAGTACGATGAATATTAGTATTGCAGGCATAATCAAAAAGAACCATATATAATGGAAGGAAGAGAACATTTGAACATTACTATTGATGAGATATACTTTACAATTGTCCCGAAAAGTGAAAATTACAATCATTTTATTGAAAAGCTCGGGCAGTTGGTTTTGAATAAAAAAGCACGAGATGAAATTTTCTAAACAACATGATCTGATAAGACACCCATACGATATCTAAAGCATGAAATTATTTTTTTTGTGCAAACCACCGAGTTCTGATTTTGGTGTTAGTGTCCGAATTGCGACGTAATAGCATGGTCAACAAAATAATTCTCTACCTCTGATTTGTACAAACAAAACTTCTCAAAAGTATGTCGAGTTCTATTCTTGTGTCATGAGAGCCGGTCACATTTTATCTTCATAATTCCATGAGAAATGCAGTTCAAAAAAAAAAAAAAAATCAACATCTTCGGTCGCTAAACTAACGAAAGATGATTGATATTATTTTTTCATACCCCTTCAGATATGACAAAAAACACCTCATTCAGTTACGGTGTTCGTAGAAGAACTCATCTGTTCGAATATTGGTCAAGATCGACTACATACTATACAGTATGTACTTACAAGATGCGGTCTTGTTATCAATTTAGCACAGTCGCTTAGATAATTAAAAATGAGATAATTTGAGTCCTAAATAGCAGCATTAGAGATCTATAATTATCAAAAATCACTCTCTGGTCGGTACCAGGAGGTATTTTTTATTACAATGTAGGTCGGTTCGAAAGGCCATTATACTATGGGATATTTTGGTATGAAGACAAAAGTCGAAGAGAAGTCCATTAATAAAGACGAGTATCACTCTGACATTCATTTACACTACTTCTAAAAGGGCTACCACGTGTCGTAATATGTAATGGGGCTATGCCAACAAGATCTCAAGAGGAACGCTTCCATCACGGGAGAGAAGACACACAGAAGTTCATAAATCTGATAAATATCGCTCAAACATCTTCTAGACACCTCCACGTCTCTGTTTAAGGTCTATGTCGTTCCTCAACGGGTCATATTCGTGCTCTTGTTGTCTGAGTAGGAAGATGAATGAACCAGGAATGAAGGAGTAGGCGTACTTTACGCAGCTCATTTATTAACATTCCACAGTTTCTGTAAGAACTTGTGACTTCCTAGCAACCTGAAAGACGTAATGATGGTTCCCTGTCGTAGTATCAGTCTATGTGGAATGCGCTGTTACTGCCTTATGTAGTCTGTGGGCTTCTAGAGAGAAATACTAATCGAATCAGATTCGAGGAAAAATCACGGACGGGCCCGTTTTTTATGAGATTACTGCCGTGAACAAGTGACAGTAGAGTACATACAGTACAGTAGCTCTACATAGAACAAAATCCATATCATCTGGGAAGAAGATACGACATTAGAGTGTCAAGAAACGTCTATGGAATTGTCACCAAACCTGGGAACCCTAGTCACCTCACCTGAAGTTTCAGAGTGTTCTGAGTATTTTCAGTGTCGGGGATACTTAGTATGGCGTACTTCTGGAAGTGTGGACAACGACGTCGGAAAGAGTGCCGGTAGTTACATGAGATACGGTGATGTTCTGAAGGACACCCATGTGGCTAGAAGGGTCTTTGTGATGTCCAGAAGTGCCAGTATAGTGATCGAAAGTACCAGTATCGTGATCGGGAAGTTCCCAAGAGTCTAGAGCACCAAAAGGAAAGCTGGTGAAATTTGCTCAATGACTGTTGAAACAATATCTATCTCTACGAGCGTCTTGAGAAGTCAACAGAGAATATTCCAGCTTTGATATTATTCAGATCGGGCGTTTATTGACTGAAATAAAAACGTCTATCGGTAAAAATCAGTATTTACTGTGCCAGAGAACATTGACAGACAGTTGTTCCTCATGGCTATTGAGTTGATTAAAAAAAGATTCGGTGTTTCCTGGCGATATCACTTTGCTGTTTGTTTCGAGTCAAGGACCAATACTGACTTTATGGTCCCCTTTCTTTCCGCCCTCCATGGAATTTCAGACACCGCTGGAAGTTCCAAATAAATTCAATGGAAGCAATAAATATCCACCGATACTGAATTTCCATCTGTTAATATCTTTCAAAGTATTTATCATGCTTTTTTTGAGCTCACGGCGTTCGTTTTCAATGTTGGATTGGTTGGATTCTGATGCTCTTGTAAACATCTCAAACAAAAGCCCAAGAATATTCCCAGGACACTATTACAAGCTTGAAACCATTAAAATAGTTCTATCATTGCATTTAATAAGTTGCTTCGTGGATTTGAGAGCCTCTTTTGGTTTGTGTGATTTGGAGTTATGTAAAATTGAGATGGAGTGATCGATAATTGAGTATATAAACTTTTCAATATCAACAATGAAAATTTCCCGATCCGGTAATATATTACTGATCTTAAGGGAAAAAACTAGGAAAATTCAACTTTTATAGTCCATAATTATCTTATATTGCTATATAATTCCCTAATATATATACTGTACGACTATTTTCAAAGTACCAAGCAGCCCCCACTGCTGGTACTTCGAAAATAGTCCAAAGTTTATGACTAGTGGCTGCCGACACTAACAGCCCCCACTGTTGATGTTTCGACGCTAGTCATGGGTTTGGTCTCATCAGGGCAGCCAGTCCCCCGTTGTGCTTGACGCGCAAATAAAAAATTAGTGGAAAATCCACTGAGCCCACACCGCAATAATCCGACACCCCACAACACAACTGACATTGTGTTTTGTACACTGAAAAAGAGCCGTCACCGCAAAAGAGCCAACATCCCAACAAGAGCCAACACCGCAAAAAGAGCCATCACCGCAAATAGAGCCAACACCCGAAAGAAAAAAAAGAGCACTGGGGGGCACCCGAGACTTACTTGCATCACTGGAAAGAAGCGTCAGACCTTGACCACGTGAGGCTGGGGGGCGTGGTCGAAGGGTAACAAAAGTGGCATCTCTGCGAGATTCCGGTTTCCGGAGGTCCAGCAGAATCCACCGCCTCGAGCAATCTTCTGTAAAGGAAATTGAGACACTAGAGGGATGGGGACACCCCTTCCCAATCGAGTCTCACGACGTTTCTTCCTATTCAAAACTGCCAGAAGAAGCTGAGACGACCTGATCCGTGGTAGGCTCCAAGGAACGGACACGAGGCTGCTCTATAGGGCCTTGAGAGGAACTTTCCACCACTCCAACGCTGCATCACCTCCTTTCCGGCCCTGGCTCTGTAACCTCCTTACAGAGTGGGTCCTCCACCGGCACTATGTGCCAAATGGAGGGGAACCAAAGCTACCTCCCGCTGTGTTAGTATCGCTCTAGAGTTTTCAAAGGCTTACGTGGAATCAGCACATGTCTCTTTGACTGCTCACTTGAAGTGACACAGAAACAAAGAGCTAGATATTGTGAAAACTTACCGAAAACCCCACCTGAAATGAATGGAGAGGACTGAGTCGATGCCCGTTCATCTAGTCGTAGAAGATGTGTCGTAATATAGTCGTAGAAGTGTCGTGAATGATGTAGTAGATGATGTCGTCAAGTGAGGAGAGATGAGGAAGAAGAATAGAATGTCACAAACATCTTCAGAATAAGCTAAGATGGGAATGTATACAGACATTGTGGTATAATGTTGTGGCTCTTCATCTTAATTTGTATGTATTGTTAGTCGTTTTACCGTAATAGGAAAAATATATAAAATATACACGATGCATCTTCCCAGGATGTAATCCCTTAACCTATATATATTGTATATATTTATTGTATAGAATAGATGTCACAAATATCAAAAATTAAAGTTGAGATAATGCAATGGAGTGCATAATTGAAACTTTGTGAATGTGGGCGATGAGCTGTTGATAATTGAATTTCATTCCTGCTGATGGGAAATTAATATTTGCTGAATCTCCAATGGCGCTCTTGTGAGTTTTGACAACTAAAATTTCAATTTGCAGCAACTTTTTGAGGGTTTGAGGAAATTAGTATGTTGTTGTTTTTTTTGGTTTTTTTTTACTACGCGACCTGATGCTGAGTTATCATTGCAAAAACCAAAAAATCAAAGAAACAATGTGATACTTGTACTTTTACTTGTACCAAAACTCATATTATCCAGTACTGTACTTGTACTGGCTTTTCAAAAATGTACACAAAAAACAAACATCCACAGGTCGGATCAGTTCCATTAGACGGTTATCAATCAACTTGGGTATTTACACGTTGAAATCCATCTCGTAATGACTAAGAACAGACCCCCGCCGCAGGCATGGTCGTCCGAGATGGTCCATGACCAAATCGAAGTTCGACACCATCCAGAGAGCTTTATTCTGCTGCAGGAGCTCCAAGATAATGACCGTGTCAGAGCTTTCTTCCTCGCACTGATCGATGTGTGAATTGGCACCAACTCCAGATGTACGAGTAGTCGTGTTGTGACTGTTGGTGGTTTGGAGGTCTGGAGGAACCATATAGGCTGGTTGTGTGGTATGGAAGTAAATACTGTTGTACCTTGTTTCCAAGTTATAGGACAGGATAAAAAGGTGTTAGTTGGCATTGGGATCAGAGCGTATCCATTATCTGATACCATCGCCAGCTCTCATGGCCCTTGTTCCATAAACTACTGCC